GAGCACTTCACAGAGAGCAGAGTATAGGCCGCAAGGTTCACCAGCTCTTTGAGAAAGCAGGCAAGGCAATTGCAACTGCAAATACACGAGCAGCAGAGTTAGAAACAGAGAACAAAAGATTGCAGAGTCAACTCGAGGCTCTTAAGCCTCAACAGCCATGAAAGAAAGTTCGCATGGATCCAAATCAATGCTTTGCAGATGTAGATACTATTATGATAGCAGTACGGGCATCTGCTCTTCTACAGGAGCAAAACAGTAGTAATCCTAGAGAAAAAGAAGCAGAGAGAGTTGCAGCTGAAACAGCTGCAAAAACTCTGCAATCTATGTGTACAGAGTGGCAATTGTAACTAGGTTGATTGAAATAATCACGATTTCTCTGAGGGGTGCGCGATTTGGGAAGTGATCAGGAACCCTGGGTGATCAGGAACCCTGTACGCTAGCTTATTTGTTAACAGCTTCGAGAAGTACCTAATTACCCTACTCTCCCTACCGTAATCGTGTGCACGTACTTAACTTTCCCTGCGACAATCCGAATCTCGTGGCTATCAGGCATGTTCCCCAAGCTATCAAACTGACAAAGGACGTCCACACTGCCTGCTTCTTCATCGATTACGTATCTTCGCATGCCGTTGGCTTTCTTGCTGCCGCCCCGAGGCAAAGATCCGCCACATGGCTTCGTATACATCGAACCCTCGACTCTTTCGCAGTCCGTACCCCAGGGAATCCTGTCCGCCGCCTTCGCATCAGTCCACATATCCAGGTAGGCGTCCCCGGCCGCTTTGAGGACGTCGCGCGACGGTCGGGAAGAAGCCGGCATGATGGTTGTCCAATCCTCCGCTTTGATATAGTCCAAGGTCTTTTTCGCATTGAAGAAAAGGTCGCCGGTGGTTGCCGCAATGGTGTCAATCATTGTTATCTCTGAGGTATCGTTGTCGTGATGTCTGATCTGGGTGCCCACTACATAGGGCTTACTTCCCGTCGAAGAAATCCACATGGTGTACGATGCGCAAGCCACGGTATCAGCAGTTGAACGGTTGAGGTCAATTTTGTATGACTGCGAGAGAAGCCCTTTGGCAATATCCGAGACCTTGTTGTTCTGTTGGTAGGTGAAGTTCGTCGACGACAGCTTGAGTGCGGAAAGTTGGCCAGTGGACTGGGCGGCTAGATAACTATATGCCGCAGAGAGGAGTCCTTCTCGAGTGCATTCTGCTGCTACAATGGATTGCGCATATGCAGCAATGAGTGCAATCGTGAGTAGAGCCGATTTAAGAGTACTGGACAACATTGTCAGATATTTGGTTGAATGACGAGGTGTGAGTGATGTTGATAGTCAAGAAGAGCATCTGAGGTCCATTTAAGCCTTCGCTGTTTCTACCAAGCAGCAGGGTGATATGGCTGCTGCCGATCACTCCTCATATGCTGAAGCAGGGATTCAGGTGCCGGTAAATGGGACCTCGCTTCCTATCAATCATTAGGAAGCTGATTGGAAGAGCAAGTCGCGACCATCTATTTGTCGTAGACGCTTTCAGGGTTCTCCACGGAGTAGTCTATCGACAGATTAATAGGTCGTATGGCGGCATTTTCCCACGCTGCCGAGAACAAGCGGCGTGTTTGCGTTCGGCAAATGATGGAGGCAAGGTCAAATGGTCCCTACGATCAGGGCCAGGAAGGGAGGAATCACACCCAGGGTTGATGGTCAGAATCGCTCAGGTGACGGAGACTGTCTCCTTACATATTCAGATCTTCAAGACAGGCGAACATCGACATACTCGAAGGTGTAGCTACGTCAAACTTCGGTCTAGCTCACAGCAAGTGAATGCGAATGCTCTCTCTGTAGTTAACTTGCCTCGATGAGTAACAAGTCGTGGTGGAGAGACAGTGCGCAACGCACAATTGGGTTAACAATCTCGTTGGTTGACTTTGTTTGCAACGTTCTAAACCTGCTGCATCGGAGATAATCAGCACAATAGCGCGGTTGAATACAGAAATCTACATTTATATAACCGCTATCTCCACGGTCATGCGGAAACTGAGTTGAAGTCGGAGGAGCAGAACGGGGAACGTACCCAAAAAACGCCCACAGAAGTTGCTCTGAATCACTTGCTGGATGTGGACACTCCAGCATTTTCTAGATGCTATGCATCTTCGCAATATTCAGCGCACATCGTCTTTCGTGCACGCAACCTCTCTTAGCAAGCCATGATTCTCGCAGCATTATTGGGCTCCATCCGAGCGACTTCCAATTCCACTCCATCCGTATTTGCCGGTCGTACATATATGGTTACTGGCTCCAAGACTAGCTCCGGCTATGAATGCGCCATTCACCTCGCTCGTTACGCGGCGCGGGTGATCCTCGTAGTTCGATCATTTACAGAAGTCAAGAAGCTAAAGCCTGGATAGAGGCAGATACTAGTGACGTTGGTATTGCAGAGGTGTGGGAGATGGATTTGAGTTTATGTACGCCCGTGAAGTGAACCGCAAAACGGGGATACAAAGACCTGCAAAGGACCTACGGGTCAATGCGCAGTTGGAGCGTTGCGGAGGGTCTTAAGTCGACTCTAAATGTGAACGTCATTGGCGCATATTTCCTGCAGTTTTGCTTCTGCAAAATCTGAAGGAAGGCACCACGAATCCGACAATACACCGCATCTTCTGGTGATGAGTAGTGGTGCGGCGTTCATGCGTACGGAAGGGATGCTGGAGGCCTTGCTGGGCGATATCATCGACCGTTTGAACTCGGAACAGGAGTTTGGTGCTATGCAAGCCAGGTGAGCTTGCTTAGGCTTGGGAAGCCGTCCCTCGTTCGCAAAACGGCCCGCACAGATATCCCTTATCAAAGCTCTTTCAAGGATTATGTATAGGCCACACGCGAAGCTCGCCTCTTACTACCAAGGTCGAACACACAAGTCGTTACCAATTATCTGATCCGGGACTGTGCGTCACAATATTGGACCAGCATGCGAGCTTCACATTCACACCTCACTTGTGAACCATACGGCGGTTGATGGGAGAAACCGCAGAGGTGGGATCACGAAGGTTTCTTCGAGCATTGGTTGCCGGAATACACTCGCATGCACAATATTTGAACAACTGCGAGACTGAGTCAGACCGAGTCAGTCTGATGGTACTCAGAACTGTGAATTTTTCGCTCATCTCGAGCCGCAGAGACGGAGTTTCCCTATGGGTAAGGGGCGAAAGAGGACAATCCAGTCAAAAGCGTGTATGAGCTAGCATCGCCGCTCATTGGAAAGCATACGATCGTGAAGGTTCAACTTTATCCCACATTTGTAGTTCAATAGACAAGGCATTCCGTTGGATTCAGACTGGGATGGCAATTGACGGATTGCCTATCCCAGTCGCCGAAACTAAAGCCAGATGGTGCCATCGTATATGTCGTGGATACTGGTGCCCAACAAGGCAATGCAATTCATCCCCTGCGCGGGTCGCTCAATCGCTTCCTCAAGACTATCAGTATCGCCACAAGGGTGGCGTTCTTCGTTTTTGCACGAAAATGTAGTGTGGCAACTGGGTGAAGCCTTAATCATTTGGAGTGAACAAGATTCTCGTAGCGTATTTGCCCCTAGCCGACTACATGATCTCGACACCGCCAGTTGTACCGACAGCCTTTGCCATCATTAGTTTGAGGTTTTTATGTGACCGTGGGAGGCACTGTACCTGTTTGATGTGGCCGTAGATGGCGAACTGACCGGCAGTCATACCACCCTCCATGACCAGACGGGCGCGAATACCGGCGTAGCTGCCGCGAATTCCAAGATCTCTTGCGATTTCGAACAGTCGGTGGATCGTTCTTTGTCCTGGCCGACCCTTCTCCTTGTTGATCCTGCTCAACATCGTGTCTGCTGGTTGTGAGACCAGAGCGGCTGCCATACCAGCGACGAGTCCCGAGCCAAGGTTGATTCCAGTGACTGCGAGGTTGGAAACGGCCGATTTATCTACCGCCCTGTACGCTAATCCTGAGACATTTTCATATACAACAAACGTTGCCATTGTATATGGGACTCTACGGAAACATCGTTACCCAAGCCCCGGAAGACTGTGAAGATTCGGTCAGGAGTGCTTACTGTTTGAGTAGGATTGGCCCCAGCCCAGAGTACAATCCCCTGATTCCCTCTTCCCTCGTCATCCTGCTGAAACCGTCCCATAGACCAGGAGCAAATGTTGGCTCAGAAACCAGGCGGATGCGAACCGCCTCAAAAGGACAGAGAGCTATATCACCAAGGAACTCGGCGACGGCAGATGAGGTAAGGTAAACAGTGTGGCGATTCCTGGACGCCGCATCCTGCCCAAGCCAATTGATAGCTTGTTGCTTGAAGAACTCGTAGCCTCCAAACTTGAATGCGCCCTGCACAAAATACCCCGCGACGGTTGGGCCAAATCCGGCCAAAAGAGCCCGGGCTCCGTCCTCAGCGGCAACTTTTCGCAAACCGTGAAACATTCCACGGTTATACGTCCCAGGGTCAAGCTGAATTCTCGTCTTGATACTATAGGACCCGTTAGCGTTTCGCGCTTCGTTGAAAGCGTATGATGCTTCGGCCAGTGGCTCAGTCAGTCGATGAGAAACAGGATAATTTTTTTTCTGAAGGGGATCAACAGCTTACACATCGATAGGAGTGATTACGGCGTGGGTAAATGAGCAACAAACTGCACCAGCGAAAGCATATCTTGCGTAAAGTGGAAGCCCTGTGAGTTTATCCATCGTGCTAGTTGCAGTCTTCATAGGCACATCGGACATAGGGGAAGCTAGAAGCTTAGGCATTATGCTGTGGAATATAAGCATTGCTATGAGAACGACTTCTTTAGATCGACTTTTTCTCACGTAGCTCGCCGAGCTGCTCTCGAATACTCTTCCATTGTTCGTCGCTGCGCGTACCCTGTAGGGCACCCTCAACGGTGCGCAAGACCCGAAAATGTTCCTTCTTCAAAGCTTCAAAATCATCGTCTAGCCGCAGATGCCATGGATATAAAACAAACACCTGGAACCCTAGCGCAGATGAGGCCACGAGGAAATTCGTCAAGGAGACTCCACGCGTGATTATCATCGTTGCGGTGTCGAAGTGTTTTGGCCGGAATGCTATAAGAGTTAACCTCTGGACAGAGTACAAGTTGTTTCAACTCACTTTGGAAGATCGGCAGAAAGGACGCCTGGGAAACTACGTTGTATGGGCGAGGCTTGCAGAGATGTATACAGACGACTCTTGGAAGAGGTATGTGCGGTTCGGTCAACAGCGATAGCCGATGAGCTCGCGGTAAGGTTCTGAGCAAAACAGAGATAGAAGAGAGCACAAAACTGCAGGAAAGATCAAAACAGGAATGAATGGAAAGGTTGAACGACAATTTTTGAGAGGAAATTGAGGGTAACGGCAGGAGAGCTGGTTCCCAGTTAAGAGAAGTGAGAAGTCAGGGCCGAGGGAGGCGATTGGTGCCCGACTTGTCTCACAGACACATGTGAATAGGCGCTGGCAGAGTCTCGATTCCTTCGAGGCCCGTCTGCTCTCATCGAAACTGGCGATGTCACACCACTTTGAGATATAACCGGAGCACAGGCCCTCGTCGTCGTTGAGAGATTTTACAGTCGTACCACAATACTCGGGACACCCCATGGGGTGGTGCAGTGAGTCAGCCACGCAATGCCCGTTCCAGCCAAGCGGATGGCGGAACTGATTTAGCATCTTCCTGTCAGGAAAGGGTCCAGGCTCGTTATGTAGGTACTGTGTATGTTAGGAACACACAGCCTAGATTTGCGGACAACAGGGGGTTTGCATCTAACAAAACCCAGCACTCGAGTATTTCCAAATTATTCGCGGGGTCCCGAAATCCGCCCGAGCGTTCCAGCTCAAAAGGTGAATGCTGTTAGGCCGAGCCTTTCATGTTTGAACGCCATCACATACACAGCATGCATTCTATACCGGCACACTAGTCGAAGTCTAGGTGAGGCACTCGGTTACCCGTGCCTTTTCGAGCTATGGTAGAACTCTAATGTTTCTCTCTGGGTTGCCATCTACATTTGTCCACAGTTGCCACCCACAGCTACTTCGCGCACGCAAGTGGTGCCCGTGCCGGCGGTTAGGTTGATATAATCAAGGAGGGGACCGGCAGCCGACCCTCTCCCTAAATTTTTGAACGGTTGCTTAGGACATTATTTGCACCTCGCAGTCGTAAGCAGATGCCTATCTTCAACTTTCCAAATTCTTATAAAACAGGGATATTGCAACGTAGCACGGATGGTTGCAATGTTCCGTAGTTATTCTCTAGACGCGAGGATAATTATACAGTATCTGTCGGGGAGGCTGCTAAGCAAGTATTCGAAAGAAAACTGCTTGGATTTCTTATTGATCTGTTGACGTTGGTTGGCTGTCCGAGGCTGCCTGTAGAAGGTTTAGGACATTACCCCTTAACCTATGTTCTATCTTCCCCACAATCAAGGGTTGCAGTTTCGTCGAGAGTCTCGTCTCTTGCCGACGTGGGTTAATGCGGCTAGCTTTCCGCCAATGCGCGAGACGTGCAAGAAAGAGTACTACAAGCACATCGATGTTTGAAAGAGTTTGCGGAGCTTAAACCCAAGGTACAAGCCGTAGATACAAAGATTTGTTATCCTATAACTGACAGTATGCGTTCGTGCAGGATGGTGAGGAGGTTATCTAGAAACAGTTCCCTGGCTCGTTCATAGAAACCTCGCTCGATGAGACGTTGAAGTGTTTGGGTATAAAGAAGATCGTTTTGACTGGTTAGATGGCTCATGTGTGCATATCGACAACCGCGCGGGAAGGATTCAAGCATGGGCACGATGTTGTCGTCGTGGAAGATGGAGTCGGGGATAGAGACATTCCTTGGGCGAGCGGAGATGAGGTCACGGATATGACGTTGAAAGAACTTGCGGATGTCTTCGTTACAGTTGTAAACAGTGCAGATATCAAGTAGAACTTACTCGCGGCGGCCTAAAGAATATACTTCATAGAATTTGTCTATAGTTGTATAGGTCTAGCAGGTTGGGAAGCTAGACAACGCCTATGTGACCCCACTCTTCATCTACATATCTTCATGTACCATGCCCTTCATCTGTCAATGAGTGGCCGCAACTCACAGTCTCCTCGGTAGCGCTGTCTAGAAGTCCTATGGATGTTGAGATCAGATCGGTCCACTGTTGGTCCTTCTTCGAAATCTCCTTGTCAGCATTCGGTCCTGAAACGATGCAGACAACCGACTCATCAGCAGCGGTTTTGCGTAGATTAATGGCTATCGGAGTCGAGATAATTCCAACGTTACTCCAGCCGTCGTCCTCTCTTATGATGCTATCGTCCACACCGCTGGGCCCACGCCGCAAGGAAAGGATAAACTTCTTGCTCCTCTCGAAACTCGTCCTTCATACCTTCAGGGGCTTTGTTAGAAGCTGACCCGCTGACTAAGTCTAGTAGGACGGGTATATTAGTGGCAGACATCTAATTCTAGCTAGAGTGACTGTGGATTCCTTCTCGAAATATTCTGCTTACCATCTTGAACAGTATTTTCCACGAGGGCAGCGGAGCCTTCGGCTGTCAGATTCGTCAAGATGGTCTTCGAGAACACCTCAAAGAGTGCTTGAAACATCACCCCAATTGACAGTATCAGTTGAGCCTACCGCAGAGACTGACGAGTGGTTGAAGTTGGATGATAACACCATGAGGGCATCCATCTGGCATGGTGAGCCGTAGTTGGCAGTGAATGCGAGCGTGGGTTGAGCTCATGTGTAACTTTCATGCTGCAATATCAGCATCCTCCCCAACTCGAGGCAGTGAAGGCGGACACTGTGTGTGGGATGAGCTGGCTCCAGGCGGAGTTACAGAACACAGTGGGAGTAAAGCGCGTTCTTGGAGTGGCGGGCCTTCGAAATGCAGTCTGGTGAACAAGATTTCCGGTCCTGCTCGGTGGCATCCGGGGACCGAAACTGGTTTCCAGTCTTCCTGCATAGAATCGAATGGATCCGGGGCGTTTTCCAGGATCCTTATGGCCTATCTCAACTGTTTTCTTAGAGTGAAGGAAAATGGTATGTCTGCTGCTTTCATTTTCACCAGCGATATGCACAGGAACACACGGACGCTGAGCGTTGCTGGTAATACAAAAGAGTGTGCATGGCTTCTGTCTATGCCGTGGCCTAATCATGTGGCAAGTGGCCCATGGCTTCAACATAGTGCAGCTCGAGTTCAATGCCACGCGCCGGCTTGCTCAGTACTGGAACAACGGACGTCTAGATCGCACCCATAAGCCCCGACTCGATCTCGACCTTGGATTTGATTTTGAATGCGACCACGGTTAAGATGATAAAAACCCTTTCCACACGCATTGTAAATAGCAAACTAAAGTGCTACGGAGCCCTCCATGCCTTGCCGGAGTCTCAACGTGGTACTTCTCGCGTCCAGTCTTTCACCGACGTACCCGTGCTTTGAGTAGGAAAACGCGTCATTAACGTACCCACCAGCCAACGCAGCAATCAAAACATGCAAAAGGAGGACGCGCTCCAGTCCATGTTTACACAACGCGCGCAACCTCGCGCGCCTGTCGTGCGTTTACACCTCGGATTTCCCCCTGCATTCTCCCACGACCGCATCCTCGACACTCTGCCGCGACTTCAGACCACAACGGATTATATCGTTGGCGCATCCTCACATCGCATCGCATCACCATGTCACCTACCGCTCCCCCGACCGAGCCCACAACCCGCGACTATTACGCCGACCTCGGCATCCCCTTCACCGCGTCCACCGCAGCCATCCGTCGCGCGTACCACCGGCGAGCGCAGGAGACGCATCCGGACAAGATCGCTCCGGGTCAGACCATTGACGCGGTCGAGTTCCGCCAGGTACGCATGTGTGATTGATCCTTTTCGCAAATCTCTGGAACGGTGGTGTCCGCGTGGATGTGCTAGGATTACACTGACAGTTCCCTCTCCAACTATAGGTCCAGACCGCGTATTCGGTTCTCTCCTCCCCTATCCAGAGGCTCTTCTACGACAATGAATACGCCTACGTCGCGCAGCAATGGGCCGAGTATAGGGCCAGTGTGCTTTTGTGGCAGCAGGACGAGGAGAGGAGGCGGAGGGAGGTTGAGATGGAGAGGGAGAAGGCAAGTGCAATCGCGACGAGGACCAAGGAAGAGGCTGAAGGGAGAGAGAGACTAGGTGCGGTTTTCGCTGCTGGTGACAATGGGGTTGGAGAGCTGGGTGAGGGTTTTGGGCAGGAGAAGAACGGGGAGAGGGACGAGGAGGATGAGAAAGAAGGAGAGGTTGAGAACGGGGAAGAGAAGGAGGGAGAGGAGGAGGAGGAGGAGGAGGAGGAGGAGGAGGATAAGGAAGAAGAAGAAGAGGAGGAGGGGGATACAAGCGACTGGAACCAGGGCGCCTGGGTGAACTGGGAAATCAGGCAGCACGTGAAGAATGCCTCCGTGCTTGGGTATTTTCCCACGGAGGCGGAATGTACGTGCAAAGGGTGCATGCACCGCCTGGAGAGGATGTTGGAAGAGGTTGACGAGATGGTGAGTTGATTGGGCTCCGAGTGGGGAAAAACAGGGTCAGTGGGGGAGGGGGAAATCGGAGTGGCTGATTGAGAAGGGAGGGATTGCGCCTGGTCAGAGTATCTTGAATTTGTACAGCTATGCTAACATGAGACAGAAGTGTCCAGGTCCCGGGTTTGAGATTACATTGTGCTTACTACTGTAACAGGTTAGTACGTCAAGGTACTTGTTAAGACTAGCTTTTGATAACAGTCTTTTGTCTTCCCACAGTATCAAAGGAGGAAGGAACATACCTATCCTACACCGCTGCACTTGACACGCGTCGTTAAGTAAAAGTGTACTTCCCTAACCGGGAATCCCGTCTCACACAATACATCTAGATGGGCGAGGAGAAAGGACCTAGGAGTATACAGCCAGATCCGCGAGAGGGCCGCGGCCAGGGCGAATAACGATCTTCCTTGATCTATTCCGCAACTCTCACAGCAAGAGTCGTTGCGCGAGGGGCACATACTTTTATGCCAACGAAGCTAGTAAACATAAGCCTTGACTGCGAATGAAGCATACGCTCTACAATGATCTTACAGAAAGAGCTTGACTCTTTACATCCTGTGTCTCAGACATAGTTCGTTGGGATGAAGATTGAGTTGGATGGCAAAGATTGCCCCGGGTATCGGACGCCTAGTTCCACATGTAATACTCCACGAGAAGGCGGAGCCCAAGGCCGCCGTTGCAAAACAAGGAGAAAAGGAGATGAATCCGTAAGGAGGAAAGAGCAATGATGAAGTGTGACAAAGGAGAAAGTGTGTACCTAGCGCAGCCGCAACGATTGGCCGCTCCCAAATGCAGTAAGGCAAAGGAAGTAAGTAGAACTCCGCCCGACATGATCATGCTATGTTGCCCGAAAACCCTTTCCTTTTCTCTATAATCCTTACAACCCGAAATCGATCGTCACATTAATAAGACGAGTCACGAAAATGCAGCAGGTCGGTTCATCGAATTTCACCGGTCCTCCTCTTGCAAAACGCGGTTCTTCTCCATATCGGCCCAGTAATTCTTCTCAAAGTACGTCTTGAGATGTTTGCGTACCGAGTTCTTCATCCCCAAGCTGAAACCCTTGGACGGGCCGTCTCTATTCACCGGCTGGGCGGCCAGGCCGGGTTCGTTATCTGAGTCTTGGCTTCCGCCGACACGCCAAGAGGTGAAGGCGGGAGGGGTCAGAGTGTATCCGCTGAGACCGCCCTCAGCCGTCCGCCTTGCAATCTCGAGGTCCACCGGATCTTGAAAGGGGAGCCAGCCGCCAATTCTGTACAGCATGCGCATGGCGCCCATCCGCGAGACTCCGTATCCCATGAGGCAGATGGGCTGGAAGGTGGCCGAGAGGACCCGGATGCCCTCGGATTCAGTAAGATTCCACACCTCTGTCATATCTTTCTGCACCCAATCGGGCATATTCTCCAACTTGTCCGAGTTTGGGTCGGGGAAAACGGAATGCAGGTCGAGGCGCTCAGGGTTATGCTTGCCGTCGCATTGGCCTACGAAAAGTTCGTCCCAGTCGCAGCCTGCTCGAATCAGTACAGAGGACTTCGCAACGAGGAATTCCATTCCTTCTTACCATAAGGACAGTCCTCATTCCAGCCTTGCTGCACGTTGCCCGCACCCCACCGGATCGTGTTGTTGTATCGAAGCTGCCAGTTCATCAAGCCCATGATGTCCTTGATATTCACGTCCCAGTCCACGTCATCCTCAATGATGAGCGCACTCTGAATATCGTTGTCGATTATATAACGCCATGCGTTCGCATGCGCTCTCCAAATACCCATCGCCGGCGTTCCGGCAATATCGTGTTCCCCAATATGGCCTGGCAGGGCTTTGGGATGGATACCGTCTCCCGGAACCTATCCAAACGGGATCATCAGCAAGGAGCCTTTGACTTGAGCTTCCGCTTATGCACACGTACACCAGGAAGCATGGTGAGCTTCAACCCCGACACAGCAGCAATGAGCGACAGCTGGTCCTGTCTGTCGGTCCGATACGGCATGCTCAGGTAGATAATCTCTTGAAAATCGAGCGTCGCGTTTGCTGGCTTTGGTTCGGGCGGTTCCGACACATGAGAGGCGGCGCTTGGAATACCGACTGGGCCACTGACCTTGTCCGGCAGCTTGACATGGTCGGCCGCCCTGACGGCATCTCCACCGAGGTGGTTCAAGGTGAAGAACAGAGTCAGGACCACGGTCGCAGCGACGAAGACCTGGATATTGCGGACTCCTTGGTGGGTAAGGAGGGACATGGTGGACGCAGGGCGTCAGGTGATTGATGAGAGTCGCAGTGGAAAAATCGCCCTGTTGACTATCTACGGATGCAGTGGAGGCTCCTGCCATATATAAAGGGCCTGTCCGGTTCCACGAAATGGAGCATTCATGTTGGCCCCCATTTCAGAGCCATATTTCTGCTCATAGGTCGATCACGTACACGGTACTGTAAGTGGACTTATAATGGAGGGCATACCAGTTCCTACGTCCAACGGAAAAAAGCAGGGGGTCGCACGGAGTCGCAAGGGTGACAAAACAAGGGTTTAATTAGCTAAAAGCCTGCTAAGTTAGCTATGCAGCGCTTCTTCAAAGTTTGCGTGTTTCTGGCCGTTTTCGCAGATTTTGTTATGGGAAAATGGCTGGCCGATCCGATACTCAATCGAAGTTTAGGTTTGGATAGTCTATCTTAGATGGCAACTCTTCGTATTTCGGCTACGGGGGCCACCCGCTGACGATGAATTTTAGTACCCCGGCGCTCCTTTGACTGTTGGTGGCGCTCCTTACGATCCTCCTGGCGATCCTCCTCATCCTCGTTACGATCCTTTTCGCAGTCCTTACATATTATTACTATCCTCCTCGCGATCCTTATCTGAATTACTACCCAACGACTCCACGCTTATTTAACCATTAAATACCCTATCCCATATCTCATACGTCTCCTCGGCGGGAGGGCAATTAGCGGGGATCTCGAGAGGGCAATTGGCGGGGATTTCGAGCGATATAATGAAACTTCTGCCTCAGAGGTGCGGAAGGATGACCAGGTACATTCATCCTTGGCAGCCGCCCCCTATTTTCCTACACAGTATTACCCGGGCACCCCCTCCTCCCCCTCCTCCCTCTCCTCTATCCTCCATCTTAGATATCTACAGCTTCATCAGCAGCTTTATCAGCAGCTTCATCTTATAAGATCCTGGGGTCCTAGTTCTATTCCTGAGGAAATCACATACAAATTGGAACCTCATAAGCTCTCCTACTAAACTGCTAGCCTACCCGAAACAAACTACTACTCCACGCCAGAATCTGGAGATATTCGCCACCCGACTACTACAATACCGCAGAATCGAAGATTACAGTGCGAAAACTGGGGGAGGCTGGTTGCCCAGGCGCTGGGGTTCCACTGCTGCTACTTGTATACCTAGAGAGGCCTCCCCGGCTTATTACTGTGTACTGGTACGCTCGCTATTATGTAGTGGTATGCCCTTTATTAATCAGTGCCGTCGCATTTCTCAACACGGTCCAGCCGCAGCGTGTTTTGGAAGGCGTCGTCCTTTCTATCAAATATGGGGACTTTTGAGCGCAGAAGAGAGAAATATTTCGATACGGTCTATGGATCCCGTGTACACAGCTGATTGATCGAGACGTTTTCTCAACAAATGCCGTCGACCCACCGACTAAACGTTTCATCATAGTGACGATCTGAATCGTTCCATGGTGCGATGGAAGCCGAAGAAATCATCGATATCCTAGTTCTGGATCATGAACAGGCCTTCATTGTGATTTTCATTTCGATATCTACTTTCACTCCTCCTGAAGCTGCACATCGTTTGCCTTCCACCCGTCGAGCGAGCTGCACCTGATGATGATATCGTACGCGTCCTCTCGTGGTCATGAAGAGGAGCAAAGATACTCAACCTCTTGGCCTAAGATTCTCCTCTCATATCTTCGAACAGCTCAGCGCACATAATGTACTGCCGCCTGACTCCGACGAGCCGACCGATAGAAGCATTCAAGCACAAGGCTGACGCGGAGACCAAAATATTCGTATAACGCACGCTGAAAGTCACCATTATGCTAACAACCTTGGAAGGTATCTATCCCTCTCCGTGCTCCACCCAGAACAAGCGCCCAGGCGCCCGGACACAACAAACTTGGAGGCTCGAGACGGCGTGCAAAAGCTCCCCACCAACTCCCCAACCACTACCGCTAAGCCGACGCCCAGCAGCGAATCCAGCTCATGTACTTGCCACTCCCCTCAATGGAGACGGATCCCGGAATCGCCAGGGGTATGCTCAATCCTTGCCGTAGCAAATTCCCGCCAAGCAACACATCGGTCTTCAACGGCAGCCGTATCAATCATCTGCAAGATCTCATCCTCGCGCTCCAAGAACTGCAATGCGAACCCTTGAGACTGGTGGAAAGGCACATGGCAATGCATCAGCCAAATCCCCGGGTTGTTCGACTCGAACGCGAGGACCAAGTAGCCCAGTGAGGGCAGCATTGCGGTATCGCGACGGGGCGGGTTGGAGAAGCGCAGGGTGCTGATGTCGCCGTCCCACGTTCTGTTTCTGGCCGAGCCAAGTACGTGGAAGTCGTGGCCGTGAAGATGGATAGGGTGGTCGGGGGGTCCCGTCTCCCCGCCGGCTTGGATGACCCAATACCACCACTGTGTAAATCAGTCAGCTGGTGATTGCCGTTGTCGGAAGCACTGGTACGTACCTTGTTGGCCTGTCCAAGCTTGTAGACGTTGTTGTCCTTCGGCCAGTCCGAAACGCCATCAATGAGACCCTGCATCGTCGGATAGCTGTGATTTACTGCTATCCTGCTACCGTTGATGAGCCATTGAACCAGTGTCTCGCCAACAGTAGTGTCATTGCTTTGGAAGCCTAGCAATAGTTCCTCGGGCACATTCTGTGGGACCGCAGTCCTGACCCACGGTTCCACATTGGCCTCATCGTGGCAACCCGTTGGTAACTCGGTAGTCGTGGAGATATCCACCGGGGTAGTGGATCCGTCATAGTGGAATATGGCTCTGGCGGTGGAGTTGTTCTCATTCGGCCCGTCACAGTCCGACCGACCGGTGCCCGCAAACATCTAGTAATCACGGACAGTCTGGTTGGCCTCTATGATGACATCGTAACGTTGACCTGGTTTATGGAGTCAGTTCCCGTGTCCCGAGAGAGCGAATCTGGAGGCAAAGCTATCAGAGAGAAGATACATCACTTACCGATGCCAATGGAAAGCGAGTCCGTCACGTAGGGTTCAATGGCAGTAAAGTCCACCGCAATCACCTCGAATGGGTGATCCTCCAACTTCACATGGACATGGTTATTGAAGCCAGTATTGATCAGGCGCAGCCGATGCCTCATTCCCGGTGTCAACGTGGTCTCGTGATACCTTCCTAGGGTTTTGTACACCATGGTACCATTGATCAAGAGGTTTTGGGCGGTGGGCGGGCCAGAGCTATGCAGGGTAGCCGCATTGACTTCGAATCTGGACAAACGTCAGTATCGAGCAACAACGCCGCGGCAGATGCAAACCTACATGGGCTCGTGGAACCAGTCCATGAAGGTCAAAACTCCCATATCAATGTCGTAGTTGGACACGGCAGGGCCATTGATGACAATCCCTCCAACAAGGCCGTTTCCGTATTGAACACTGTAGTGCGGGTGATACCACGAGGTACCGTGCTGGGTCGCCTTGAACGTGTAGGTCCGCGTCTGACCGCTGGGGATGGGGCATTCAGAAATGCCCGCGGTGCCGTCCATGTCAGGTGACCCGAATTGGCGGACTCCATGCCAGTGTATGGCCGTGCCGTTGTTTTCGAGTTCGTTGGTGACGCTGACGCTGATGGTGTCGCCCCAGTCAGCGTAGATGGTCTATCGATGTCAGCGAATTGATTTCAGACTGCATGTCGGACTCACGGGGCCGGGAAACTGGCCGTTCATAACGGCCATCCACTTTGGCACTCCATCAGGCGCCATCGTCCGGTTCTGAATCCTGAAATCGTACTGGCGATCATGTTAGCGAGAGCCACGCCATCTCGTCACACAATATCAGAAGTGCTTCGTCACTGCAGAGCAAGACTGCCCGGCAAGAAGAATTGTCGAGGCTGCATTTCGTCCACAGAGCTAGTGTACTCACCGAAACAGTGACACCAGTATCCGGCCACGTGTGATGAAAGTCGGTATCGATGCTGAAGTTCCCCGTCCAGCATTGTCTCGAAGTCGGGCTATTTTCGCACTCGGCTCTGGCGACGACGGACCCGGAAGTCTCTGAAGTCGGGGGCGTAGCGATGGTGGCGGGAGTTGTGATGTTGATGGCAGTGGTCAGCCACTTCAAAACCTGTGTCCCATACATGATTGACGGATGTGTTGCAGGCCGAGAACGAGTGAAGGAGTTGCAAACTAAGAGGCAAAATGGTATACACCGGTAAGTGAACGGAAAAGAATATGGCTGGTGAGATATGCCAATGAAGCGATGGAGCTGGTGTAAGAGAGAAAGTCTGAGGGGGCCAGTCGGTCTTTTAAGCAGGACTGGGCTGGCGGTTGCTGCCGTGCGCACGAGTAAACAAAAGGCAGCGCTGGTAGGAAGCTGCAGGCGTGGGCCTCGGAAAGACCCCTCCCCCTCGACTCACAGGAAGCCAGACGGGAAAGAGCCTTCTGACATGCGGGAGTGGGATGGGTAGACATGGCTCCCACAATAAAAAAAGGGAACCCTTAGAGCTCTGGGCTGGCTGTCGAGAGCGAAGCCCAACAAGTCCGACCGAGAAGGAGAAATCGCCTGGTGTATGTTCCAAAAGCACAAGTGCGTTCTTCACATTACCTAGGTACGGTAGCGGCACTGCGCATCCAACAGATACATATTACCTCATCCTCTCGAAACAGAGGACAAAGGAAATCCCAGATGCTGCTCATGTACACACAATGGCCTAAGCTGTGGTTGCAGAAGTATCCTAATCCCCTTGGACATCTTCCCACTCGGGGGCACAGAGCACGTGAAGGCCATTTCACAAGCCTTCCAAGGCTCGTTTGCTGACATGTTCGGTAGCGTTTGCCCCTTGACTTAGTACCTAGGCCGTCGCGTACGCTTAACTCGTGATTGTAGGTTTAGACTAAAAGATGTCACAATTCCTTCGTCACTCTCCCTCCCTAGCTTTCTTACATAGTTTCCGTTGCCAGGCTTTCTTCCATTTCAGTATTCCCCCCAACCCAAATCAAAGCCATTCAAAGCTCCAAGCACGGAAGCAAACCTAGCTAGCACCCGACACGTATCGGCACCAACACCTTGCTTGGGGGCGTCAATGGGTCTGGCAACAGCAATCCGCTGCAGATGCATACGGCTAAGTATGAAGCTGGCATCGACATTAGGAATTTGCTGGCTAGCTGCTAGCTAACAGTATACTAGCCAGCTGTCCAGCTACAACTCAACCAACCCACAGAATTGTAAAGCAGGAAACCCTTATCAGCAGCGTGCCCCTTACTTGTCGTTTTTAGGTGCCGAAATATCCATTTTCTGTTTCTTCCCGCCTTTGCTTTCTACCCATGTTGTCCGGAAGCCCTCGTACTCGCACCATGTACACATGCATGGACATTGAACTGCAAGACCTCTCTTCAAGCGGAACCGCATATAGTGACGACCAGTTGCGCCTTGAAACAAGCGATACCATGACCGACCCCGAAAGAGACACCTACGATACGGCCGACATGGAAACGGCTTCCGAACCGGAACCCGACGACGCAGAGCGGCAACACTCTCACATCCCACATGTACGCCTCCATCACCACCACAGTTCCAGTCGAACCATGTCGAAAGCCAGAAAGTGGGAGCACTCTCCCGTTGCTACGAGACAGCCTTCGACCATTATTCGTCAGCAATCCAGAGGCAACGGCAGTTCGTTCAGCAACGTCAGGTACACATACGCGTTTGCGCATCTATATGCATATGGCGGATGCTCACGGCTACGATGAGTTGTTGGGCTGAGGCTTGTCCACGATGATGTGCTGGCGGGGACATTCAATCAGATAGTCCAGTTGCGAAGCTATGCTACCAAACGAAGCGCACGGGCGAAAGCTCGCCACGGTTCCGATAGCTGTTTAGTGAGATCAAACATACTTACCTAGTGACTCTGGGGCGTAGTTGCACGAGGTCATTGGGGCAGGTTGAAAACCTTCCCAACTAGGATTAGCTCATACTTGTATTCCTCCTTGACACTGACAGAGGGAGATGGATCTATGGATGTCTATGGTTGCTCCACGTTTCCACCGCCATCCATTCCAGTCTGGCCTATAGCAAACCCTGAAAAAGTCGCCAGATGCATCTGGCTCCAGGCCGATTGTTATTGCTAATGATATCCATTCCTGCGCCGATTCCCTGGGTATACCGATATTGCCCTCCATACCTCCTATCCCGTCATCTAAAACGCTAACCTCCTCCGTATCATGTACCTTTATGAATCTTCACAATCGCAGCCAATCGTCCAAGGCTGGCAACCTCCGCTGAATCGTGAACGAACGGGTCTGTTGCGCAGAGGTGGAAAAGGCCTGTAATAGCTGATTCAGTGATGATGGTGTTGATCTTCTGCAATCTCAATGCCGAACGATGCCAGGTGTGAATATGGCAAAATCCTGTAGGGACCCCGGCACACTGTTACCCAAACATCTTTCCTCGTGACCATCCCCACTTGGGAGGAACAAGTATCGGGTTGAAGTCCTGTTCCCTAGATAACCCAGTGAGCAAAGTGTCAACGAAGTGAATGTTTAGGACAGAGCGGGAGGAGGATAAATGTTAGGAAGATGCAACCCAACGCATTGTCAGCGGTGGGGCGGATGTCTACAACCTCGTGTCCAGCTTCAGCCTCTTCCACAGTCCAACGTGCTCAATCCCCTCCTCCATCCAGTGCGGTTCCTTGGATATCTCCACCTCGCCGGAGGCGTCTCGTAGCTCCTCGGTGAAACCGAGTTTCTCCCAGAGTTTTACAACAGAGACCTGGGCGTGCACCATGGCCAGGCCCTGCCAAGCAGCGACGGTTTCGCTGGCACCTCCGAGCTGATTTGCAATTTCCAACTTGGTGGGCGAAGGCGGAGGCCGGATGTTCTGAGGATGTTTTGCTGCGTATTCCAGAGCTTCATTGATGAGCAGCTTCGCCAGGCCGATGGAGCGATAGTCTGGAAGGACAGCCAACCGGCCAAGCTTGATATATGGCTCTGTACCTGTAGGGTGTTTCTTCTCGACACTCTCGGTGATAGCTGCGGGAGGGTCGGCATCCGGGTGCTTGTCCCCGTGGAGATACTTGTTCGGCCCGTGGGGAGGGGGAATCAGGCGGATGGTGCCGACGGGGAGACGCTGTGCGGTAGCGTTGGCAGAGGCCGAGGAACGACGGTAGTCAACTCTCGGATTCGTGCTCGTGCTCGTGTTCGAGAGTGGCAGGCCAGGCGCGGCATCGGAGGTGGGCGAGGCCGAAGTTGCCGCAACGGAAGCATAGACAACCCAGTGCCAGCTGCGGGCATCGTCGTCGTCGAACTCGGCCTCGAGAGGAATCCCCTGTTGCCCAAAGACCAGCTCGCGTACCGACATGGCATCGCGGAAGATCTGCGGGATCGACGCGGGCTGTTGATGATGGGGCTTGGTGTTGTCGTAGTCTTTCAGGTCGTCGCCCGGCGGAGGCAGCCTGGCGACGAACTCGGTGCCAGAGCTCGCTCCATCGGAGGCGCCGAAGCCACCGGTTATCACAGTGGCCATGACGTTGTACGGCTACGAGGGCTTTTCGCGATGGGTTGAAGGACGGGTTGGTTGCAGAACAAGGCGGGGAGAATCAAAGGGTTTGGAGGAAACGGGAAGTCCGTTTATCTGTCCTGGTGACTCAGCGGCAACCTAGGAAGGCAGCCACGACAGGCAGGGAGGGAAGGCTTTCACTGCGGAGTGTGGGAGGCGGCGGCTTGATGTTCGACGATGCGGGGTATGCCTGAGGGAGAGCTGGTGGTGCTCTACGCGGCAATGGATGGTTGAGGCGGGCTAACAGCTGCCAGGTCTCTTCGTCTTCTTTTTGTCTCGAGCAATATCCAAATCGTCCATGTCCAACGAGGCACGATGTCCAAGTGAAGCTTGTCACTGGCCGCCGACCCCGCAGTGCGGCGCCGTGCGACGAATATATGTTAGCGCAAGAGATAGATGGACTTGGGTAGACTACACAATGCACAGGCACAGCGGGGCTCCCACAGTAGATTCTCTGGAGGGATGACGTGGTGGGCGCGCCGAGGCTAGGGACGGATTAGGTTGGGTTGGTCGGGATTAGTTGCCGAAAAGCCAAGCCCCAAGCGAGCCAGGGGCATTCCCATACAGTAAACAGGTGAAGGTGAAGGTGAAGGTGAAGGGGAAGGGGAAGAGAAGGGAGCCCAATCAAGGTTTGATCGATTATTACGGAGCCGGATTGCGGAAGCGCTACCCGCGAACATGATACTACACAGTACAGTATACCTTCACAGCTAGAAACCCACTTCCAAATGACGCATCAACTCCTGATTACAAGCGGGGGTGGGCCTCCAGACCCTTCGCAATGTTCCTCGAGATCCAGTCCGAGATGGCCATATTGGTGATCATGGGGTTGACGCCGCTGGCCGAGGGGAACACGCTTGCGTCGGCGACATAGAGGCCCTTGGTGCCCCAGACCTGGCCCTGCGGATCCACGACACCCGTCTTGGGCGACGAGCTCATCCTGCACGTACCCATCTGATGGGCAGAACCAAGCATGGTGTCTGGGCTAGGCAGACCGACGGCGCGGATCTTGTCCAGCCATGCCTGGAACTGGGCGTCATTGATGCCTTCGTGAGCAGCTTCCGGGTTGCGCACAAAGGGCTCGACGCCGGGAATCACGGTGAAGATCTCGGCCGCACCTGTGACGTACTGCGTCTTCGCGAGAGCGACGATGCCTTCTAGGATGTGCTGCTTGTCGAGCTTCGAGACGGTGTAGCTGAAGCGGACGCGTCCGTCTACGGGATCGGGATACACCGTGCCGGAGCCGTGGTCCCGAGCCATGGAGATATAGCCCACCATGTTCTTGAAGCGAGACACATTGAGCTTGTAATCGAACCCATTCTTCCACGGCAACCAGATGAGGAACAACGAGGGGACCATGTTTATAGCCTCGAGCTTGACGCCATGGCCTTTGCCGTCAATGTTCTCGTACTCGTTGACCACCGAAGTAAGGATGGAGCCTTCCCACGGTTTCACCTCCTCTGGATGGATGGCACCGACGATGGAGACGGGATGAATGTGCAGGTTCCGGCCAATATGGTGGTTCCTCAAGCCCGACCGGAGAAGCAGGAGCGGGCTCTGCATCGTGCCTGCGGATACGATGACGCGCTTCGCCTTGATGATGACCTTGCGACGCACCAGCGGCTCTCCAATGACGCTGCCAGTGCCATCTCGAGACGTCCACACTCCCTGAACACCGGTTGCAACCTTGACACCTCCCTCGGTCTTGAAGAGAACCTTCTCGGCGCGGAAGCCCTCTACAAAGGTGGCGCCCGCCCTCGCGGCATCAGGAAGAAACGACACGACCGGACCCTGCTTCTCACAACTGCCGCATCCAAAGCTGCAGAATCCGCACGAGTGCTGCTTTCCGCCCGTGTTCTGCGGGACGGCTTTGTGCGTGTAGCCCAGCCTGCGCGCACCCTCCAACAGCTTCTGGTTCGTAACATTGTGCTTGATGTGATCCGTCGACACCCCCATGCGGTCGCAGACGCGATCCAGGCATGTCTGAAACTCGGCCGACGTGAAGAAGGGCAGTCCCTCTGCAGCCCACTCTCTGCGCACATAACCTTGGGTCTGCAGAGACGCGCTCCAGTTGACGGTGCCTCCGCCGCCCCAAGTGCCACCGGCAAGGATGGTCATGGTGGAGTCATCGGCTGCCGAGAGTCAGTACATGTTGGAAGTAGAGGTAGAGTTGGCGACGGTTGTCTCACAAGAAATGCAAGCGCCATTCATGAACAGCTGACTCCAACCAACTGCCTCCTCCATCGGAAAGTGGTCAGGAGTCCAGTGATAGCCACTTTCCACGACCATGACCCGGTGGCCCGCCTCGGCAAGATTCTTTGCGCACACCCCACCACCGCACCCGCTTCCAATGATGGCTACGTCCGTCTCGACAATCTCGGGTTCCTCGCCGTGTGGAAACTGCAGAAATGCGTAGTCATGACCTTTACCGGGGACCATGTTCAAGGGGACGCGAGGGATACCGATGACCTTGCGTAGAGTGGGGCTGCTTCGGACCCAGGTCTGCTTTATGAGCATGGTGAAAGACTGATAGAGCGAGCGCAGAACGGGCAGGCGTGCGGTGGACCAGCCGCGAAGGATAGATTCTCTGACGTGGAGAGGTTGGGAGCCGATCGGGGTCACGTAACCAGTAAGGAGTAGAGATCCAGCCCGGGTACTGTGAGAGGTTTAGAAGCCATACGAGAGTAGAGCAGCCAAAAGGAACAAAACGGTGGGGTCAATATCAACGACATAGACTTGGTCCGCGAATGGGGAATGTTATAGTCTCTCAATAGGAAACGGGATTTGCAGCACAAGATGAAATAGGAATTGGCATGTCAGAGACGTTGAATCTCCCAAAAGGCTATAGGGATGGGTGGGAAACATAGCAGATGCCGACATACTCGAGAATGTTCAAGATCATGGCGAATTGTTTCTTGGTGTCGAGGGGCATGTAGATGCCAAACGTCCTGTACAGACCTTCCCGAAACGCGGGAATAGACGAAGCAGTCTCGTCCAGGTAGGCCCTTGCTATTGCCTCACTGGACATGTCCGAACGGCGCTCGAGGGTGGTTATGGCTGTGGAGTATTCACTGCCCTTGGCTGTATGCTCCGTCTCGGCATTGGCTATAGCCATGGGCTTGACAGCTGGAATGACGGCATCAGCGATGGCGAGCAACGTCTTCCATTGTGTCTCAGTGAAGGGATCCTCTGAGGGAAGAGGCGGGAACGGCGCAGCCTTGGGTGAGACGGGTCGGGCGGGGAGGTCCATGATGCTGGGGAGACACGAAACCGCGGATACTGTGTTTCAATGAAAAAGCGAAAGTGACAGAACGATAGTGAATAGCAAGAAGTCGTCGCAAGCAAGGAGCTGCCCCTCCATTTACACGTCGGGACGCATCGTGGACCACGGCCTGATGAGATGAGATGCGCAGTGCTCAGTGCTGGTCCTCGGCAACTTGTGATGCCCTTCCCCAGGCTCGGACTCCGCACCGCAAAGGGCGCACAGCCACAAGCCAATACGCCACATTCCCACAACTCAGCATCTCCAACAAGCTCGTGAAGGAAAACCGAATCCGAAGCATTGATGGAGCTGGAGCTGGAGCTGGGGTAGGAGCGACAGGGCGAAGGGATAATGATAACTGCGACTCGAGAACCTTTTATCAGCCAGGGCGACAGTACGGATAATAAACTAGTGGATGTTGCGCCGCATCGCTATGGTGCCGGTTGATTTCCTCAAGAAAAGACGCTGGAGTTTTTGGTTACCCGGTTACTCGATCCTGTCGCAACGGGGGTGGTCTCGAACGGCTTTTCGTGCATTTCTTCATGAGCCTTCCAAAGTCGCTTTCCCAGGTGCTGAGAGCAATGGAGAAGGAAAGTGGCCAGCAGCCCGTGTGGTGGTAGACAGAACCTGACACTAAAGATATGGTTCCAAAGTCGTCTCGCCTCTCGAACCTTTTGGCCGGGAAATGGGAATTATCACATGCAGGCGGCTCATTGTCGCCGCCAATGAGAGCACGCCGATAAGGCATTGCTTGGCATGCATTCGCACCCTTTAAGGCCGAATCTCAAACCAACGAACAACTCATAAAAGGAGCCATGACGTCCTCGGCGCTCGCTCAATACTTGTAAGAATGCATGTGTTGTAGACCAGACATCTTCACATGGGGATTCGTATCATCTGTCTATCCGCACAATCATAGCCAAACCGCGCCTGCGACTCTGAGCACTTAGTAGGTATACCCAGAGGATTAATATGCCACCCCTGGCCGGCACTACTGCAGCTTTTCACGTCCGACTGAACACCCCCCTGCACTTCCTCTGTACTGCTGTTTTCGACATCTAATTTAAACAGCTAGCAGGCGCAGCAATATAAGGGGTCCCGCAATTAGCTTTGTATCCCGCCTCTACGTATAGTAGTATGTTTAGAAAGAAAAATCTACCTGTTGCATTATTAAGTCATAGCTAGTTAGCTTATGCTAGGTAGGTAATTCTACCTACTATAGCTAACCTATTAGTTGCTACCTACTCCTTAGTTGCTACTAGAACACTAAACTCCGCCTATACAAATTTGTATAAGGGGCTATTGTAACTACAATAATTTAATAGGGACTGTTTTAGGAGATCCTAAAGCTATAAAATAATTATATATATATGCTAATATATCTATATTTTAGTGTTGCAGTTGCAGAGAGCCTGCAGGATACAGATTTTTTATCTGATCTCTGCTACCTTATTAGTTTTGTTACCTACTACCTACCTATATAAAATAAGCTCTATATAATACTATAAGATCATCTATAAGTTGTTTCAGGCTTGTTTTATAGTATTATAGTTGCAAAACTAACTTATATAGTTGCTATATATAATCATGTCTTGTTATACTGTTTTAAAGTAGGTAGAAGTGTGATGGCTTAGGCTATCAGCCCAAGCTTAGGACACGTGATAGGGATGACAGCTGAGAGCTGGGCCCGACCCGGGTCCGACCCGGGCCCGACTTTCCTGCTAAGCTATCCTTATAAAACTCTGTCCATAGTCCTTAGCCTTCCCTAAGAATCTCAATATTTTCATTGACATTTATTGCATTCAACTCTAAGGCTAGTCTATAACAAGAAGATACTATCTATATAAATGCTCTACTATAGATACTATAGTACTATAAGCAACTAAGATTACTTTTATTAATAGTAATAGTCTATATAGAGGATAGATAAGAGAGAAGGATTATAGAAGTATATAATTGCTAGTTAAGAGTAGTATAACTATCTATATTACTATCTAATAGCTTAGGCAGCGCTAGTAGAGAGATAAGTAAGAGCTTAGTATTATAAGAAATATATAGCTTAGTTATAGATATCTTAAAGTAGTAGAGTAATCTACAGTAGATTCTTTATTAATCTATAGTTGCTAACTATTAGATTTCTATCTCTTCTATCTTATATTATCTTATTACAGCATTGCTCAACAAGGCCTTATCTTTAAACTCTATCTTACTCTCTCTACCTATAAGGCTATCTATAATTATACTATTAGAATTACTATTTTCTTTAGCAGATAAGATCTTAATTGCTTCTTGTAAGTACGCATTAAATAAGCTAGTTATTTAGCTAGAGAAAGAGCTTTTAACTAATTTGCTATAGTATATATCTCTTACTGTACAGGACTGTTTATAGAAGGTAATCTAAGACTCTATAGTAAGCCTTATATTACATAATTATTACTCTATAGTATAGAGCTCTTTAAGAACTATTTTATATATAACTTGTGTAGTGTAGATATTTATATAATTATATCTCTCTAACGCCTTCCTTAGTATAGTTATAAGGGACTTTATCTTTACTATAGCTTGTTTAGCAGGTTTCTTATATAACGTACCTCATGGGTGAGCTATCTACATAGGTGAGCCGTCCACTATGCCAAGATCCCACCAAATTGTACTGTCAACTACAGTATATTCATGATGCCTCCACAATACAATAATCTACCTTCTTCAAAAGAAGCTCATGTACAGCTTGCAATCTAGGCTATTAAGCAAGATGCGAATATCTCTGAACGATGTACTGCACAGATCTATAACGTCTCTCGAACAACACTATGAGACCGATGTACTGGAGCAATCTTTCGATGCAAATGTATGCCCAACTCAATGAAGCTACTAAAGATGGAAGAAGAGATGATTGTTCGGCATATCCTTGATCTTGACATGTGAGGATTTCCTTCCTGGCTTACTGCTATCAAAGATATGGCTGATTCCTTGCTAGCTGCACAGCACTAAGACCCAGTCGGCCAGAATAGGGCTGCAACCTTTGTCAAACACCAGCCAGAGCTTACAATTAAGTTCAATCGAAAGTATGATTATAAGAGAGCCCTCTGTGAGGATCCTAAGATTATACAAGACTGGTTCTGGCTTGTAGAGAATACCAAAGCCAAGCACAGTATCCTAGACAATGACACCTACAACTTTGATGAGTCTGGCTTTATGATGGGCATGATATCAACAGGAGCAGTTGTCATAGGCTCTGAGCATCGAGGCAGGCCAAAGAGTATGCAGCAGGGCAATCGGGAATGGACGACAGTCATTCAAGGCATCAACGCAATGGGGTGGGTGATCCCACCCTTTATCATCTTCCAGGGCAAGCACCACCTCTCTGCCTGGTACAAGGAGGAGGATCTACCTCACGATTAGGTTATTGCAATCTCTGAGAATGGCTGGACAATAAATGAGCTTAGTCTGCAGTGGCTAAAGTACTTTGACCAGCATACAAAGAAGCATACTGTTGGTGCAGCATGTCTACTTATTCTTGATGGCCATAAGAGCCACAACTCACTTGAATTCCAGCAGTACTGCAAGGAGAACAAGATTATTACTCTCTGCATACCTGCTCACTCATCACATCTCTTACAGCCACTAGACATGGGTTGTTTTTCACCTTTGAAGAAGGCATATGGACATCAAGCTGAGGATCTGATGTATAACTGGATCACCTACATTACCAAAATCGAGTTCCTACCTTGCTTTATTGCTGCCTTTAAGGCTGCAATTACTAAGAGCAATATCCAAGGAGGCTTCCGAGGTGCTGGCTTAGTTCCTCTTGATCCAGAAGTGGTGATATCAAAGCTTGATATCAAGTTACGTATGCCTCCACTCCCCATTATCAATGAGAACTCCTGGCAGTCACAAACATCCAGCAACATCCTAGAATTTGGGTTATAATTAGCACTGATAAAGCAGAAAATTCGAATGTATGGAGATAGTTCCCCAACTTCAATGCTTGAGGCAGTCGAAAAACTTGCAAAAGGTGCTGAGCTGATAGGGCATTCTCTGGTGTTGATGACCAAGTGCAACACTGAGCTTCAAGCTGCTAATGAAGCTGCTACATAGCATAAATCGTACAAGAGAAAGTGAGTACAGTGTGAAGGGATCTTAACAGCTGAAGAGCGTCTATGGTTAGCTACCCTAAGTGAGTTTGCAGCATGTGATGATAGAAAGAAGGTGAAGAAGAAGGTGCGTGCTGATGAAGGTAAGCCTATGCAATGATATTGTATATACTGTAGTGAGACTGGGCATAACTCATGTATATGTAAGAAAGAAGTATAAATAGATTTTAAAGAGATTGGCTTACTACAACTCTTAAAAATTATTCGTAATTGTTTTATACTCTCCTGAGGAGTTTACATTCTGGTAGAGTCTTGGCATAGTGACTGACTCACCCATGTGACCGACTCACCTATGAGGTATGTTATCTCTGTCTCTTATGCTATACTTAACTATAGCCTCTTAGAACTTCTATATATAGTACTTAATTGCTAAAGGGTTATTTAAAGCAATCTTTTTTTTAATTATAAGCAATTTTGTATATATAAAATAGAGCTAAAAGTTGTAGTAGAAGAAGCCTTTTATATAGTATATACTAACTGCTTAAAGCTACTAGTCTTTAGATTTATTGTGTGCTTTAGCCTGCTAAACTATACGTTTTATATGCTTAATTTAAGCAGAGAAACTAGTATCTGCAAGATAGTAGTAGTATTAAGTAATTGCTATCTCTATAATAGGAGTTATTTATTGCCTCTAGGTATAGGCTAGGTGCTTTAGGAGGCATCCTTTTAGTTAGTTGCAGAGAGTATTTACATTAGTACTATAGACTTTTGCCGCAGTAAATAGAGTACTAAACTAGCTAGATTAAAGCGCTAAAAAAGCAGCTTGTATGCAAGCCTTACACTTAGCTATAGACAATTTTTTAGAAGGCATATTTTATATAATTAAGTTGTAGTATAGATAAGAAGTAAACATTTACAATAGAGTAGCAGAAAACCCCTAAGACTATACCCGTTTAGGCAGGCGGTGGGCTAGGATGGCAACTAAGGGGTAGGTGGCAACTGATGGGTCAGCCATGGTACAGAGGAATTGCAGCCGGATGTTCAGTCGGACGTGGAAAGCCGCAGTACTACCACGACCAAGAGCCAGGGTTCCAGGGTCCCCTGGTTCCATTGCCCGCCGAGATTCTCGATTCCGTCTTGTTGGGCTTGTTTGATGATGCTCCTGCTCCTCCTCTGCTCTTCCTGAGCCTCCGTTCCCAAAAGCCTCAACTCAACCGGAATTAAGTACTTTGGAGCCTTCGCTCGCTCTTTCACTCACCACGACTGCAACCACTCGCGACTTCCTCTTCATCACCCAACCCCAACCCTCTCATCCTGCCGTAACCAACCGCACTGGTTCCCCGCGTCCTGCTGTACCACCGTCTCCCGCATCTCTTATCATCCACCGCCTCGACTAGGCCTCCAATTGACACCCAACCGCACTTTGAACCGCTCTTTTGCTTCACGGCCTCGCCTGCCCCGGCCATTTCGGTTGCACGACCGCCGCATCACCCATACGCGCCCTGGGACCCGTCTGGCAGTCGCAACCTCACCCCCCTTTGACCAACGGTCCTCGATAATACCGCCCGTCTCCGCCTTCGCACATCAAACGACGCCGAATCTCCCCTCCTCCCGCGCTTCTCACGAACACGAAAGCGCATCGCGTCTTCCATTTCTCCCTCTTCCCATTGCGACGGCCTGCACCTCATCATGGTAGGCGACACGACCACGACCACGACCGCGACGACGACGATTCCGCAACCCGCCCCCTACCAGCACCACGTATATAAGGGCTCTGCTCACTACACACCAATGGCCTCCGCCGCGAACACGCCCGTGAACCTCTCTCCCACCTCGCCGCGCTCCACCTCCCACCTCGCCATGTATGGCCAACATCCACCCCAGATCCGTCGACCCAAGAACCCCATATACGTGCCGGCAGCACTGAGGAAGACCGAGGTACCTGCACGTCAGTCTCCTCCCAAAGGCGATGCCGGTTTGGACACTGCGGCCGGAACCTGGCGACCGGGGCTGAATGGCGGGCCGTTTGCGGGCGACGGAGCTTCAACCATCTCTCTCATCACCACCGAGGATTTGAACAGCATCTACGGTGATGCCCCCATGTCGCCGGTCAGCGGCCCAATTACCAGAAATCACTGGCAGGTATGTACCATAATCATTTCCCCTTCTCCTTTCCTTCTGCCACTTCTTCCACCACTGCCACAACCGCCCTCTACCTCCCTTTCTGTCATGATTGTCTGTCGCGTGCACGCTCCCCTCGTCCATCTGTTACGTACAATGGTTCGGACTTGGGTCCCGGGTGGGTCGCCCTAGCGTTGCATCACGGGTCCGGGCGAGTCCAGGTCGCCTCATCGGCATCTTGCGCTGCGAATCGCGCGGCCGCGCCCTCGAAAATCGCTCTCGGCTTGTGAACAACAACCAAAAGGAACGGCGGTGAGACGGTTGTCAACGTGTGAAGTGTTGTGCGGCCTACGTCTTCATGCGCGCCCGTTGTCCGCAGCCGTCTCTTATGATCCACCTGACTGTTGCCCTCGGTTGCGAGAGTTGGGCTGCTCACCCACCCCCACACCAAGGGGGATGTTGGCGCGGGATCCTTGTCGCTGCTGCTGCACAGGCCACCTCCAGTACTCCCCACCATGACCTCGAAGTTCTGTCAATCGCAGCGACAATCCCGACAATCTCGACAATCGTCTCCTCACCTTTCGTCGCTCAGAGGCTAACATGACATCAGCCCGACGGTTCGACAAACGTCTGCACGGCTTCGGCCTGCCAGGCTCCCTTCAGCTTTTTCAACCGACGCCACCACTGTCGTAAGTGCGGCGGCATCTTCTGCGCTCAGCATTCGCAGCGCCAAGTGAGGCTCAACGAGCACGCCCTGTTCCATCCCGAGGGAGAGCTGCAGCGAGCCTGCGACCGCTGCTACACCCAGTACCGCCAATGGGAGCAGATGCGCAACAGCCGTCAGAACAGCGAGAGTTCCGGTAGCACCGCGGCCGTTCAGATCGGCACTCCCATCGCCGCGAACCCACCGGAGAACAATCGTGTCGGAAGCATTGCGAACAGCTTCTCGGGCGCCTGGCACTGGAGCACATTCTGAGATGCCCAGTCGGCGCTTCGATCCCGATCTCAATCTCCTCAGCTTTATGATATCCCGGGACGGCCACCGCTTCCTCTCCAGGTGTGCTGCTCCCCTGTCGACCTCCCCTGCGTTGCATTCTGGACCACCTGCATACTAGCATGGCATTCGGCGTAGATGTCTCTTTAGATCTCTTTCTGGGCGGCACAGTGGTCTTATCACGACATGAGCGATTCCACATTTTCCAGGCTTTCTGTTAGACGTGCGCCTCATTGCGAAGCTTATGCTGTGACGGCCGCACGATATATCCCACTCCTAATGATTGCTCATTGTCGTCCCTCTTCAGACGGGACTTTCAGCCAGGCGGTTGCCCTGCTCTGGCGACAGTCGTGGCGTTTCGATCGGGCGGCGTGCATGCGAAGGGTAATGGCGTTTCTGTTTCTAGGCGGGTCTTTTGCTCTGTTTTTCCGATTGTTTTGCATGGGTATCATGTTTGTGGTCGTGTGTGCGTTCCTGGCGTCATCCCCGCCTCGCTGGCTGGTGAGGCGCTGATGAATGGCAGTTAGCGCTGCGGTTTTCAGGGTCGAACGAGGAATGAATGGCGGTGCTTCCGTTAGCAATGATGGAGATGGGCATAAGGTAATGGGATAGAAGAAGATAATTACTTAAACCGCATTGTGTGGATTACCTGCATGCATATTTGTGTCTGCGAGCACCCTGCTGGCCAATGTTTTACGGAGAGTACTCTGTAGACAGGATGACAAGAATGGAATTGCGGGAAGATGATATTTGCGGATAACGCAAAATAATGGGATGCAGAGAGAAGAGGAGGGATAAAGAAACCAGATCCCTCGAGAAAACTCAGCAGCACGCCATCCATCCACAAGTGGTGAGACACGCTTTTCGGGAGCCCATCTATGCCCATGCATTTCCCCATATGTTCGCCCAGTGGTGGGTTGGCGGTCTCCGATTGGCTGGCCGGCCTATCCCTGCTCTAGGTAACTGTGGGGCTTCGAGAAACGACATTTTTTTGTTGGAAACGAAATCGCATCTATCGCCCGAGTTCACGACTACGCATTCACTCCGCCGCTTCTGGTTCGCGCACCAGCCCATATCTCCTCAATATCGTCCAGTCTGACGGCACTATACCGTCTCTCTTGCGACGCGCGGTCGGGGGCTCTTGCGCCCCCGCTGGTTGGAGCACGACTTTGCGGAGAACAGTGCAAGCGGCGTACAAGCAGACACAGCATCGAACCAAGGGCTCCCAAGCGGGCGTCGCGATGCAAGGAAGTGGAATGGATGAAGGAGAAGGAGTACCGGTAGGGGTCTCGAGCACAGCGAACCCGCGGAAACGGGTGAAGCTTCACGGACGGGCCTTCTACGAGAGCATCGGGAGTCCGAAACTGGTTCTTGCGCCCATGGTAGAGCAGTCCGAGTTCGTACGTTGGTTACTCCACCACCACCTCCATCCCTTTCATTACTGACACACCATCAGGCCTGGCGCCTCCTAACCCGGTCCTTCCTCCCCGCGTCCCAGCAATCGAACCTCCTCTGCTACACGCCCATGTTCCACTCGAAGCTGTTCTACGACGCCCCCAAATACCGTGATTCGCATTTCCAGCCCCTCAAATCGGGCACCCTCCCCTGCCCGGCAGACCCTTCCCATACCTCCCACGACACCATACCGCAGAGCGAATGGCACCTCGACGGCAACCCCACCTGCGACCGGCCCCTGACGGTGCAATTCTGCTCCAACTCCCCCGACGACTTCCTCAACGCGGCGAAACTCGTCGCGCCCTACTGCGACGCCGTAGACCTCAATCTCGGCTGCCCCCAGGGCATCGCCAAGCGCGGAAACTACGGTTCCTTCCTGCAGGAAGACTGGCCGCTCATATCGAGCATGATCCGGCGGCTGCACGAAGAGCTCGACGTCCCCGTCACGGCCAAGATGCGCGTCCTCGAGACGCGCGAGAAGACGCTCGCGTACGCCAAGATGATCCTCGAATCCGGCGCTAGCATCCTCACGGTCCATGGCCGTCGCAGGGAGCAAAAGGGGCATAACACGGGATTGGCGGATTGGAGCATGATTCGTTACCTGCGCGACAACCTCCCGCCGGAGACCGTGCTCTTCGCAAACGGAAATATCCTCCAGCACGACGATATCGCCAAGTGTCTTGAGGAAACGGGCGCGGATGCCGTGATGAGCGCCGAGGGGAACCTGCACGATCCGACCATCTTTGCGGAGCCGCCAGCGGTAGGGGAGGAAGGCGCAGAGTACTGGAGGGGGAGGGATGGGAAGGGCGGGTTTAGGGTGGATGCGGTCATGAGGAGGTACATGGACATCATTTGGCGGTATGCGTTGGGCAGGGAGCCGCCGGTGAGGAGGAAGCTGTATGTACCGGGGGAGGTGCAGGAGCCGGCTTCTTCGGAGACTGTGAAGGGCAAGGAGACCGTCTCTGAAGCCAACTTAAACACCAACGGAAACCCCCAACCACCACCTCTGGAGAAGAGAGGAGAAGAAGAAGAAGAAGCAGATCAGCAAGGCGAAGCCGACGGCCAACAACCCCCGCGCAAGAAGCAGAAGCAATCCAAGGCCGACCGCAAAGCGGCCAAAATCACAAGCCCCAACCTCACCGCCATGCAGGCCCATCTGTTCCACCTGCTGCGGCCGCTCGTGGGCCAGCACCACGACGTGCGCGACGCGCTGGCCAACTGCCGTGTCGGCGACATGGAGGCGTTTGAGAAGGTGCTGCGGATGGTGGAGGAGGTGGTGGAGGAGGCGTTGAGGGCGTATGGGAGGGGGGTTAATATGGGAGGGGAGGAGAATATAGAGGCTAATGGTGGACGTACGACGGAGGGGCAGAGCAATGGCACGGCAGAGACGGCGGTGGATACCGGCATCGAAGTCGATCCGCATACGTCTTCGCTCGCTGCCGTTGCCCGCTGCAAGCGTCCCTGGTGGATCTGTCAGCCTTATGTTCGCCCGGTCCCCAAGGAAGCGCTCGAGAAGGGCAGCATGCAGCTCAGTAAGAAGGAGAAGCGGAGGTTGGCGGAGGAGGAGGAGAAGAAGACGAAGGCTGAGGCTGAGGCTGAGGCTGAGGCGAAGACGATGGGGGTGCAGACCGATGCGAGGGTGGAGGTGGAGAGCGAGGCTATGGGGTCAGAGGTAAGGGGAGACGGAAAGGGAGAGCGGGAGAAGAAAGTGGTCGAGGAGGAGATACCCAAGGAAGGTGTTGTTTGTGGATAGTCGTGTAAAGTGTACTTTTTTTCGAGGCTGTTTCAGACGTATATGGCTGCTTTTGGAGTTTTAGACGGGATTTGAGTTGCATTGTTATCATCTTCGCTGGGTTTTGCATAGCGCATGGGAAAATGCATTCGGGATGGTTATTGGACGATGGGGTAGACAGCATATAGACTAGCGAAATCACGATGGGTGTGTTTCATCTTGTGTAGAATCTTGTTCCTTCGTTCGAAGTGTGGGAAGGAGTTGCAAGTACACGGAGGATGGAAGCGGCGAATACAGAGATTGGATTCTCATCTCTCTGCAATCTTGATTATAGCGCGGGAATACAGCGGTACATCATATGGTTCTGATGGGTTCTGCATGGTTCGAAGGCTAGGTATGTAGGAACGTGAGTTACCACAGGTGTAGACACTAGTTTGTGGGCTTGCAGGAGTGGCGGGCGAGTATGGGATGGTGCAAAGAAATAAGGAGGCGTGGTTCTCGCATCGAGGTATGGTGCGCCGTGAATTCATTGCATAGATCATCGTTAACGGGGACAGGTTGAATCGGGAGGTGGGGGTGGTGTTGTTGACGGTGACGGTTCTGCGCGATCCGTCTGTCGAGGGGATTCATATAGCGGTACAGCTGTAGTCCTATGTGATAGGGGGGTAAGAAGGGAAAGGGAAAGGGAAAGGGAAAGAAAATGAAATGGCATGGTATTCCTCGGAATAGTACGGAGAAGTTTCGTCGGACGCAGAGCTAGGTGGATCTTGGGATATATATATACGACGCATTCAGACAAAATGTGCAAGCCTGCGTGTTGTCTATTAGCCCCGATTAGGGAACCAAATATTTGAAAACATTCATACTTATCACCGTGACATTTTCAGACTTGTACATACCTCTCAATTTTGCTTCGGAGCCTTGCCTTGAAAGGTATCGCTGGTTTCAAGTGACCGTCTGTTTTCGACCATGTTCCGGGAAGGGACGAGAAGAACGGAAGTGGAGCAACCGGATAGACAATTGGATAGCTGTTGTTTTCATACCATTGCTGTTAACAAGAGATGGTAATCAGCAGTGGTGACAGGCCGTTGGGCCCCTGAAAAGGACTGTTATTGGTTTGCTCAATGGTCGTCCTTGGGTGTGAAGCCATCACCGATTGGCATAGATGGCTGGAGGAGTCCAGTAAGAAGTCGAGACTCAGCGAGTAGTCTTCGTGCACTCGATTCGTATTCTTTTCGCTATTCTTGGATTTCCATAACATCAAGTGATTGTTTCGCTGTAGTTAGGCGTTTGCTGAACGGTAGCAGCCTTGGCATTCAGTATTGCAAGCTCTACTCTCGAAAGGGAAGGGATAGATAGGGTAATCCGCTTCCCCAGTTCTTTGCTGTTCCACTTATGGGCTCGGCAACCACCGAACCTAACTTCATCTAGTTTCCTTCAATACCTCTAAAGCGGTCCCATTCGGCAAGCGCGTGAGAACGACCTTTTCATGGCACGAACTTCAGCTCTTGCAATCTACGTGACGAAAAACGGAACAACAGGCTACGATTTCTATCCGACCAGAATGGCGTCTATATAATAAAACCGGTCATCACCTACAGCCGTGAGGAGGGTGCATTCTAAGCCATCATTCATGCAGAGTCGCCCCATGGTCCAAAATTTCTCATCAATCGTCTTGGTCCTCGGGTGTATTCAAGAGAGCCTTGCCGTGCCGTTCCCGCAAAGAGAGGGTTTTGCGATACACAACCTTCCATATAAAATGCCGACGTCATGGCAATGAGGGCGCGCTAGATGCGAGACACCCTCGAAGATGATGTGAAAGCCCGCTGTGAGTGCGGAGAGAGCGGAAAATCTAAAGTACATGGGAGATATACAACCCGAGATTTTGGGACTTGTGTAGAAAAGCTTGATCTTCATCAAATCATGGAAATCTAATCGGAAACGGTAAACGGGGCAAGTGTGTGCGGAGTAAGGCCATTTGTAGTCTATGTGATGCCAAAGGGAAAGAAAAAGGAAGAAGAAAAGGACACTCATCGTTGGCAAGTCCAGGTGAAATCTAAAGTAAAGGTGATTGGAAGGAGGAGGACCGGCGATGTTCCGAAGTCTGTATCCCGTTCGACTGAGGCGTAGAGGATGACTGAACAGCCCCAGCCGCCGTTGACTCCATCGAAGCCCTAGCATTCAGATGGTCGACACCCAAGGAATAACGGAGGAGGGATCTGCGAGATCTGGTTGACGGTGATGGATATGCCCCGGAATGTCGTCGGGGCGGCGCTTCCGAGTAGCCTAGCTCTGAAGAAGCGCCTGGGCCGTCGGAGCTCACTGCCGTGACAGCCTGAGAAAGGCGTGTAGTGCTGCCGATGCTGAACCGACGAGACTCGTAAAACAACTCCCCTGCTTCAAATCCCATGAGATGACTTCCAGTGAGGAGGACATCGTCGGAATATCTCCGATAGCTGAGCTGGCGTGGAAACAAGGGTGGAGACGGTGCCGGGGGTAAGATTTCTATGTCATCACTGTCGGTGACAGAGGGGTTCAGTGAGCTAGAAGTACGTCGACGGGCGATATTGCTCGCATGACGGTATTTGAATTCGGTGAGTTGTCCTCGGATCCAGCCAATCCGCTGTTCCTTCGTCATGCTCCTTAACATCTCCTGTTCAACGCGGTCAAGTGGAACCTGCTCAAGGGAAGAAGTGGGCCCTGACGAGGCTGGTGGAGGTCCATCAGTGCTGCGTGGACCTGAGGTGGGCGGGATTTCCTCGACATGGAGAGGTTCAAGGAGGCTTAATTCAACACGAGGTGGTCCACTACTCTCGAGCGCGGGTGTCTTGATTTGCGTAGTTTCCGCTTCAAAAGCGGAGACTTCGTGACGGTGCTTCCTCCACAGCAGCAACTGCTTTGTATCGTAGTTCCTCAGCTTCTCGAGCTGGCCGTTGACCTTCTTCTTGATACGTTGGAAACTCAGGTAAGCTTGCAGCCTAGTTCTATTCCCGATGTTCAACCACGTGGTGCGTGACCCATCCTGAGGCAGCAGGCGGTTCTGGTGAGGATGCTGATGCTGTGGTGACGGACGCCCATGCGGGATGGCAGGTGATTGCACTTCCACTCCATCCACGTCAGAGAAATTCCCAGAGTGTCTTCGAGATGGTCCCCTGGATGGAACTTCCGGCACTCTGGAGAGAGCAGTGCTGGACGCTAGTGATGTCACGGATCGCACCATGTCGACAATTGCGTAGCGGAAACGACGTTCCACAATGTCCGGTTCCATGGTTCGAGTGGACAGCAGTGACATCCTAGTCGAGCCAGTTCCGCCAAACGCAAGCCATTTCTCCCTGCACCGCTCGCAATACACATGACTGACTCGGCGAGGGTCACTGGACACTCGGACGCTGATACTGACGGCGGCGTGGTAGTGGTGACACCTCGGACAGTTGCCGTGGATCGGAAGCGTATAGACGCCCGCAGGCATGGGGACCGGGCCTTGGTTGATCTCACCGGTACTCGAGCCAGTGTCACTCCGAGATAATGGCATGGCTGCCAGCGAAGTTGCTATGATTTCGAGGACGTGTCAGAGCGGCAGTCTCCTCAGCTATATGGCCAACTGCAATTCTTCTTGGAGGCGTCACATGCCCTTGAACTAGACGATCCTAATCCAGGCGTTGTGGATGCTCGTGACGAGTGATTTCGAAACGATAGCTCGCATGCATGAAGGAGCGACTTTGATCCGATAAATCGACAAGGTGCTATTGGACACGGATAAGGACAGGTGAACGGAAAATGGCGGGACAGCCGAGTCGATTTCGTCGATTACAGCCTCGTTCTGTTTTGAACGGTGGGGCGGGATGAAAGCGCGAATGGAAGAGTGGAAGTGAAGGACACAAGGAAGTGTAGGACACACTTGTGCTGCACGCCAGCGTTCCCAGCACAAGAACATCCTGGTTTATATATATTAACAACAAAAAGTGGTTGCCTTCCCGTCGTGCAAGGCATCTGTGTTATTGAATACACCATGCGAACCCATGAATTCGTGCAGTGGTTTGGACTTGTGGCGCAGCTCGCAAGCTCCGCCACCACAATGAATGAACGTGGCGTGCAAAGAGTCTCCCGGAAGGTGGCGGGCAGATGACTACACAATTCCATGGCAATTTGAGAGCGATACATCCAAAGAGTAACAATGAATTGAGAATTTGCGGACCACAGAGGACGGGTATGGGGGAGGGGGAAGGCATTTGAGCAAAATCAATACTCCACCTGCGGACAATATCAGACCAAGGGGGAGGGATATGAAAGCATATTGGAAAGCTCCAGGATTGAAGAAATTAAAACGACCGGAAATTTCACATACAACGACGTACATGAAGCTCTGTACGGTCTACGTGCGTCGCTTGCATCGATGCTGGTGGCCGAAGCTGGACCTGCAACCTCTGGGAAGGCCCCGAAAGATTGCTCCAGGCTCTTTCACGCGGCCTTCTTCTATCGACCCATTACATAGCCTCAAGCTGTGCTTCCCTGGGGATCATGTGCACCACGGGGGAAGCCACATTGTCCCGACTGGCAACTCGGTGGGTGAGAGTGTTCTCCATGCCACAAGCTCACAGCCCCCACCGCCGAAAACGCACAAGTCCGCGGCTAAGGCAGGCATGTCCCGAGGGCAGCACAGTAAAGAGTAAAAGCACAACACGGGCTAGACCCATGAAACGAACGGGAAGGCAAGTTTTGGTTGAATCATATATGGATGTCGGACTTGGATGGTTGTGCTGGGTTAACGTTGAAGTCGGTGATGTTGGTGGGGCTTGGTAGGGATCACGCTCACTCCTGATTGGCCCAAACTCGCTTACGAAAACGGGCTGCCGAGCCCACACTTGGCACGCACCCAATTTCTCAACCCACGATTTCCCTTTGCTGAACCGTAACGACGACCACCCCATATCGACGAGCCCGGCCAACCGTCAAGATGTGTGAGTACTTCCCTCATTCATACCGAGACTTGTATCGCTCTGGTTCGCGTTCGATGCAGTAGCGTGCGAGACGCTGCGTCCGGATCTTGAGCCATCCACCAGACCACTTCCTCTGGGTCTCTCGGAAGTCGCTATACTGACAGTTTTGTAGCGCTCGTCTCCGGAGAGAAATCGAAGTACGTATATCTCCAGCCCCCGAGGCTGATTCCCTCTCTACACGAACGCCGCAATATCGCTATGCCCACTGTCGAAGTCGTCCGCCACGCCTGCAAATTGGATAAAATGGGCCGTCTCAACCGCGTTCTTCCCCTGGTGGATGCGGGATGTCGATATAGCATTTGGGATGAAGAATTGTTGCGTATAGGTGGCGGGCGACTGCGGTAGCGTACTGGAGTTTTGCGGCCATTTAAGGATACATGTGACTGGGGATACGGAGCGACGCTGACTGGCAACAGCTTCCAGTACATCATCCGTTTGTTGAACACAAACGTCGATGGCAAGCAGAAGGTCATGTACGCCTTGACCAAGATCAAGGGTGTCGGCCGCCGATACTCCAACTTGGTCTGCAAGAAGGCCGATGTCGACCTTACCAAGCGCGCTGGTGACCTCACCTCTGAGGAGCTCGAGCGCATCGTTACCATCATCCAGAACCCCCTGCAGTGTATGTTTCCTCGTCAACGACGCAGTTTCAGGCCTCGCTAAAACCTTGCAGACAAGATCCCCGCCTGGTTCCTGAACAGGCAGCGCGACATCGTCGACGGCAAGAACAGCCAGATCCTGGCCAATGGCGTTGACAGCAAGCTCCGTGACGACTTGGAGCGCCTGAAGAAGATCCGCGCTCACCGTGGTCTGCGACACTACTGGGGCCTCCGTGTCCGTGGTCAGCACTCCAAGACAACCGGTCGCCGCGGTCGCACTGTCGGTGTCTCCAAGAAGAAGGGATAAATGTATCGCTGGCGCTGGGCAGCTTGGGAGCTTGTGTGGTGCGGAAAAACAGGGCTTCCGGGGTTGGGTGGTGCACTTATGGTGTTTATCTGGGGGCATTGATTGGCTTTCACGCTTTTACCACATGCGGCTCTCTGCACGGAACTGGTAGGGCATGGCAATGAAGGATTCCAGGCCAATGCAAAGGGGGTCGGCCATATACAGCCTGTACCAAAAATCACACAATATGATCCCAAGTCATTTTCCGATCAAGCCTCTCCTCCCTGCGCGACCTTCTTGCAACGTGTACCCCAGTTGAACAGATCCGTTTTGCTTTGCTGCTGCTTAACGGTGGCAGGGTCTAGCACGAATGTCAGAAAGGAAGACGATTGGTCAGTGCAGGAGGCGGCATATTCGGCTGGGGTTCGTTCTCCACGTCACACCCTTTGACTGCACTTCACCAGTCCCGAGAGAACACGGCGGCCGCATGGAGGGTCCGTCCTTTGTGTTGTTGTCAGGTCTTCGGGCCACTTCAGGGTGATCACAGTAAGTATTGGCGAACCGTGACTTGGTCAGTTGGGCAGTCCAGCAATGGCCTTCTTTGTCTTCCCGAGCTGAATTACATACCAGACAGTTCTATAAACATATCCAAGTAGTAACGTCTCCTCCATCGTTCACATACAGTAGGCGCCGTGCAACAGTCAAAGCCTCGCCATCCATTCATCCGCGAAGATCTGGCCCATCCCGCAAACCACACCAACTCATTGCCTGCTCAGCGACCCCCAACAGCCACCCGGATACGCTCCTCACCCTGCATCCAGCCAGGTGTGGAGTGCGTTGGCGATGCGTGCAGGTTCGACGCATAGATAGTTCCTCCTCCTTTCTTTCTACCCTGCACCCCATCTCCCTTTGAAATGGAGACCCCACGCCAATCAACCAGTCAGTTCCAGGACTGTATGCACTCCACGCGGTAAGCGTTGTCCTGCAGCAGGGCCTCTCAATTGCGCCAAGAACGAGGGTACAACGCAGTGCTTATTTACGCCCATGTAACGAATAGCCATCGAAGGTGGAAGTGGAGTGATTGGGCTACCTAGGGCTTTGAGTGAGGGAAACTATGTGCCGAAGCGGAGACAGTATGCAGGGAGGTATTTCGCTGCTGGAGGCGGTTGACTCGGAGGGAGATATAAGGCACCTGGGTCTCGCATTTGGCAAAGGTGATGACTTGGCGGAGAGAGATCGCGAGACGGTATTCGTTGACTGGGACTGTCTTCTTTCCATCCCACCGTCTAACTAACTTTTCAGCATACTCTCATGTTTTGTCTTGGTCGGAGAGGACATTGCTGCCGTCTCTCATTCCCCGTCTGCGCTCACCAGTGGAAGATAACACTGAGCTCTCCCGCCTCTAGTCCCCTCCTTTGAGCTTCAGTATCAACACCAGCCGAATTTTATACTTGCAATATCTGGAGCGCCCTCATATTCCGTCATCTGCACACCCGAAAAGACCGATTGCGCAGGCTTCTCCAAGTGGACACGACCTACCCGGCAACTTCTCGCCACAAATATTGACCCATCACTTCCACGCCTAACACCCGCCGCAAAGATCGATACACGCGATTGCTTGATTGAATATAGCCAACTCAACGACAACAGAACCGTCATTCATACCATGGCGGCCCTCCACCTCCATCCTCCACCCCGGACACCGAGTCCCAAAATCCGTATCCACCGTTCACAATCATTCGACTCCCCTTCTTCCCGCATCAGTGCCACGCCAATTGATGAGTCGCCGTATTCGAAATCTACCTCTGCACTGCAACATGCCGTGCCGCTGGTGCTGAATCCGCTGCCTAGCAGGGACGTCTTATCGATCTCGACTCAGAATGTAATTGTCAAGACCAGCAGGCCTGGGAGAAGAGTAGGAGCGATTATACACGCCACGACACGCCAACAAGAAGAGCAATTTGAGTCTCCATACTCCTCAGAATCGGAAATGGACCTCGATCCCTCCTCCCCATCATCCTCTGGCTCCGAACCCGCCTCCCCATCCCAGCCTTTCCATACTCAACGCCACCAATTCCGGCCTTCCCATCACCATCACTCCATCACCAATGCCCCAGTAATCCTCCCGTCCCCTTCCAACACAATCTCCATCACCCTGCCCGTCCAGCAACCACGGACGTATTATCAGCCCGAGCCCCTCCCGTACCAAGACCCCACCTCCCTCTCAACAATGTACTCCCCCTACCTGGTCCGACTCGTCCTAGATCTCTACGACGTGCGCGGCCTCGCATGGACGGATATCGCGGAGCCGATTACGCGGGTTTGGGGCATCGCGACGAGTAGTGCAGAGGTGTTGGGGATACTGTGTGGGAATGGTCGGGTGGGAGGTGTGATGTGGTGGGATTAAGGGGCGGTTTCGTTCTTATGGAACGCCTGGGAGTTAGGACAGCTGGGGAGGGGAAGCGGGTGAAGAGTATGGTTAGTAAGGGGCGGTTAGAGAGGGAGGGGCTCCCCGAACAGGGCAGTTGAGAAAATATGAAAGGATGCAAGTGTTGTTGGAACTTGGGTCGGATTGGAAAGATGTGTCATGGAGAGAGCATTTGGCAGCGCAGCTTCGTCACTTCGGCATCTGGCATGCATGGTTTAGGTGGGCGCATCATTTACCTCCTTTCTTCCGCTTTGCCTTCTTCATTACTCCATTCCCATTCTTTTCCTTCTTCATGGCTCTCCACTCTTCCTGCTCAAATTTGTTCTTTCTGGCGTTCGACTTGGTTTCCATTGTTCGCATTTCCGGGGGATGGGGGCACAGCGAAAGAACTTAACGACTCGACACGACACATTCAAGACGTTCATGATTCTTATGATGAGCATATGGGGCACGACATTACAGCATCAACTTTTTAACGACGTTACGAATTCCTCTTTTACATAGTATAATCCGAAGGAATGTACAGTTGAACATCAATACATCGCAGTCATAGACGTCATTACCATGAGACAGGAAAAGCAATGGTACCAGGCGGACAACCGCAGATGCAAGAGTTATACGTAACGCAGAAGGTCTTGTGGAGTTAAAACGTAGGCCATGCAGTGAGCGCAAGCATTAGCTGTACACCAGGGAAGTGATCCTCCGAAAACGAGAGAAGCAGATCCGAAGTAACCCCACGACCGAAGCCAGGAGCCGCAAGATTGAAAGTGACCCCGGGGCGCCAGCGAAGCCCACATGCTGCATGCGTAGTCCAGGCCCAGGGCTCCAGCCTCGCGATGCTACGACCCCCGCGCTAAGAATGCAAGCCAGCAGGTATGCACATGTACACCACTTGTCGGAGTGCGAGTGGCCGCAGGTCGGCAACATGAAGAAATGGTATCGTGTATGGTACATTATTAGTGTGGTAGAGAGAAAGTGGAACATTGAAGGCGGAGGTCATGTGCGTCGTCCCAGCAATACAAGCTGGGTGCAAACAGGAACAGCAGGGTGATATGCCAGAACCCTGTGGGTTTGGTCGTAGGCGATTGACACCGTGGGGATCTGGAACTAGGTGATGTTGGTGAAAATATCTCATATGCAAAATCCGGGTATCTAGTCGTAACGGCACACCGTCGTCTTCTTCGACGAGAACCATTCACTCCAGAACTCTCCTTTCATCTCAAAGGACCCTCATATGCTCTTTTAATAGCAACCGTGCGGGTAAGGGTATGCCAGGCGCCCTTTGCGTGAATCAGAAATCGTCTTGTTGTATGACTGTGTCTATGATTTCGACTCGGCCCCTTCCTTTGGTTTGCGAGGCGATCAGTTGCTCCAGTGGCTTTAATGTGCCTGGCTCAACCATGCCGACAATCTCCCACTCGTCGCCTCCAATATCCTCACTTTCGGTCTTGACAAAAGAACTCTTGATGGCATCTTTGACGGTCTGCGTTTTTTGTTCACCCTTGCTGACGTCCTCGGAATCATCGGCTTTTACAGCAGGCTTGAGGGTGTGCTTGAGAGCAGATGTAGGACAGATCACTCGCAGCCGCATCTGAGCACTCATTGCAGGTATGGGCTGATGGGCGACAAGCGCTTTCACAGCAGCAAGGGCTTGTGGTTTGGCCTCCTTGTTAGGGACGACACCGGTCCACTTTGGAAGTTGCGCGTTTTCTCCGCTCTCCGCTTTGCCGGTCTGCTGTCGGGCGGCCTGTGTGCTCAACTGGTCGAGCGCCTTCTCGATCATCGTCGGCGGGTAGACTCTCTTGGTTTTCGGGTCGACAATCTTTGCGGCGACCATGCTGATGACCTCGTTGCGCACACGATCCAACTGCGCGTGACGTTCCTTCTCCCCTATCTGAAGTTCTCCCTTCCTAAGAATGAACCTGAGGACCTCCTCTTCATCCATACCGGAGAATTCTTTCGCGACGTCGGCTTTGGATGCAACCTGGGTTCTGCTGATGTTGGCAAAGACTGTGCGGACCTGTAAGACATTGTCAAGGTCCGTTTCCACCTCATTCCGCCAGTCCATGACTTTGTTTTTGTAGCAGGCAAGTTCGAAGCGCTTCTTGCCTGGGTTCGCTGGTTAGCCAAATGCCTTGACTGCGGAGGGAGCGGCCCTGGTACCTTTTTTTATGCGCACCACCGCCAAGTTGGTGAACTTGATTTGATTCGAGGGTTGTATTATTCCAGTAGGCATCTTGAGGGATTCGTCTGAGGAAGCGAGGACGGGGAGATGTATTGAGCGGTTGATAGTGCAATGGGTGAATCGAGTGGTGGGGCAAGCACACCAGGTCAGAAATATATTTGCGGCATCGCGGGGAGACGTAAGGCGGAGGGCCAGGCGAACTTTCCCCGAACAGGAAATTCCTCTTTTTGGAGGTCTTACACAGTAGAACCCGACAGAAGCGCGGGAACCATTTCGGGTGCGAATCGCGCGCTGGCCAAAGGTGGTTGTCGTTATCATTCACTGTCATCTCGACTCACTCTTACTGAGTAGCCCTGAAGTGTCGCCCTGTTCCAAGGCAGTTGAGGTGAAACGCGGAGACCCCGTGATGTGACTGCTAGCGGTGGCTGGGTGCGGCGATAAGCGCCTCACCCGGTGCGTCATGTGGTTGCCTCGTGAACCTCCCTCCCCATCCCAGTTCCTCCACCTCTCCTCCACCACACCTCCCCACAGTCTCCTCTCATTATTACTGGGAGATACCGTCTCTGTTGTCCTTCTTTAACCCTTGAATCTCGAGCCTACTGCCTCATTATTCCTATCGGCCGGGCTCTGGAAGCTCCATATCGCTGACTCGATCGCATCTGGCCATGAAGGTCGCCGCCTCCGCCCTCCTTGTTGGAGCAGCATCAGCAGCTGTTGCTCCCCAGCAGCATGTCCTCAAGTTTCCCGAGCAGCTCAAGGAGCTGAACACGGAGTCATGGACCAAGCCGCTCCACAACCTCGAAGAGTCGCTCAAGTCGCTCACTGGCGAAGCCCGCCGCATCTGGGACGAAGTCGCCATGATGTTCCCTGAGTCGTTCGATAAAGCCTCGTTCTTCTCGTCTCCGAAACCCCATACCAAGCGGCCTGATCATGAATGGGATCACGTTGTCAAGGGCGCCGATGTGCAGAAGGTTTGGGTCGAGAATGCCAAGGGCGAGCAGGAGCGCGAGATCGATGGCAAGCTGGAGAACTACAACCTGCGTGTGAAGAAGGTTGACCCTAGCTCGTTGGGAGTCGATAAGGTCAAGCAGTACAGTGGCTACCTGGATGATGATGAGGAAGACAAGCATCTCTTCTATTGTGAGCACCCTGTTGTCCCTCCCGCGCGCTCCATCCTCTGACCAACTGTTAGGGTTCTTTGAGTCTCGCAACGATCCCGCAAACGACCCCGTTGTGCTTTGGCTCAATGGCGGGCCCGGCTGCTCCTCACTCATGGGCCTCTTCATGGAGCTGGGCCCGTCTTCCGTCACCAAGAAGCTCGAACTCAAGTACAACGAGTTCTCCTGGAACAACAACGCCTCCGTCATCTTCCTGGATCAGCCTGTCAACGTCGGCTACTCCTACAGCAGCGGATCCGTGTCCAACACTGTCGCCGCTGGCAAAGACATCTATGCTCTCCTCACTCTGTTCTTCAAGCAATTCCCCGAATACTCTAAGCAAAGTTTCCACATCGCTGGCGAGTCCTATGCCGGACATTATATTCCGGTTTTCGCGTCCGAGATCCTCTCTCACAAGAAACGCAACATCAACCTGCAGTCTGTGCTCATCGGCAATGGCCTCACCGACGGCCTCACGCAGTACGAGTACTACCGCCCCATGGCTTGTGGAGAGGGTGGTTGGCCTGCGGTGTTGGATGAGAGCTCCTGCCGTTCTATGGACAACGCTCTTCCCCGCTGCACTAGTCTCATCCAGAACTGCTACAATTCCGAGTCAGTCTGGTCTTGCGTTCCTGCATCCATTTACTGCAACAACGCCATGATCGGCCCCTACCAGCGCACTGGCCAGAATGTCTACGATGTACGACGCAAGTGCGGAGACAACAGCCTCTGTTACGATGAGATTGATTGGATTAGCAACTACCTCAACAAGAAGGAGGTCATAAAGGCTGTTGGCGCCGAGGTCAACACCTATGACAGCTGCAACTTCGACATCAATCGCAACTTCCTTCTCCAAGGTGATTGGATGAAGCCCTATCACCGCGTTGTTCCCAACCTTCTCAAGGAGATCCCTGTCCTCGTCTATGCAGGCGATGCCGATTATATCTGCAACTGGCTTGGAAATAAGGCTTGGACAGAAGCTCTCGAGTGGTCCGGACAGAAGGAGTATAAGAAGGCTCAGACCAAGGATCTCCTTTTGGGCGGAGACGGCGAGAAGATTGGCGACGTGAAGTCAAGCGGCAACCTGACTTTCGTACGCATCCACGGTGGCGGCCACATGGTTCCCTATGATCAGCCGGCAGCGTCTGCCGATTTCTTCACCAGGTGGCTGTCTGGTGAGTGGTGGGAGTAGAGTGTTGGGTTGACCTGCGTTGCTTGGCGATGTCAGCCTTCTTGAACCATCAAGAACATGTGATATAGAGGAGCATATATGCATAGGATTATGTCTTCTATCGCTAGCTATCAGTATCTCATTGCATCGATATGTCAGACTTTCCGTTCTCAATATTCGTGTCATGACGGGAAACACGGTATCGCTGCTTGAATGGGTTCCGCGATCGCCGGTTCCCTTTGTTGTGTATCCAGAACGTGTATCTTCCCAAGGCTGCGTAGCGTCTCACTATATCTTCCTTGTTTACTCTTCTTCGCTGTCCCAAACATCACTATCTACCTCATCCTCAGACTCAGTCTCTGTATCCTCATCCATGTCCATCAAAATCCCTAGCTCCCGCCTTCCCTCAGCGAACATTTTCAGCTCCTCCGCCCTCACCCGCTCCATTTCGTCATCTATCAGAAACATGGCATGCACCCAGAGAAAATCTTCAAGCGCTCCCGGCAAAGATCCTGGACGTCCTGCATACAGCCCGTCGAGAGCACGCGTCAAGCTTTCCAATCTGGAGCGAAGGAGCGTGTCAACTCCAAGCATGCAGGTTTCGTCCGTCTCTTCGTCCTCTTCCAATATAGTCATTCTCTCTGGATTTTCGTCGAGGGGGCCTATTTGCTTCTCCCGCTCCACAGACTCGTCCTCGCTCACAATTGGCCGACCATCATGCTGCAGCATCCCCGGGTTGCAGCATGTATGTCGAAGTCCTAGCTTCTCGAAGGCTGCAAGGCGGAAGAATTGCCGTCCCAACCATCGTTTTTCGTATTTCGTCTCTTCTTCCCATTGGTTTGGCTGAGCATCTCTCATCTCCGCCTGGAATGCCGCATCGATCCATCTGGCCAGCGCATCCAGTCTTGTATTAATCCGCTCATCGAGTTGGCTTTGTGTTGCACCCTTCTTCCGTACCTCCTCATACTCAAACTCCATATCTTCATACGCCATGCCTTTCCAGAGCATCGTAAGAAATCCACATCCTTCCTCACTACATAGACAGCGGCAGCTATCTCTAAAGCCCTTCTCCACAAGATAGCTCCATGGAGGCACATCCACATGAGCAGGTTGGGCCTCAAACCAATCTTGGCCGCGCCTCCACGCCATAAAATGGTGCACTGTGAGTCCTGAGTTTGGCCAACGTTCTGTGAGCGTTGACCCTTGCCTCAGGAACCACTCTGCAATGTTAAAGATGCCGTCTCTGAGACGTCGACGCTCATATGTGAGCATCCACAGCAGGGGAGAAACCATTCTCTTGTCCTCCTTTGGAGCTGTATCGCGAAACCCGGCCTCGTATAGCATGTCCAAAATGTCGATACTCGGATCGGCCTGATGGAAGACGGATAGTCTGGCAGGCCGAAGAGACTTCTTGACATCTACTCCTCGTTTGACCAACATGTCAATAACCTCTTGTGCCTGCGAGTCCAGAAGAGCTCCTTCAGAGGGAGGGGTGTACTCGCCGGGGAGCAAATACCTGTCAGCTAATTGCCTTAGCGATCTTCTCTGGTTCACCAGCTCCAGCAATACCGCGTCCCTCATGCCCTTCTTGCTATAGCTGTCGGCTCGATCCAATGCTGACTCTAAACTCCCTATACTTTCCAACTCGGCCATATCAGCAACCTGTCTCCTTGTTTCGAGCCAGAAGTTGACAATATCGACATTTCTGGTCGAAACCGCCATTTCCAGCAGCGTTCTCCCGTATACCATTTGAGCATTTGGTCGCAGTTCTAGGCCAGCCTCAATTTTCACGCCACGTTGGAAGATCCTCTCCAACCCCTCACGCCACTCCATGAATGTTGCCATCTCATACAGCGAATACCCGTCTTCTTTGGAATTGGCCGCATACTCTATGTCGGCCAGTACCGCATCTAGTCGTTCTTCCGATTTCAGCATCACCGCGCGCATGCGTTCGGAGCAATCCAGACAATCGTCATCTAATTTCCACAGCTGCAGCCCTGCATAGTCCATATCCCACTCTATCCGTTCGATCTGTCGGGCGAGCGAAACTGGGACACCGTGGTCGAATAGTTTGGCAATGAGAGTGGGGTGGCCACCCCAGAGACTGTGATCGACGCATGTCCTGGGTGCAGGTAGTCAATATTGATGTCACCCTGGCATTCCTCCTCAAAGCGCTTCCGGGTAGCGATCGTGAAATGTGGGAAAGGGGCGCCACTTACAGCCCATCATCATCCCTCTCCAAAGCCTCGTTTGGCATCAATTCCAGTAGCTTCAGCGCCATGGACCTATAATTGTCCATCTGCCATTGACTTTCCTCCATGAGGCGCCACTTCATCTTCGAACAGAGAAACTGGGAACATGAGCCCACGTTAGCATAGTCCAAAAAACCCCTGTCTCATCTTCGATGACACTGATGTCCCCCACGGGCACTGTCCCACTAGAGAAAAATGCTAACATGACCAGGGGAACTCACATGCAGCAAACTCCACCCATTCGCCAACCTATCATACGGACTAGCCTTGCCCTCCTCAAACACCTTCCACAACTTCCGCGCAACCACTTCCCACGCCCGCTCGTCCGGCCGATCACCAATCCTGCGGCCAAAAGTGGCCATGAGGCGGAACGCTGGTGAGGTCTTCGCGTCGACGACTCGATAACTCCTCAGTGCGGGAAGCAAGGATGTGCTGCCTAGGCCGCGGGAGAGGGCGATGGCGAAGTGGATTTTGCGTTTTAGAGCGAGGCTGCAGAGGGAGAAGCGGAGATGCAGGTTGCTCATGGTAGAGGTGGAGGGGAGGGTAGAGAGGGGGCAAGGCGGGTGGTGGAGGGTCGTGAGCGTGTGGGAGAGATGAAGGGCTTGGCTGAGGTAGACGGTTGTTTGCGAGCGGGTATGGCAGGTGCAGGATAGATTTTGTGGAAAGGCCAAGCTGTTCGTGTTTTTCGTCTTTCCTTTCCTCTTGGAGGGACTGTCGTTGGGTATTTGGGCCTGCTCCATACGCTGCGAGCCGTCGGCATACTTGGCAAATTCGTCTTGAGGCCCTTTTGGGAAGAGTCGCTGAAGATTGACGTCGGTGATCTGGTTTTCCTGGCGGTGTTTCAGTATGGGCAGAGAAGATGCGATAAGGGGTGAGATACAAGGATACTTCGAACTGTTGAGACGTCGAGGGATAACTGTTCCATACGTCCGGTCAAGGGGTTAATTGCGGTTCGTACTTCACTGATGTCTGACCTTAAGACGTCAGTGTTGTCTGCCGAAATGCGATGAACTGCAGACTGGATCGAGGTGCAATGGTCGCGTAGTGCAGGGACGATAACTTGCTGATACGACTCGTTTTTATTGTGGATCTGCTCAAGTACCTCCGATTGCATGGCCAATTGCGTCTTGATGGCATCGGCGCTGTACGCTTGTTGCTCTCTATCGGATGTGTCAGTCATGGGCCCTTGCAAGGGTGTAGGAGGGTTATGAGTGAACTGGTTACGTACGAGATAAGTATAGCCAAAGCCGTATTCAGATCCTGCTGTATGCTTCCAATAACCTCCTTGCAGAATTTGAAGTCCCCTTGCTTGAGAGGGAACAATAACCTTTTCTTCCAAGTCTTCATTCTCACACTGAACGTCGTCTTTCCACTTCCCGATCCATTGGTTCCCCCTCCCTCTCCCGTTAGCACCGAGAACTTCGACTTTGTCTTCTCCAGCGCGTCCTTACACACCATAACCCAACCCGCATTCTTTTCTCTTCGTCCAGCAGACGCTTCCATTTTCTGTACAACAGACTCCACGCTCTCCAGATGAGCAGCCAACTTTTCCATCCGCTTTTCCACCTCTGCAATCTGTTCATCTGCGCCCTTGACATCGTCCAAATATGTGATGAGACCTTTGCAAACCTGCAGTCCGAGCGAGAGCCCTCCCACCGCCATCTCTGCACCCGCCATCGTGATGACAGTGGTGATGGAGTTTCCTTTGCATGTTCGGCCAGACGTCCCGCGCGGGCAGAGGCATGTCCGTATAAGTCTGAACTGGGTTGGGAGATACGAGGTGATGTTCTGGGTGCTGACAGTTTGACGCCAGTGAGTGGCTGAGTTAAGCGCCCGATGGTGTGAAACGGTGTCAGATGCGTGACGGCGGCGGGAAGGTTGATCATTGGATGGCTTTACTGTCTGTAAGTGGCACAGCAGTTAGGCAAATCACACATTGCGTGGGGGTTGAAACAACTTTTACCTATTCTTAAAATTTAACGCGGATATGTACAATGTGACAGCCTGTGGCTTCGGGTGTTCCTTTGTCAAGTTGAAAACCATAGAGGGTTATAAACCTATATTCAGTACCTTTTGAGAATAATGTGAAGAGTATACTCTTCCAATATTGATACTTTGACGTCTCAGAGACGTCGCTGCCTTGAGGCGAGGCTGAGACATGAGATGTGAGATCTGTTCTATCTGTGTCACTTGGGAGCTATTGAATCCAGTCTCCGGTACTAATACTACATTGGGTCATATACACAGAATAGTACATGGATAAAGACATAGATACACTCACTGCTACTGTACTCTTACTGCGTCCGCTCACTATGCACCTCCGGCTCCACCTCCTTGGGCGTCGCCTCGTACCTCTTCCCTCTGAAAGCATACAAACCCCAATTACTACAATTGACATCGTGCGGATCCAAGTCATTCAAATCCCATCTCAAGCTCCGGAACAGGTTCTCTCCCGGTTCGAGCAAAAAGTCCATCTCGTTCCCGTACCGCTTCTGCAGGTGCTCGACGTCCTGTTGCATATCCCAAGGGGAATAACCAGTGGCGATGACCGGGCATTTGGTCTCGAGCAATAACGGCAATGTCTCCTCCCACTCATGCAGGGAAGCAGGGTTACCGAATCCAGGGTGGAAACAAATGAAGCAGTCGAAATAAGGGTCATACGGGTAGAAATGACCCGTCTTGTGCATCGTGTGGTAGTACTCTACAAAAGTGCTGATCTTCAATGCATTAGAGATTCGGTCTTCGATGACGGCGCCGAAGGGGTTGAGGGGCGTGCGCTCTGGGAGGGGTAGCTCCTTCTCACGGTTGGCCATGGATTCAGGACCGATGAAGTGCAAGGAAAACTGAACGCGGTGAAAAAGGTAGACCATTTGCATCCAGGTTTCGCGGGGAAGCGAGGATTCGGCACGGGCACCGAGGACGAAGAGGCGGACGGGCGGTGGGGCGAGGCGGGAGTTCTTCCAAGTGTTGTCGCCGCCCGTACGGGGAGGGTGGAGAGAGTGTCGAAGGGCTGTTTGGTGTCAGGATATGGACATTACGAAGGTATGAACAAGGAGCGTACCGCTAAAACTCTTGAGGCCCTCAGGCGTCAGCCGGCCTCCTCTCCGAATATTGTATGGACTCAGCTCATGCAGGACACTTGCGATTGTCATTGGGTACGTCAATAGCTTCGTTGCTTGCCGCATCTGCCGGTCTTCATTGAGGGCATCAAAGTCTCGCGTATACATAAACGCGTCCCAATTGCTCATGTTCACGAGGATTTCCTCCATTTGGGGCGCTCCGAACTGATATTCGTGGAAGAACCGGCCGCTGTGGAGGTCGTGATCGTCCTCATTGCATTGCCGCATGATGTCGCACACGTCCAGATGCGCCTCATAATCATCCGCCCAGTGCTCCTCACAGCAGTATACCGGAATTCCGCAGTCCGGACACTCGAAATTCACATGCGCCGGTGGTGCTCCTTGCTCTGTCGATTTCCTAGCCTCTAAGTCCTGAGGGTTGGTCGCCGCACGCGTGGGCTTGTGCGAGGGGTGTGGGCAGTACGCATGCTGGCGCATGAATGCTGCTCGTTTCCGAATCGCAGGTATGGGCGAGTTCGTGAAGGAGTTGAAGAGGTTGTCCTCTGTGAGGATATACTTGCGTCTGACGCCTTCGGGATCGATGTATTCAATGGGCTCAAACTGTGCTTGAGATTTCCGATTCGCAGTGGAGGAGACACTTCGACGAGGTAAAACGAGCGAGGAACTGCCGGCGGATCGAGTGGAATGTTGCCGTGAGGGGGAGAAGCTGGGGGCATTGAATCGGAAGGCGTTATTTCTTGCGCGATTGAACTGAGGCCTCGTCGCCTTAAATAAGGAGAGACAGCGGGTACATGTGTATGAGGACCTCATCTTGATCATGAAGCCGCCAATGATGGGCGGGAGCAGCTCGTCACCTTTGCCATGGTGAGTGTAAAGTTAGGATGCCAAGACGCTCTCTCGGCGTCGGGGTAACTAGGTTTCCGGATTCCATACCTCCCCGGCCTACACCGATCAGGTCCATGATCTCCTTAATCGTCCTACATGTTCAATTCAAGGTTGATTGCATAGATCAACAATCCATGACCCAGGAAGATGTAACTGACCAGCTCACGGTCTTTTCTTGCATTTCGTTGGCGTCGATGTCATCGTTCATGCCTCTGGCCGCCCAAGTACCCACAACAGAAATGAATGCAGCGGGACTGCCCTCGTGAGGTCCCAACGGGAAAATGGCAGCGAAATATGCGAGGATGGAAGGGTTTTCGACTCTGCGGACAGGCCTCACGGTCAAAAAGCACCCAGCGAAGACTTTCGCCCGCTGTCAAAACCTCGCACCTTATCGATAAAGAAGCACGCAAGCGGATCGCGTTCGACGTCATGTCGAGCTCCTATCGGCTCCCATGTGCAGCTCCTTTCTCATAAAGAACACTCTTTCGCAGTACATCGCATCCAACTGCAGTTCATTCCATCCTTGTCTCTCTAGATTAACCCTTATTCGACCTCCAACTCATCAGAATGCCTACTGTGTTGATCGTCGGAGCAACCAGAGGGCTTGGAGCCGAACTTGCCAAAGCATATGTCTCCAACGTACCTCAGAGCCGGGTTTATGCAACTGCACGCTCATCGAGCCCACCTGAAAATTGTAAGACATGCTTTGGCTTTATTCAGTTCTGTTGAACACCGTACGTGTTCATGTGACTTGCTCGTCTCCTCTCGTCACCACCTCCAATGCTGAATCCAAATCCCACGCACTAACTAGCCATAATAGCAGAAAATCTTGTCTACGTTCCCGGGGTTGACCTTGAGAATCCGGACGCCGGGAAGATAGTACTTGAGCTCCTCCACAAGCACTCCGTCTCTCACATTGACATCGTCATCATTACTGCTGGATACTTCGCCACTGAAACGCTACAAGAACCCTCGTTCTCGGCCCAAGAGACGATGTACCGTACCTGTGCGATTGGTCCTACCATTCTTGTGGCCGCCCTTGCCAACGACTCTGAAACTTTGCTCGATTCGAAGTCCAAAGTCATTCTTGTCTCGTCAGAAAGTGGATCGATCACTCTTCGTCATGAAAAGGAAGGTGGAGGGAATTATGGTCACCATGCCAGTAAAGCGGCCTTGAATATGTGTGCGAAGTTGTTGAGCCTGGACTTGAAGGAACGAGGTGTCGCCGTGGCGGCCGTGCATCCGGGCTTTATGCGCACAGACATGACGAAAGGCGTTGGATTCGATAAATACTGGGACATAGGTGGAGGTGAGACTGTCGTGTCCCGTCAAGGATATCTGCTAATGGTCTAGATAGCTGTCACACCTGATGTTGCTGCGGAAAGCCTGATTGAGTGGATTGATACTTTTGATATATCGAAGACGGGCGGATACTGGGCGCCTCGCGGTGCAGCGTGAGTGTCGCTAAACTCGAATGTTTTCATCTGAATTTTAATTCGGAGTAGGGATATTGGAACGGCTGAGCCCGTCCTGGGCCCGAAAGAGAAACTTCCCACTCCACTTCGGCTTCCGTGGTAGAGGGGTGTCAGTCTCGAACGATCTATCTGATGACGCAGACCCCAGTGCTAATGCGTCTCTTTCCTTGAGCCTCACCTGGCGGCCAACAGGCATCTCGTTCGCATACACCCCCGCAGTAGTGAAGCTTATGAATAATGAAGTGGATTTAGTGAGATATTAGTGGCCTCCATCCAAGTAACATGAGACATCAGATATAATGAAATCCCAAACAAACCATTAGGAAACGGAGCTCATTACCAATCGTCAATCATGTCATTCGTATCTTCCGACTCAACCTCCATTATCTTTCTCGCAGCTTCCGACCCAGCAACCGGGAGCATATGTAGACCTTCCTTCTTCACACTATCTGGAATCTCCTCTGGATCAAGCAGACCCACTTGGAAGAGGACACTTGCTTGGTCCCTGTATCATGTTAGGAGAGAGCGGATGGTGATTGTAGCCTAACTTACCAGTACACCCTTTCATGCCATATCTTGCCTGCACGCATGCCCACAATGGACACCACAACAATCTCCACCTTTTCATTCGTTGGCGGTACCCCTGGAAGTATCCAGGGCATTTCGCAGGTATGCTTGAACTGGATGTAGAGCTCGTCGACGATTTTGTCCACGCCAATCGTCCGGGAGATGAGTCGCACGTGGAGCGAAGGTGGCGATGAAGGGAGGAAGAAGTCTCTATAGAATCGTTTGAGCTCTTCGGCCCCAACGCCCCCGGTCATGGTCGGTGTATAGTTGACAAAAGGCGTGGGCTCATCCACGAACGTATCCATCAACCTATTCACGTCCTTGCCGCGATATTTCTCTGTAGCGTGTCAGCAACAATGCCGATGGATGTGGCCTGAAAGGACTTGCGTTCTTCGTTCTCATCCCAGACCCGTTCCAAATCTACTTCTGCACCAAATGCCCGCCGGACCATGCTCAGACTTCTGCTCCACGCTATAGCGTCGGCAACCGGATCGTACTCGTCAAGGTCATGCTCGGCAAACCCAGCATCAACGCCTTCATACGAGTAGACGGGGTATTGGATCCTTGATTGTAGCCCTCCCGCACCTATCCCAGTAGTAACGCGCTTCTGGACAGTCCGGCGTTTGCCTTGTATACCGAGAACTTCTGGTCGCCGCGTGACTCCTATGGTAGCTTCCGAGGGTGAAGAGCCCAGGGGTAGATGGACAAGGACCCTAAACGATGAACTTATGCGATGCGTAGGATCAGGTATGGAGGATGGGTAATAAGCAATCAATGCACATAGCTTGGAGGTACTCGTCGAGTACTCTGAATAGACGTTTAAACAGACAGACGCTGCTTCTCCGAATGCTGGCGTTAGAGTCACGTTAGCATCGTGCACGCCGGAACACATGCAGCGAAGCTGAAACTGGGATATATACCTACGATGGCGTATCGCTCTCCAATACTCAGATTATCACCCAGATGGCGCAGCGTGTTCACGTAGGTTTTTCCTCCCTTGCCCATGGGCAAATACTGTACGGCGAATCCTTCATCTCTCCATGCACGCAGGGTCTCGAGGTCGAACTCATCGTCTTCGGCAGTAATGAAGAGAAGAGGCGTGCTGTGACTGAAGCTGAGCCAGCCATTATTATCCGCCAGGAATTGAAGAGCCATGATAGCGTGGGGGCTTATGAGGTCAGGTCAAGTAGCGGCGGGCAGAGGAGTTGGCGGAAGAAGATGTACTTGTGATTCCCCAGCACGAGGTCGCATGCGCAGCAGCACTATTTACGCTTCTATGCACCAGCTTCGCTTTCGTTCGACGCGTTGTTTCGTTCCTCACCTGTGTGCAGCACTCTAGGATAGAGGTGTGGACTTCGTGTCAGGACGGATGACGTCATCGAATTCACCCGCCGAATTCGGTTTAGCGGCCTTGACCTTCACAGTGATACGACTTTCATATGCGCATATCTGACATGCGGATGAATCCGACCTGTAAAGAGTGCATACGGTCATATTAGCGATTGAGTTACAATGCTACATAGTCTCGAAATGGTATGTATCAACACATCTTCGTACTTCTGGGAGACATCTCAGGAGACAGCTCAGATGTAAGGCTAACTTGAATAAATAGTGCTTCCTAACCGTTCAAGTGATATGTTAAGAAGTAGTAAACAATAGGGGCAACTTTTCTTCTTGATTCAATGTCTATTTAGTGTTATAAGATTGGCGAACCTCTACAGCAAAAACCAGCTCAATTCTAATACAAAAAACTTCGCTCTATCCAGTTAAGCAGTATCATGTGCCCTATGGAACGCAGGCTGAGCAAACCAAATTGTCTATGTTGCGGGAAAACACACATCCCCTCCATTCATCCGTCGCATTCCCGGAACGCGGCTGGTGAAGTGGCCGAAAGACGGCATGGGGTAGTTCACGCAGCCATCTCCACTCTTCCCATCTGTCAATCTCATCGCCCCTTTTAACAGAGTCGGGCTGTGCTAATCCGATGTATCGCCCGTAGTCCATCGCTGTTGACCCCAAGCGAAAAGGATTGTTCCTCTGGTGTATGCCTACCCCATGGGCGAGATAATTGCGGAGTTTCGTAGGGTCAAGGACATCAACAAACCCTCCTCCAAAGGTATAGTCGTCTTCTCGCGCCCGAGATGCGTCCTGTTTTCGGAACGGCTGCCGGGATCTTTGATACATTTTCTCGCAAAACTCCTCAGCGACTCCCACCCTCGCGTCCTTCGTATCGAGAATAAATGCCCCGCGGGGGTGAATGTAATACGATCCCCGATGTCCAGAAGTAGATGATGCCTTGTGGATGCCGGATAATTCTAATTTGACTTTGTCAATTTGCTCTATTCCTAGAAAGTCGTGGTACTCTTCTTGCAGAAGATCATAGTGGATATTGTGAAGTTTCAACTCCACCTCTGGATGGACGAGGTAGCCCAGGATGTCGAGGCTGAGAAGCACATTGCTCAACGTCAAGCATTTGAGTGCAGGAAACTTGGATCTTATGGTTTCTGTGCGCATCGACAAGGGGCGGGTGGGCATGGCGCGGATGTCAAACAGATGCTTCCAACTGGGATCATAGCCGCTTAGTTCCCGATGTTCGAGGTTCGGAAATACCCTGAACAACTGACGGAAGTTACGGCGCCTAAGCGGCTTGCCCAACCCATGATATTCCAGCCGAAGCGTCCGAACTCCACGCAGCGTTGGATAGTTTCGACCGGGGTCCAGGAAGCCCACTTCTGGATGTCTTCCCAATGGTCTTAGAAACAACTCTGAGAAAGACTTTCCTGGTATTCTTTCGTGTGCGATATGGAGCATCCAAAACAGTAGTTGACGGTGATTGTGGAGTTGCCCAGTGGATGTCATCGGTTCAATGTCGAAGTCAACGAAATTTTTTGCTAGACCGCTCTTCCACATGTACTCTGCATATGCCTTGGAATTACCCGCTGCGGCGGTTGCAGCCTCGCGAAGCGACTGCGTCAACTCCTGTGGAGACTTTACTGTAGAGTTGGGACCGTGGGATCTAAAGCCCCGAACGGTTTCGATACCTTTCAAATTTCGGAACCTTGGAATGGCCTCGCACAACTCGCGGAGTAGCTGACAGTGATATTCGTCCTTGGGGGTGTTTGACATGTGCTGTCGTCGGTAACTTATATACCATGGCGTCATCTCCGGCCGTGACGTCCAGGCTTGGTGGTAATCATCCAGATCTTCCAAGTTCAAGGTACTGACATACGGCTCGTCCCACTTCCAGTCGGCATACATCTGTCGCTCCTCGTTGCTGAGGCCCTCATACTCGGATCTCTTGAGGAATCGGAATACAATAATCTCCATAACAAGGTACTGCACCGTGGCAGCAACTTTTGGGTGCTTGGACAGCCGTATGACGTTTTCAATACTTTCCGGAGTTAAGCGGAAGTATAGCTTGTGGTATAGATATCTCTCGAAGCCTCGTCCCCAATCTTTCGACACCAAACGAAGATTGGCGACATCGCGCAAGTAGTGAGGGTTTGAGTCGACAAGGTTTTCATACACAATGTGCTTTAGCTCAGCCGGTAGTCTTGGGGGCTCGTCATCGAAAGTTTGAATCTTCGGGTTCTTCCTCCGCGGCTCCTCATCCGCCTCCATGGCGTTCTCCCAGGTACGCTTGCTCATCTTTTCGGTAGTTCAACTTGCTGCGTTTGGAAGAGGTGGGCGTAAATAGTTGGAGGCAGGTGTCCCCCTAAGGGAGTCGGTGGCTTTCGATGGTTCAGGTTCTTGGTGAAGAGCGCGGAATTGGGGGAAAGGAAGGAAGCTTTGCGAGAGATGATGGCGGGGATTATATAAGAAATATCTTAACTGCCTCTGCGTCATCCGAGTATCATGCCACGTACTCTCCCGGGGCTGTGTTCTACTAGAGGATTCTGTTGAGCGGGGAAAAGAGGCTCTTAGCCTCGCGGCGCCATCATAATGATCGTGACAATACCCTATTTGGGTTGAGGTTACATCGCCTAGCGCTTCGATCTTGAGTGTGAAGCCGACCGATAGATCTGGTGGATCGTCTGGCTTTGCGTTTCGGTTTTGAGTCCCATGTGAGTCGGCCGATGGATTTGTGAATCGTTTTCCAAGCATCGCGCTTGCGTTTCCACCATCATAGCATCTGCATATTCCATCGCTCCCTAGCCGGGGCCAAATCCGAGCAACATATATCCACCTAACAGTAGGTAATCCGCCTTATGAAAATAATAAGGCGGCAGTAGCTGCTTCAGCCGCTAATTAGTCAGTTGTAGGTAATATAGGCGCGCATTTGTGAGCTAAACTCGGGCTTTCACAGCCAAGACACCGCCACTAACCCAAAAAGGAAACTGTAGGTAATATCAACGCTGCGCACCGTACACCGTCTCAAGTAGCAGCTGCCACGGCCTTTTGGATTTCAGTTGTTTGAGGTACAGTAAGCAGCCGACCCGGTGTATTACCATGGATAAAGACTTTATTTCGGTCTGCAGTTTAAGAAGCCCCTGAAAGCTCTGTTTGCTGGGAAGCATCATATAACACTTGCTAGCAGGTGCGGAAGGCACACTGGTCGCTCTTCATGCATTTCAAGTACACGAGACCGTAACTCAGTGTACCGCCTGCTCTTGTCTGTTTATATCTGTTAGGACTGTATAGTCCGAATCGGCCAAAAGATGCTCGTGAGATAATCGATATGGGGTTACATATGTGAAAGTCGGGAATTTTAGCGCTCATACTATACTTCGCTATTGAACCTTTTACTTTCCCGTTTCGCATTATGTTGCGCTATTGTCCTTGTGCCTTCGTTGCGACACTATGCCCTGAGCTTCTTCAATATGCCCTTAGCTTCTTCTCACTTCCACCCGGAGATAAGTGAAACGATCCATGTTACAAGACCGTGAATTAGTCGCAAAGATAGTGGCTAATACGTAGGAAGCTGGGTAATGCGTAGATCAGTCCTTTTACGCAGCTGTTATTAAGAAAGCATCTTGCAGTCCAGCCAGGCTTGGCCACTTCCACAATCCAAAGTTGCTTATTAGTGACAGCATGAGATACGATTATTTGACCACGCTGTTCTCCAGCATTTGGGACCCTTGCAAGTCTTAGTGTAAATGTGATGGTGACGCCACTTCGTTCCTCTCCAGTTACTATCATGTATTGCTGTCTTCATAGAAAACCATTCACTTAATGTACACTTGCATATCCCCACCCATCCGCCTGAGAGATGTACTATCTTTCTCCCCCTGCACACCACATGCTTACCAATTGATCTTCATCTACAGGACGATGCCAACGTGTAGGCAAGAGGTATGGAAAAGGCGAAAGACGGTACCGAAAGACGGTACACCTGAATGGCATTATGAAAACGCGGTCTACAGGCACCCAACCCCTTACTCCCGTTACCGTGCCCAAATCGAACTGCATACCCTTTCCCGCTGGATACTTTTTATCCCATTTTCGAATACCACCCACCGTCGGAGCAATAACACGTCTTTCCCAGACCATCATACGACGGAGGACGGAGTTCATCCAGCCTGCACTCCCTCCGTAGGCCCGCTAACCATCCTCTTGTTATTCTCATGTCGGGCCCTTACCATCTGCTGGAGAGCCACATCCGGAGATATCGGCGGTGTTTGTTCACGAGCGAGGGGCTCCATTTGTGATTGCGCTGCTTGTGTACGTGAGACGCAAGCAATGGTCTTGATGTGACGCAAGGTTGAATCCCCGTTTAACACCCGCATTCCGCCTCCCTTGACAACGGCATTCCTGAGCACGATGTCCACAGGCCTGCCCCTTGCCCAGTCCATAAATGCGTCATCGATGATTACATTAACGAGGGTCAGCTTCTTTAAGTTCGGAAGCAACAATTTGAAAGTCTGATCCGGGTTCCTGTCGGGCGACAAAACCATGAAATGATCCTCGTCCTTGGGGTTGCCAACCAATGTGAGCTCTTCCACGCCGTCAAATTGCGGTCCGGTGGGGGAAAGAGCTTGAGTCCCGTTGCCTCTGTTGGCCATGGTGAACCAGTCTCGGGAACCAGGGAGGAGCCACTCACCGCGATAACAGATTTCCAGACTCCTTAATGCATTCACCCGATGAGGAGCGAAACGCTGCTTGCACCTTGGGCCGGATCCTAGTCCACAGTAGTGGGAAGTGGTGATCTTCACGTCCAGTGGGCCGCTTCTGTGCCTATTATCAAGCACGTAGCTGATCATACGGTGGAAATTGCGTCTTGATGCCTCCGCCCAGTCATGCGTTGGGGTCTGGAATAACCGTCCGCCACATGCTCGTAAACGCTTCTGGTAAGCCATATTCTGGTTTGCCTCGTTGATATAATCGGGAGAGAGTGCTTGCTGAAGTGTTATCTCGGTATTCGACGCTGGTGAAGGAGGGCTGAGATACCCGGCATGGTATTCCAGTAAGCGAAGATTTCTAAACTTGTTAAGAATGCGTCGTATATGCTGCGAAGTGTCCGCCTTTTCATGATACGAGACTATGCTGGACTTCTCCATATTGTAGCCTCTCACGTGTTCAGCCGGGAGATTGGGGTGTTTTTCCTGTAAGATTCTCCCGGATATGGGTTCGATGTCCACAAAGATGATCTTGACAACGTGTTTGCTGACCGCTGGATTGGTGGCAATAGATTCCAGCTCTTTCACACTGCTGCGCAACCACGAGAAATCTGCTGTCAGGGGGATTGTTTTCTTCTCGTTTTCGAAAATATGGTAGAACTTTCGACATGTGTGACGGAGACAGTTAACATCAGATGACACCATATTACCATACACCATTTTTATGAGCTCGACAGGCAGATCCAGAATTCCGGTTGGGGCTCGCTTAACTGCAGAGATATCTGTAGGCTTTTGACGTTTTCGTTGGACCTGCCCTGGACTTGATGGGGCGACACGCTTCTTCTTCTGCTGATGCGGTTGCTGGTGTGCTGGATTTGTATGTCCGTAATACGTACCGGGAGTGTGCATGGGATCTCGAGCCCCTTTGAAATTTGGCAGTTGAGGTTTCCGCGATGCTTCCGGGACCGTGCCGCTCCGAATGGTTGGATTCACGCTGATGTTTAGCTGATCGAAACGCAGTGTGGAGGGTGAGGCCGGAAAATCCCTTTGGACGAGCACAGGCGGCATTTGCGGCGTATGTGCTCGCTGAAGTAGATGGAGTCGAAGCTCCTCGCTTCGGCGAGCCTGTTCCGATTCTTTTAATGCGTTCAGAACTTCTTCTGGACGTTCAATAGTTTCCTGTATCCCAGGCTTGGCCCGGATCTTGGCAGTGGAAGAAGGGGAGGAAGAGGAGGAAGCTGAGACGTTGCCTATTGCATAATTGCTAGGTTGGCGGGCTAGGGTAGAGTGAGATTGACCCAGCATGTGTCGAATAGCTTGGTGTGCTTTTGGGAGAATTTTGGCCTGTAATTGTTTGGGTTGCAGACTTGCGCGTTTACACTGATTGACGCGCGTGTTTGACGGGCCTGATGTGGACTGCGGGGCCGCGCAAAGAAAGCTGGTTTGAACGACGAGGTTTTTGGCAGCGAGAGTTGGCGGATTCGTCGGCGATCCTACGGGTTTCGAAATCCTATATGTGTATCTGCGGCTGTTGTCCTCACAGGCTGTGTCTGCACTGGGAACCAAGTCCAGGCGCTTGAAAAGTGGAATGTTAGGGTTCTTGTCATTTGCCTTGATTCTGGATGAGCGAGTGGACTGTGGAAGGGATACAGACTGGTGATGGAGAACGCCGAGCACTTCGCGAAGTTGATAGCGTCGGACGGGTGCACCGCCAGACTGGGGAATGGCTAATGTAGAGACCTTTCTCGTGTTATGAAGGGGAACAGGTGCAGCCGGAATCGTCGAGGGTGCGCGCGGCCTGCTCTCCTTTCGAATGGGAGACGACACCTGCTGGTCTATCTTCTGGGTCCTCTTGACCAAACCTTTCCGGAGCCGTGCTAGCTGAGCTCCAGTATTACACTTCGGAGAGAACAAGACATTCCGTCGAGTGTGCCGGGACAGGAGTACTCCGTGTCGAATTGTTGTCGAGGGTCGCGAACTCTTCCTACTGAACTTGCGCACGACAGTCATTGTCCTGTCGGCTGCTTATTCAGTACCGTGAGACGCTTGGGTGCAGGGCGGGATGGCTGCTGGTTGAGCGAAGTTGCGGTGGTTGAGTTGTGTTTAGGGTAGGAGGCGTGCGACGCGGGGCTTATATGAGGGATAAGAGAGTTCGGACGATTGTCACCGCTAGGGATTTCGCGTTGGTTAACTACTTTCACACCATATCTGTGGCTCGAGCGTCTGGGTAAAAGCGTGGCAAAAGGTTATGGTTACGGCGTTTTAGGGAAGCGCTTTAGTCACTGGTCCACTTGGGAACGTGGTGGAGCGACGTTTCAGCAGTGCGCCATCGCCTTGTCATCGCCTTTCACTTTTCATCCAAGACGTCTCCTAGACTACTCGTTTCATCTTAGTCACTCGGCTATGCGATGTAGGTCATGGGGGATAGATCTCGATTAAGGATTGGTGAATGGTACCAGCCGTTGAAGGTTGGCCGAGATGAAATTCCTGAGAGAATGTTGAACCATGTGCGATTACCTCTGTGACGCATTCAACGCATATGTGGAAAGACCAAAGATGTGCGGAATAGTACGGTCGTAACCGTAACAGTCGAACGAGCTAGTATGTGTCGACTCAGTCTTCGATATAGTTATCGCTATCACGGTCAGAATGCCTACTCAGTCTGGGCTCGCTACACTAGCTACTCACCTACTTCAGCTATTACAAATAGATTCTCCCTTTTGGGCAACTCTCTTTCAACTGCTTCCCATCGTGGATTGCATCTTCCGGCGGAGTTCTAGTTGGCAGACCGCCTCTTCGTAAAGCATACGAATACCAAGTCTTGAAGTACTCTTTCTCAGCGGCGGCTGCAGTCGGATAACGGACTCCTTTTGCTCGGTGGGCTTGTAGGACGAGCAATTCGAGAGAGCGCGCCTGTGAACCCCGCATCTTAACTATGGATAGATCAATGACGTTGTTCTGACAGGCCGAATGTTGCCGTAAATGGCCGCTTAAATGGGATTATGCTCTCGAGGTTCGGACTTGTTTTACGAGTCTCGTGGTGACGTGCGAAGGTAACGACTATCTAGCTCGTGCGTGTGTGTTAGAGGACAGGAATATCCTAAGGTAAAATGCAGCTCAGTTGAAATGCAATTCCGGGGGGAATCGACATAGAAGACATGGGGATATGAGGCAAATCGTCCGAGCGATTTTCGGAGAGATGAGAGGCTACAGGAGCCTATCCAGAACATGTGGGACCATGGTTGCAGGCCGACTGCATCACCTGCCTCTATGATACCGTTCCTCGCATGGTCCTTCAGCTCGTACTGTGTAGTACGATACTCCGGCTTCACAGGAAACAGTCCGACGTTGCGTCTAGCGAACTCGGGGTCGGAAATGTTCAATCCGATTGGCCGCTTAGTGCGAGACTGATAGTGAGAGTGAGAAGATCCGATTCGCTGGTGTCTTCGTACTGTGTACATCTAGACTACCACAGTGAGCATGGAGTTTAGTGAGAGTAAGCCATGACGCCATACATTTGCGATCCGTTTTCAGAGTGGAAAAGGGCAGATTCTGTTCGCCGGAAGGGAAGAATCCCTACCACCAGCAGAGTTATTAATGTGGCTGAAAACAAAACACGACGTCTTTGCATCTTCTCCGCCTATATGTTGCCAACTGCCCTATCATTCAAAGGGCGAGCAAATGACGCAGGATAGACCGCTTCCCCTACAGGAGTGGTTGCTGGTATTACTGCCGCGGCATTCCTCACGGGTGCAGTTTCAGACACTCTCGATTTTATTGACGTGACTTGTAAGATTATGTTGCCATGTTAGAACAAATCCAAACCGCTTTTTAGTTGAAGAGGGTGTCCGGTTATTCTAGGCTATCTGATGTCCTCTGTACATGGAAGGCGTACACGACATTGGACGGTTCACGCTTGCTGTTCATCTAGCGAGTATAGCAAAGGGGAAAGAGCTAGATTTTAGGCCATAGGAAAGTTATCAGAGATTTTGTTAGCATGTGCACTAGGAAATATTGACCGCAGTAACTAGATCAATAAATAGCGAAATACAGCAGCTTACTCTAACGGTCTGCGGTCTTGTAACAATTAGATATCCACACCTTGCGACGACGAAAGAAAGGTGTCCTATCTTCGCACGTACTGATTGCAGGGCTCAGCAGATGGAAGATTGCCAGCCTCTACCTATGTTAGGGGATAAGCTGAACAGATACTTTGTTAAAACGAAATGTAAAGTTCACTTCACCTAGAGAAATCCACCTTCACCGCGAGTTGACCATGGCCATCCCACTCGCTCCCGAACTTCTCTTCTTCCTCATGCTGACTATGGCTAATATTCGGGCAGGCATCACCATGACCACGAACCGGCTTCAAGACCGCGAGAAACTACCAGCGCCTTGTGCGCATCTACACCAGCATCATCGACACCGAAGAGAGGATCCGACGCTTCGCAGGATTCGCGGTCGCCGAGACAGACGGCACCGATAGGCTCCCAGAGCACGAGGTGAGGAGGGAGGGAAGGTCAGTGACCTTTTATTCTGACGGGTCGTACACACCCGCAAATGGCTTGCTTGCCGCTGCCATAGCATTTCAAGATCCCAGAGGCGGCTGGCAGACCCGGGCAGCACCACTGGGGAGGAACGTCGGAGACCAGCATGACGCGGAGTTGTTCGGCGTCTGTCTGGCTTTGAGAACCGCCGTGGAAAGAAAGAGAGCAGGTGATGATTTCAGGAACATCACCATTTACACTGACTCGAAGAAAGCCGTCGAGATGTTGATGCCGAAGCTGCACGACGACAAGGATTTCCCCATCATCTTGGGGCCAGTGCCGGCCGAGGGAAAGTGGACTTTCGAAGAGATTCTAGATCTTGCCGATGAACTGGCACAAGACAGCTACATCCACGTCAGATGGATAAAAGGCCACAACGGTATAATAGGGAATGCCGTGGCAGATACAGCAGCAAAGACTGCTAACAAGAAACAGAACGCATCCGCCGCCACCTCCTATCCTCTCCTAATACCCGAGCAGTACATGGGGCATGGGCCCCTTGTTACCCTGGAGTACGCATACCGCGCGGGCATACGCCCACTACCTGCTTTGCCGGAGGGGACCACGGAGAACCAGGAAAGGGATGACGAGATTGATGCGTTTCTGAAGAGCTTGTAGCTAGCTCGGAGAGTTGAGGGTGGTGTACGCTCTCATTTGACCTACTGATCCATACTTCTATATTCGCCACCGCCGGAGTCGACGAAGCTAGGGACTGCAGAACCCTAAGGCCGCCAGCTCATCCGGTCAACAGGCATGGCCTCTCATGTGCTGCTCGAAGGGAATTCGTTTTTATAATGCTAGAAGTTCGGTTAGCACAGTTCCACGAGCTCCGAGCGTGTTACGAGGCGTGCGGACATTTAAAAAAGCGATACATACCCCAGTTGCGTTCCTTGCTAGCGTCCGGGCTGCAGAGCCATATCCTTTCTCCGACGGTATCGACCACTTATTCACGCCCCACCACCATCTTCTGAGTCGCGCACCAATACTCCGACCGCTGAACTTGGAAGATCGATTGAAGTACCGCCAGCCATGGACGAGGAGGTTCCACAGGACGCCCTGCATGAAACACATCACCACCTGTCGCCAAATCAGCTAGCTGATTCTGTTTCTTATGCTGGTTAGCAACATACCTGGTCCCGCAGTGTGATCCACAAGACGCCCTGCCATGATCCGGCCTTCTCGATGCTCTTGAGGTAGCTCTGCTCGAATCTCATATCGGGAAGTGGCGGCATTGTGGTTCGCCTGTGTATCGGATCGAGCAGACTGATGGGTATTTCATCTTCGGCAGCGTCGTGCACATCATCGAGATCTGCGTGTGGGGAGAGACGGACGGGTTGCTTCTCGGAGGCGGCAGTAGAGGGATTGAGGTCGTGGGCGGGCGAAGGGTTTCTCTTTATGGACGCAGATTGTAATAGAGAGGCTATTTCGATGGGCGCATCGGCGGCCATTGTGAGGTGCCGCTCGATGATTCAAGGGCCTGTCTGTAGAACGGAGGATCGGCTGATGCAGCTTGTAGATTGGAGATATTCCTGACTTTCCGACCGTCTCTGATGGTTGCAATTGCAATGCCTCAGCTTAATTCGTACCTGAGGGTGTGTGATGTTCTCGGTGGACCCTTTCCTCAGCGGCTGTCGTCTTTCAGCGTTCAGGCTTGGCATCCGACCGGGATCAGATCAGATAAGGCTAGTAAACGACGCAGCGGGACCTCCCGACCCCGCGGTCAGCATTCACGCCGACTACCCCCTCGGAAACGCCGCATTAGTACCGTTCACTACTCCTTCACATATCCCCTACCTACACAACTCTCGCTATGGGAAACCAACCCTCCGCTCTGCTCGACAACATAGCCTCGGGCTCGAACTGTACGTTGCCTGTCTGCGGTGGAGAGCGCTACACTGTGCTGGAACCACGACGCTGATGCTGTAAACAGTCGACAGAGATGAGGTAGACCGCTTGAGGAAGCGCTTTATGAAACTGGACAAGGTTTGTAGATCCCCAATGACCCTTGCGTGGCCTTGCTAGCAGGTCGACTGAACCGTCGCACAGGACAACTCTGGCACAATCGAGCGCGACGAATTTCTAGCCCTACCGCAGATATCCTCGAACCCGCTGGCCACGCGCATGATCGCCATTTTCGACGAGGATGGAGGAGGCGACGTTGACTTCCAGGAGTTCGTGTCTGGACTGTCGGCGTTCAGCAGCAAAGGGAATAAGGAGGAGAAGTTGCGGTTTGCCTTCAGGGTATACGACATTGATCGCGACGGATACATTAGCAACGGAGAGCTATTCATTGTGCTCAAGATGATGGTGGGCAGCAATCTCAAGGACCAACAGCTCCAGCAGGTAGGGCGCTTTCTGGCTTGACAGCGCGAATGGGGTCCATGATGCTGACGGATTCTCAGATTGTTGACAAAACCATCATGGAGGCAGACCTGGATCGCGACGGGAAAATCAGCTTCGAGGAGTTCACCAAGATGGTGGAGAACACGGATGTGTCCATGAGCATGACTCTGGACCAGTTCTAGGTTTTTTGATGAACCGATATGCATGGGCTATGGAGAGGAGTTTTGGGGTTCCGGTGTGATAGGGTCCTGGACCAATTCTGATATCCATCATCAATGCGGATTTTGTTTTCCCCCATCTGTTATTCCCGCTGCTTAGGAGCGAGAGGTAGGTATATCGACTTCTTGATTTGTGGTAGAGCAGGTTTCCTCACCAGGCTTCGTCGTTGCTGTCTGCGCTCTGCTGCACTGCGGAAATCTTACTAGACTGGGGAAATCCAAGAAACGTTTCACTGGCTGTCGCATCAGGGTATGCAGAGACAACTTTCCCCAACCACCTCTTTTTGCTTTTCCTCCCCCTGGCCCCGGGGATGTGGGAATTGGTTCCAAGCGCGCGCCCTCGTCCAACCTTCCCCGCCCGCGCCTGGGCGTCCCCAGTCAATCTGCAATCTGGACAGCACCGCACAGACCTGGAAGCGATCAACTCCTTCCAACGCCATTCATAGATCATCACGTATTGATATCATTATTGATCCCACGCTTCCCTTTGTACCACCTCCCTACGTCGAGTTGCACCTTTTATATGATGAAGGGTGCGGGTGCCTCCTCTCATTTCTTCTGTCCCCAACTTTATCCCCTCCAGCAGCACCCACATTATAAAGGGGCCACCAAGCGCCTGGCCGGGAACCTACCAGGTCAGCGCTTGTGACTCCGAATCCCCAGCTGCGAGATTCTCATCCTATTCGGACCACCACAATGGTGGCCTTGGGCGCCTCCCTGCTTCGCACCGGGCGAGGGCGCTTCTGTCTGAAAGCCGTTGTGACTGCACCCAAGACTCCATTCTTCGGTTGGCACATCCGCTTTGCCTCCTCGGCCATCAAACCCCCACCATACCAAGCACCACCGAAACAGAAGCCCAAGTCTGTGGCCCCTAAAGAACCAAGCTACCTGTTCCCTGGTACCTTGGCTCAAGTCAACGACAACTATCAACTGGACCTTTTTGACCGGAAGGGCCAATATTTGGGCATCTTCCCGCCGAGCGACCTGGAGAGCCTTTATGTTGTCCATCCAGGCGATACTCGGTTCTGTAGGCTTTCAGACGGCCGCACATTATGTTACGCCGATTATGGCAGCCAATCTGCCAACGCTCCCGTGCTCGTCCCTCTGCATGGAATGCCCGGCGCAAGACTTTGGGGACCTCGCTTTGTTCGTTGGGCTGAAAATAGAGGCATTCGCGTCATCTCAATCGACAGGCCCGGCTATGGGCATAGCACGCCCAACGACGATATGACAAGGTTGGACCTCGCCCACGATCTGGAGGAACTACTCGATGCCCTTCAGGTCAACCACTTCTACGTTTACGGTGTAAGCGCCGGGGGGGCCTATGCGCTGGCGTGCGCCCGCTACTTCCCCCGTAGTAGACTCCGCGCAACCGGAGTCATGTGTGGGCAAAATCCTCACGGCCCAGGTGTTTATGATACATTTAACCCGCTCGCATGGAAGTTGAGCCATTTCCTGGCTCGGAACTTCAAAGAGCTGTGGAAACTACACTCCGGATTCAGACACCGTAAAATCTATCGCATCGTTGCGCAAAGATATTGTGTCGATGACCATACAATACAAAGAATGGTGGCGAAACACACTGGCCTCACACCGCAAGAGATTGAAGAAGCGGAGGCGGCATTTGAGGCCTTGAAGCGCGCTGAGATCTATCGGCAGATGGGAGTAGGTCGTCTGGTCGATGAAAACAACGCTAACTGGGGGTTTGATCTGTCCGAGATCGAATCGAACCCTATTTACATTTGGCATGGGACAATAGACCGGAATACCTCGTATACAGGGGCTCTTTGGATGAAAAATCAAATCAAACGAAGCATAGTCCACTTCTCGGCAGCGCCGGGAAAGGATCACTATTCGGCACAGAATCATAAGGCCTCTATCCAACGGCTATTAAAACACTAATTAAAAATCGCCCGCTGAGCATACAGGCCGTCGCACCATCAGTTCCGGACCTGAACCACTGGGGGGTGTCTCTTCGTTGTGTGTTGGTGCAGTCAGTCTCTCGTGAAAAGGCTGCTTGGACTTGGTGTGAACAGAACAAAAACACCTGTCGGCGGGATTCTCCAAACACCGTTCATGTGCAGTTATAGCACATGATGCCCGTCCTTGCCATAGGCATCATGGGTTATTACAGTAGTGGGCCTGGAGAGCCGGAGATATACATACACGTGACTACGCGTGTCCGGCTTAGCGCGATGCGACGCGTGGATCTCACCCGACACGCCCGGGCGCACCTCTTCCCTCAGTATGCTCAGCCTCCTTTTACCTGAAATTTCGAAGAGAAATGTTTAAAAAGCCTTTCCGCCCTCCCAGCTTCGTCCGCCCGGATGCACATAGCTCCGCACCGCCACAGAAAAAGCGCCGCACGTCCTCGGGCGCCGTTCCTGAGCGTGTGCGAGACGACACAGATCCCGCCCTTCTTCTGACCAATGCAGCCCATGCTTCCGTCCCTGCAGATCAGGGCGGTCGCTACTACACAGTACTCTGGCGAAAATGCACAACAAAGAAGAACAAAACCTGGGATGGCGACGGGGTCCTCGCTATCACGAATGGCTACGCGGTGCTGCTGGACAGTGATACTGGAAAAGAGTTGGGGAAGGGTGCATGTGCTCGACCACTACTCCCAGGGTCGACATTGTCTTTAGGTGGGAAGGAGCTTGAGATTGACAGCGTCATGTCAAAAGAGGATTATCTCTCTGGGAGATTCTTTTTGGGATCTACGACAACCAACTCAGCTCCACCGTCAGCTGGCATGTCCAAAGCATATCGGACGGTGAGCGCATCAAGTGGCTCTCGAAATGCGAACGTTGCCTCTAGCTCGAAGGACACCGGTAGTCAACAGCGTCCTTCGGATGGCGAGATTCTCCAGGCGCTACCCACGAACCGTCCGATTTCCCGCGAGCATTTGAGAACGCCTCCAGACACGGAGGTGGCCTGTGATGTGCCCCGGAAACCTGCCATCGCTCGGAAGCAGTTCAAAACCCCGGTGCTCAATAGCGCGGTACCGCCCAAATCGTCCTCGTCAGTTCCCCAACCTCGCCATGATCCCAGTCCACCCAATGCACTTGTCATGAAGCGGCCAACGCTGTGTCCCAAAGGCAAGCAGATTGTCGACGTCGTCGTCGACCCAATCCTCACCCGGCATCTCCGGGACCACCAGCGCGAAGGCGTCCGGTTTTTATACGAATGTGTGATGGGCATGCGGTGTGAAGGCGAGGGCGCCATCATGGCCGATGAAATGGGTCTGGGAAAGACGTTGCAGACGATAACTCTCCTCTGGACCCTGTTGAAGCAGAACCCGTACTCTGAGAGTCAGCCTGTAGTGACGAAAGCTCTGATAGTGTGTCCAGCTGGTCTGGTCGAGAATTGGAGGCGGGAGTTCCGGAAATGGTTGGGGAACGAGCGGATCGGTGTCTTTGTGCTTGACAAGTCCAACAAGGATAAGAAGATCACTAACTTCACAATGGGAAAGGCGTATAACGTAATGATTGTCGGGTACGAGATGTTGCGCGTCGTTCAAGACGAGCTGAAGAAGGGAGCGGGCGTGGATATCGTCATTGCGGACGAGGGACACCGCTTGAAAACCGCAAATAACAAGGCCATGCTTGCCATACAATCCCTCAACACGGAGCGTCGCATCATCCTGTCGGGGACTCCGCTTCAGAACGATCTCAGCGAGTTCTACACCGCGATAGACTTTGTGAACCCAGGCCTGCTCGGAAAGCGGTCGGCGTTTAAGCGCGAGTTCGAGAACCCCATTCTGCGGAGCCGGCAACCCGGTGCCAGCGAAGCTGAGCTGGAGAAAGGAGAGGCGAGATGGAAGGAGCTCGTCTCGTTGACAAGTCAATTCATGATTCGGCGAACGGCCGACGTCCTGAGCAAATACCTACCGCCGAAGACCGAACACATCGTCTTCTGCACACCAACAGTGGCCCAGGCATCTGCGTACCGCAATGTCCTGTCATCGCCAATCTTCCGAATGGCATACGGCAACAACGACATGGCACTCCAGCTTATCACTGTTCTGAAGAAACTCTGCAACAGCCCCTCACTTCTGAAATCATCCAAAGACGGAGATGAGACCCCCTCAGAACTTCTCCAGAACCTCGTCCCCCTCATACCCGCGAACGTCCTCTCCTCGCACGCATCCAGCACGAAGCTCCGCGTCCTCGACTCTCTGCTCCACAAGATCTACACAACCACCAAGGAAAAAGTGGTCATCGTGTCCAACTACACGGCAACCCTCAACATGATCGAACGCCTCCTCACCTCCCTCTCGTACACCTTCCTGCGCCTCGACGGCTCCACCCCAGCCGCCAAACGCCAACCCCTCGTCGAGAAGTTCAACCGGTCCGACCCGAAATCCTCCTTCGCCTTCCTGCTCTCGGCCAAATCCGGCGGCGTCGGCCTCAACCTGATCGGCGCCTCGCGCATCGTGCTGTTCGACCTGGACTGGAACCCGGCCACGGACCTGCAGGCCATGGCCCGGATCCACCGAGATGGGCAGAAGTTGCCGTGCAAGATCTACCGGTTCCTGGTGCAGGGCGCGCTCGACGAGAAGATCTTCCAGCGGCAGATTGTGAAGATGGGGCTTGCGAACGCGGTCGTGGATCACAAGGCCAGTGCGGCCGGGTTTTCCCAGGAGGAGTTGAGGGATCTGTTTCGGCTTGATGAGAGGGGGAGTTGTCAGACGCATGATTTGTTGGGTTGTACGTGTGAGGGGCGGGGGATGCCTGAGATGGAGACTGCGGGGGAGGAAGAGGTGGAGGATTGCGAGGGGGAAGAGCATGAGGCGTTGTTCTGGCTGCAGAAGGCGTCGCAGGTCGATATGGAGGCACAGGAAATGCGGTTAGAGAGACGCAGGATGCAGGGTCGGCAGGGAGAGCAACCGAGACTGCGGATGTTGAAAGAGTATGCGCATTTCGACGCGAGGTTGCTGAGGGATGCGGAGGATCTTGACGACGAGGTGGTCGCGCTTGTGGACGATGATGTTTTGCTAGAGGTGGTGAGGGAGCAGGACAGTCGAGTGGGTTATTTGATGACGAAGTCGTCGTCGTGAAGATGGATGAACGCATGTTTAGTGAGGTTCACACTCATGTCCTGGGACGCAGCGAACGCTACACACAAGCTAGCGTTGATGGCATGTTTAGAAACTTTGTAGATATAAGCGTAGACAATCAATACATGGAAGATACTATGTATCTCTCCTTGTTGCTGCGGCAAAACAAATAATAGTAGTGCGCTTCGCTCTACCAACGCGTTGACTCCACCATCTTCATACCCACGCCTTAAGTATATGAATCCAACACCAACAAGCCAAACCCCACAATTCGAAGAGAATAACGCGTGAGCTAAAACCCCAAATAAAAAAGGAATCGGTATAAAAAAAAAATAGCAAAAACTAACCCGACCGCTACCAACCACACCCGCGCGCCTAGGAAAGCCAAAAAAAAAAAGCCCCTCAAGTGCATACAGCACGAAGGATCTTTTTTTCTACACATACAGCTGCCTCTCTCGTCTCAGCCGAGCCTCGAACCCACGGCTTTCGATGACGCGGTTTCTTTCTGGTAACCGAGAGGGGAAAATTTAGAAACCAGAGAGTGCATATTGGAACCGCGAGACTATGTGGGCTTGAGTAGTGTGGAAGATACTAGTTTTATAGATGGTTTATATAGGGATGATGGTGGGTTTTGGGTGGTGGGGATAGTTGGGGGTGGGTGGGTGGGTGGGCGGTGAGGGCGTTTGTTTTGGGCCGTCAGAGGTTGGGGCAATGGGTGGGAGGAGGTGGTGATGGGTGAGTGGGTGGGTGGGGAGGTGCGCTGTACCTGGGTATGTTGCGCAAACGCATAGTAAGACTATTCATTCTTGCCAAACAGAGTTTGTAAGACGTTTGAATGATAGCTAAGTAGCACTTTCAGTCCTCCAGCCACAAAGGTATTGTTCACTGGCAAGGACCGCGATGTGTATAACTTTGTATGTAGTACTAGCAACACATAAACACTTCGTATAGCAGTGTGAAATTTTTACTTTACTCCGCCTAAGAGCGAACCCACGGGTTCGAAAACCCCACAAGATGGCCCCAAACCGCAATTTGCATACGTCACATCCACACCTCGCCAGACCCGCCCACATGAAAATCTATATAATTGACCCTCCTTCCATCTTCACTCCAGCTCCGTCCACCTCCTCTTCTTCCTCCTTCTACACCCTACACCCTCCGCCCCTCTGACAAGCACACTTCGTCAAACAGTTCACCTCGCTCCGCAATTCCTCCCTTGCGCCCTCCGTCCGCACCCTCCTCCTCACAGAACCCCAACACAACCCTCCCCCACAAATCCCTCCCCTTGTACCTCGCCACCTCGCTCGGCCACGCCCGAATCTCCCTCGCCAGATTCCGCCTCTGCTCCCCGTCCAAATCCACCAGCCTCTCCACGTTAGTCTTGACGGTGAAAACCACAGTGTTGGACAGGGACAGCCGACGGAACGTCTGGCGTTCGCGGCGGACGAGAATGCAGGAGGGGGAGAGATTGCGCATGGTGCCTGGGAAGAAGTCCTTGCCGGATTGGATGAAGAGGAGGGTGCTGTGGGGGAAGGTGGGTGAGAGCGGATGCGAGGATGCGGCGTGCGGGGAGATTTGGATGAAGAAGGTGTGGCGTTGCATGCTGTTATATTGTCCGTCGTTGGAGGTGGGCCTGGTGAGGCGAGTGAAGTAGCTGTTTTGGGTGGTGTTACTCTCATGGCTATTTTCGTTGTTCGCTGACGGTTTGTGAAGGACTGTGTTCAAGATGTCGGGGAGATCTAAGGATGGACGAAGAGGAACAGGATGTTAGAGAGTGCATGGCAATGAAAGGAGAGCTTACTGCTCGACGGGTGCGGATAGCTTACCCTTCCACAGAGGTACGGGCCCGTGTAAGTCGGTGACGGATTTTCCGATTCGGTCGCGGAGGCGCCAGCCAGCGGGGAAGAGGGTGGCGCTTGCTACTCTGATGTGAAGAGGTGGTTAGCATGCCCTATTAGGGTTTTCAAAATAGCCAAGCTAATACGGCTTTGCGGGATAGGAATATAGAGTAAAACTCACAGTCGATGCTCCCCCGTAGAGTTGCTTCTCTGCAGAATATTGAAATCCTCCATGGCCAACCGCGCGCACACTTCTAAAGGGTGCCTATCCCAAGGCTTCTGCAAACGAAACTCCTCGCCCACGATCCGATTTCTCACCACCTTGACCCCCCTGGACCTCTCCACGACATCAAACTTGTCCGGATAGGCCTCCGTCAGAAACCCAACGACCTCCCGCAAGAGCTCTTCACATGCAGCTTCAACTTCCGGCCCGGAAACAGTGCAGATGACTTCGGGCCGCTTGGTGGCGAGGAGGTGAGACCGCGCGGCGAAGAAGGAAGTGTACGTTTCGTCGACGAGGAGCCAGGTAGATGGGTCCAGCTTTTGCAGCCCCATGGTCATGTAGTTCTTGGGTGGGTCGGAACGGAAGGGCGGAAGCTTGTACTCTGTGACTGCTGTATTTCCCGCTCTAGCTTGGTGAGGGCGGGGAGGGACACGTTGACCGTGACGATGTCGAACTCCAACACTGCCGAAGATGGGTAAGTCATCACCGTCTAGACCATTTCCGTTGCTGAAAAGTGTGGGATCAATCTCGGGGATGTCAGGGAAGAGGCGGCCGTCGCCGCAGTCGTCCTGCACAAAATGCGGCATACGACTTATGCGCTTTTCTTCGAGCAGCTCGCGCTTCAGCGTCTCGTCCTTGACGTCAACGATGTCGACATTGGGATCCACCATTGCGGTGCAGGTCCAGCGGTTTACAGAAATGACGGGAAGTCTTGTAGCGCCGTCGCTGCTGGTATCGTCGACATCATCTCGGCCGTGACTGCGCCTCTTGTGGGCGGGTTCTGGTCCATCGTCTAAACTGCTGGTACTACCCTCGCTGGACTCAACAAGCAGCTTGTCTCGCAGGTACGGAGGCAGAATGACGTAGCGGCGTGGTTGAGGACCCAAAGCGCCTTTGTAGTACCACAGACGTATGAGTACATAACCGACGAAGGCGAACCAGCAGCCGATGCCGACGGCGATGAGGAAGAGGACGAATTCGGCGAGGCTCTTTGGAGGTTGCATTGTCGCGCTTCAAGGTTGGGAAATCCGACTGTGTTGTGGGGTTGAGTAAAGAAGCGGGTGGTAGGAGGAGGAGAATATCCACGTCGGTCGTCAGTGCACGACTGAGGGAGAAGTGTTCACGAAAGGAATTTTATCATGGGGAGGAGATTGGCTTGGTGAGGCGAAGTTCTTCTCGAGGATAGTGAGTAGAGCTCCTTCCTCGTCGTTTGCTTGTTCCGAGCTTCGGTCAATGCGGCGGTGAAAGGCGGTGGCATACTCGTCTTCCGTTTGGGAGATGCAGGCCCGCGCAGCATTCACACTACCACCGTCCGGCTCCGACGATTGAACCCCTACTCATCTGAGTTGAACGAGCTGTATACAAGGACGACAGGGTCGAGAAAGTGTACACGGAAAATGCGATTCTCTTATTAATGCCTGGTAAAGCAGCATAACCGCCAACGAACGAGAACAGAGTGACAGGAAACAAGAGAATGGGTATGCGATAGTTATACATGTAACGAGTAGAGCAAGGACCTAAGGCAACTGTCGAAAGAACTGAATGACTGCAATCACGAAAAAAGAAAGGAGGTATCACGCCAACGCTGCCCACTACAGTGAAACAAAAGCCACCCCCGGATAACCATAACCATCAATACCTTCAACGCCAGTGTAATCTGTGGATACGCGAAGACAATCATAGCCTCGGCCGCCACATTCATCTCGTCGCCGTCAACGCATCCACCTTCGCATACAACTCATTCGGATCCTCAAACACATACCAAACGTCATCCGGCACACCCTCGAACGCCCGCGTGAACCTCTCTGGTGCATTCTTCCTCGCCTCGTCCATCTCTGCGACGCCCGTCACCTTACGGATGAAGATGGCGCCAATCCACTTGGGAAACTTGCGATACGCTTCGCCGAAAGCTTCGGGGTCTGACTGCGTGCTATCGCCGATGCAGATGAATTTGCGCTTGGGGAACCAGCCGTGGATTTTGACCATGCGGTCGACCTTGTAGGCTTGGGTGCCTTGGGTGAGGTCCGCAAAGAAGCCTGCAAGGTTCATCCAGGAGGCGTCGCGCAGGATCATGGTGCCGGGAGGATAGTACTGGTCTCTGAATTCGCGCAGGAAGGGATAGAGGTTGTAAGGGGAAGCGGAGAGATACCAGAATGGCGGATTGTCGAGTTTTTGTGAAATGTGCTTGTAGAGTTCTGGCATGCCGCGAATGGGTTCTGGATCTTCGGCAAAGGTTGTCCTGAGGATGCCAATGGGGTCGGGTGTCAGGGTCTTCTTGATGGTATCATCGATATCCGAGATGACAGCCCAGCCGGTGGGGGTCGCAAACCTCAAGTTCGCATTCAACGGCTGCTTTGCCACGCTCTCTTTGACCCTGGTTTTGATGACTTGGCCATCCGCATGGTCCTTGGTTGGAAGAGCCACAATGTCGGAACTGATGCCAGAGCGGCCGCTCGGCCCCAGTCTCGATTGGGAGCCCTCGATATCGACGGTGCAGGCGCGTGCGGGGACGATGGTGTCCAGCATGGGCTGGATCCTGTTCTCGATAGTGCGCTTGGCTTCATCATCCTGGGCCAGGCCAACCTTGTCGGCGACCCAGGCTACCACATCGCTCAGGTCCTCGCCGCTGTCCTTGACAAAGTAGGCAGCGACAAACTCGGCCTTCCACCGGCCAGACCTGTCCTGATAGGCGGTGTTGTCAAAGAGCCAGACGAGGTCTCTGCTGGGGTCAACATAACGGAAGAGGGGATTCCGGGAGCCGAGCCAGGAGGAGAGATTGTCCTTGAGGTCGAATTTGAAGCGATGGGGCAGCGAAGGCATATCGTGCTCGATATCGGCGAAGCGTCCACTGCTGCGCGTAATGCGGTCTTGCTCCGTCTCTTTGGGCATGCCCTTGAGCTCCTCGGCCAGGGCTGAGGGAGAGAAGGCGGAGATATTTGAGGTGTTCATTTTGAGGTATGGGGCGTGACTTGTGATGTTGGGGTGAGTAGGAGGATCGTGACAGGGTGTCTTAAGGCGGATGCAGGTCAGAAGGATAGGGGAGTGGGACAGGATGGTGTCTGCGTGTCGGCGCCATGGGTGAGGATATAGGTCCGTTGACTCTGATGGCGCCCGCCTTGGATTGAGGGTCGGCGGGTAGGCACAACCAGGCAGGAGTCGAGAAGTGACGTCTGGCAGGTGAAGTGGTTGGTTAAGGTTGGGAGGGAGTGGCTTCTGGGTGGTGGTCGCGCATGATCGTGTGGCTTGGCGACCTAAGATTTCAACGTCACACGGCTTGCCTTGACATCATGTCTTCTGTACAATACAGTACCGTGATAGTACGGAGGCAGCTACAAGTAGGCATACTGGTACAGCTTGGGGGCTAACGGATTATCCATCATAGCCAGGTTCGCTACACTCCCGTACATGCCATATGCTCTCGGTTTCCAGGAACAGCGCCGTTTTGTCCTCTAGGGATGATACATTGCACCGTACACATATCCGTCGGCTCCAAAAGGCCCTTTTGACACAACAAGTCCATCCTCATGCCAGACAGTGTGACCGCATCCAAGCCCGCACGCGTCACGGGCGCATAGGAGCAGCGATAGAACAACATGGCACAGAAGAACAAAAGGAGTCGAACCAGCTGCAGGTTGAGACGCGCACTCTGCTAGCGGATGGCGAGTTTCGCTCAGGCTCCTGTTGGGCATACAAGTAGCTGACATGCAGTTCCTGGGCTGTCAGCTTGGGGCTGCCCAGGTGGCTGCTTTGATATTGCCTCAAGTAGCCTAGCGCCGGCAGTTGGGGGCCATATACGCTTCGAGAGACGCGCGTTTGGCCTTGCGCACAGCAAACTCTAGAGGAGCAGCTTGCGCAGCCATGCATAATAATAAGTAAAAGATGGAGAGGCCGCCACCTTTTTTGTACGGCTGTACTTACACAGTACACAGTACTGTGTAGGTAGACTACGCGGCCATTCTGGGGGCTGTGCAGTTAAAAGGTGGTCCGTGCATCTCTCTTCACAGTCTAGGACGAACATTGACAGCCTACGAGGAGACCACCGTTACTGTTGGGACCGGCTTCGCGACTTCTTTTCCTCACGCTTCCTTTCGCTCAAAAACGCTCCCGTTCCCTAGCTTCGTCGGAGACTATCCTTCACTTTAAAGGGCGCGGCGACTGGCCCAATTCCACCCGTTCCAAACAAACCCCCACGCCCATCGGCAATGGCGCTCAAGAAGCGCTTCACAAGCTTGATGCGGCGTCCGGCCAGTATGGCATACCTCATAACTCCGCTCTGCTTAGGACGTCCATACTGACTGCTTGCGAAGATGAGGAGCCTCCGCCCGACGCCGACACGCCCGAAGCAAATGTCGTCAGGGGCTTGGTGAGCGCTGCCTAGCTGCCCAGTCTAGAGTCCACTGATAACGTTGAGGACAGAGATCATTTTGCGAGTCGGGTGGTACCAATTCCGTAAGCGCATTCATGGAGCGAGCCCTCAAGGCGCGGCTACTAACTGTTCACAGGGTGAAGAAGTCCTCCATCTCCCTACCATCGTCGAAGGCGCAGTCGCCAGTCCCGCCGCGGCGCAAGCCGCATGCACCCAGATCCGCAAGTTCCTCTCCAAGGACAACTACTCCCGACCACACGTACAATACAATGCCGTTATGCTCATCAGGATCCTGGCGGATAACCCGGGCGAGTCCTTCACCAAGAACATGGACAAGCAGTTCGCAGACACGGTGAAGCACCTGCTACGGAACGGGCAGGACCCCAGCGTGGCACAGATACTGCGGGAGACGTTGGATGCATTGGACCGGGATAAGGCGCATGACAACAACCTCACAACCCTCCTCGCCATGTGGAGGAAGGAGAAGAGCCTCATGGCCGACGCAGCGAAGCAGTTTGGGCCGCGGACGCTCAATGCGCCGCCGTGGAACGGCCAGCCGCCGCCGCAAGGTGGCTACGGATCCGGCCCACGATCGCATTCGCGCACCCTCCCGCCTCCAGCCGAGCTGTCTGGACGGATTGAAGAGGCACGGACAACTGCGAAGCTTCTGCTGCAACTGGTCCAGTCAACACCTACGCATGAGCTGCTGACCAACGATCTGGTGAAGGAGTTCTCGGAGCGATGCATGACGGCTCAGCGTAGCATACAGGGCTACATCAACTGTGACAATCCACCTCCCGACGACGACACGATGCTCACGCTGATTGAGACGAACGAGCAGCTGTCCCTTGCAGCGTCGAAACACCAACGCGCCATCCTACAGGCTCGTAGGGCTCAGGGCATGTCTTCCACGCCGCCTCTTCCCGCCCGCAACCCTCCGCACAACTCATCGATGCCCGGTCCGCCTAGCACGTATACTCCTCCTCCTGTTAGCGCATATGCACCTCCTCCGCAACCTCCCCCACGCAACGAATCACCGGCCCACCCTCCTGTTCACCCAGGGGTGGGAGTTCCCAATGCGCCAGGCCCAGATGCCACCCAGAAGACAGACCTTCCGCTCCCTCCACCGTTGCAAGCTGGCGGCGGCGACGCTAGACTGCAACAACGGTCAAGCACAGAAGACGACAACCCCTTCGCGGACCACTACACTTCCACTTATAACCCTACCCCCAGAACCCATGGAAACGACAAGGATCAGGGTCGGCAGCAGACGGCGGAAACCCACCCGACAATGCGTGGAGCCTCTCCAGTCTCGGACGCGGGGCGGCCAAGGACGCCCGAGACCAGCGGCAACCGGCAAGACAATGATGTGTCGCCCGTCGCGGAGCGCACCCCGATCACCTACAGATATTAGGAGGCTCCTCAAGTTCCATGCGGGGGTCGATACATAAGCGCCTGTTACGTGAGGGTATCACACAACACAGGAAGAGCAGAGACAGCTACTGCTGCACCTACGGCAGAGTTGACACATTGAAAGCGGGTATTTTCTATCAGTCGCTGTACAGTTTTGTTTGTTGAACGTCCTAGATACCACCATGTCAGCTGGAGTTGAATTCGGTAGTGTTCAGAGATAGTAATCGTGATTCCTACATAGTATCTGTCTCAACGGCCACATATTCGTCCGTCTACGCCCTTCGATATTGCTTACAAAGCAGAGTCGTTTAATGGAGAAGCGCCAAAAAGCTACGATTGTCCGATCCATCGATGCGAGTCCCTAGTCTTACCTACTATATTTACACAGTAGTACTAGACGAGGGGCCGGTGAGGGGAACCCGCCCGCTTTCCCCTTCTCCAGAGCGAAGCCCGCCCCACCAACGGGAATTGATCGGGCAGTCGAGTTTAGCGCTGAAAGGAAACTGACGCTATCCATGGATGAAAAGTCCCTGACCAAGCCTACATTAACCTCTCCCACTCCCCAACAGTATCCCACCCCCATGGCATCTGCTCCTCCTGCTGGCCGTACATGGCTCGCGCACTCCCACAATGCGTGGACACCGTCATCATAGGTCTGTCGCCATTCATCCCCATCAACACCACCCCCACCACCTGTGTCTGTCACTCACACTTCGCCAGGCAATGGCCCATCTGCGCTTGTTCTCTCCTACATTCTCCACGGCCACATACCGTACTACATTGGCGGGCACCATGATGCCATCCTAGACTCCAAGTTATCTCGGCGCCCGAACCTGCTCCAACTCACGCCGGACCTCCACGCCCACTTCCTCGCCTCTCTCCGCTACTCCACCCAGGCGCTTCCCGTAAATACGCTGCTCGACACGCTTCTGCGGCCGAATGCCGACACGGAGATCAATCCGAAGTCATGCGTGGAATGGCGATATGAGCCTGAAAGGACCGTATCACATGTCGTCATTGGGCAGACAGATCAACCGGGCGGACAATGGGCGGAGAACGCCGGTTTCCCGAGTGCCGATATAGCGACATTGAGCTATGCGGAGCAGCTTTCGCTGCCTGGATACTCGTATGCTGAGCACCTGGCACGAATCGGCAAGCAGGGCCAGTGCGACTTTGTTCGGCCAACCCGGGCGGATTTCGCAGAGTACCTCAAGGCGTATCCCGAGGCCGTGGGCATATCCGACACCGTATACACGGCCACGAGAGCCGACGACGTATATCGCACCGCGAAAGGGTTTGCGATTGGATCCCTAGGTATCCATTGCAAGCATCTAGTCCTGGCTTCCGGCATCTTCACAATCAACATCCCTCCGCCTCCTCTGCTGGCACCTCTCGCACAATTGCATACTCCCGATGAACCCCTGCTAGTAATAGGATCGGGTTTCACTGCCGCTGATGTCATCATCTCGACCCCTCCGAGCAGAAAGATTATCCACATCTTTCAATGGGCGCCGGACAAGCGACCCTCGCCTCTAAAGGGATGCCACCACTCGGCATATCCAGAGTACGCGACCGTTTACAGACACATGAAGCTTGCGGCCCTGCCCTCGGCCAAGAAACGTGCAAGGTCACCGCTACTACGTCGAAGGTCGAGCGCTCTCTCTGTGCAACGCAGCTGGGCATCTGAGTACGAAGGGCTTCCCAATGCTCAGGTGATATCGGTATCGTCTCCAGACGATACCGGTTCTGCAACAGTGACGATTCAACTCGCATCAGGAGAGGAAATCACTCGCAACGTCGGCGGACTGCAGTACGTGGTTGGCAGACGCGGCACGCTAGACTACCTTTCGCCCGATCTCCGTTCGGAAATCCTGGGTCCGGACGTCGACTCTTCCTCCCTGATATCTGGGCGCACCCTCCGCGCCAAAGCCGAGACGTCACTCGAGGTCGCTCCCAATGTCTTCATCATCGGCAGTCTAGCCGGAGACAGCCTCATCCGCCATGCCATGGGAGGCTGTGTCTTCGCCGCGGGGCGCATCCTGAACCACATCCCTCCGACGTACTCGCCCCTCGCATCGCCAAAGCTAACCGCACAATCGGCCTCTGCCTCTACCTCTACCTCTACCTCCACCTCCACCTCCACCGTCAGCGCTACCCCGCCTTCCGAAACCGAGTCGTCGCCGCCTCGGTCTCACACTCCTTCTGTGGGAAATGACACGCCTCCCTCCTCGGATCCCTGGGATCCCTCTGCGCCATGTATGCTGGCGAACGGGCATGCGGATCTGCATCTGGATCGGCGGAAAATGGCGCAATCGGTGGAGAGGGCACACGAGGAGAATCGGGTGTGGAGTCATTCCGGGTGGTGGGCCGGTGGTGGGGGCTTGGGCATGGGGCGGGAGAGGTAACGGTTCGGTTTGTTTGATGGAACTGGCAGTATCTAATGAGATGACGAAGTGAATGAGTGCATAGCATGGCGGAGCGATTGATGAAATGTAGAGCGTTGCATATGTTGTTCTGAGTCGATATGATTGATATGCAGGTACAACGGAATAATCCATGCATCTTAATGTGCATATGCCAGAGTTTACAATCTGACACCGAAATAAACTTTCTCCAACTGAACGGCAAGTCCACGCACATATCTAGGAGATACAGCAAAGTGGAATATATCGTTATTTCTCTTTCTTCACGGCCTCGCCTTCTTGTCTCTAATAGACCAAAACTCCTAAAGAATGCCGATGGTGACATACACTCTGCGTGCAGCATCACACCTTCACAATACATATATATACACACCTCCTCCACTCTCTCGCAACCCCTTGCCAACTCCTCTACAACTCATCATGCCCCTCCTTCTTGCCCTCCGCCTTCGCCTTGTTCTTCTTCTTCTTCTCCTCCTCCTCCTTCCTCCGCTTCACCTCCTCCCTCCCCTCCTCCACCGCCCGATCAATCGCCGCCAGGATATCCTCCTCGCTCGCATCCTCGCCTAGATTGAGCTTCAACAGCGGTTTCCCATTGCTATCCTTCAGCTGTCCGTCCTTCAGCCCAAGGTTCTCGAGCTTGACCCCGCTGTCCCCTTTAATCCCCGCCGCCTCGAGCGCTTCGCGAAGTTCTTCCTCCGTGGGCTGCTCGCGCGTGGGCTCCTTCTTCTGGTCTTCCTCCTTCTTCTTCTCTTCCTCCGTATTCGCCTTCTTCTTCTCCTTCCCCTTCTCCTTCTCCTTCTTCTCCTTCCTCTCCGCCTTCTTCTTCTCCATCCTCGCCTTCTCCTCGGCCCTCCTCGCCCTCTCCTCCGCCTGCCGCTGCCGCGTCAAGAAGCTGAACCGCTTGCTCATCATCTCGACCACGGCATCGTTGATCTTCTGCGTCTCCGCCTTGATCTCCTGAACCGTGACGGCCGCATCCTCGTGCGCGCGCACGTCCTTGACCCGTTCCTCCGCCTCGGCGAGCCACTTCTCGCCCGCCGCCGCCGTCGATTCGAGCAGTTCCAGGTCCTTGGGCTCGTAGATGGGCGCATCCGTCGCGAAATTCGCCGTCTTCTTCGTCGTTGCACTGGGAGCAGCCCCGTCCGAGGCGGTCGCTTCTGCGCCTTCCAAATCCGCCAGAGGATCCGAAGAAGATGACCCTTCTTCCTCTGCACCCTTCGCGGCCGCCGCGGAAGAAAGCTCGATATTCTCCTTCACCATGGGAATCACGCTCTTCAACCCGTCGATCGCCTCGCGCATCGCCTTGAGCGCCTCAGGCCTCTCCTTGGCCTCCGTCTTGCGCTTTAGCACTGGCTCAACCACATCCTCGAGTTCCTTGAGCTTGGCCTTGAGCACATCTTCCGTGGCGTCGTGGCCCTCGGCGTAGATCCAGTCGGAAGCCGCGCTGAGCTTGTCCTCGATGACGGCGCGGATCTCGGCGGTGGAGGCCGCGATGAAGGCTTCGTCCTCAAGGTGGTCACGGACACGGTACGTGAAAGCTTCGAGGGAGTTGAGGTGTTCCTCGCGGATACGGCGGGACTTGTCGGATGCGTCGAAGGCCGCGAGCCTGCACATTGTTAGTTCCAGTCCAGTATAGCTTCCATGACGATGATGGAAAAAGGGGACTCACCTGTCTTGCATCCTCTTGAACTCCTTGCGCGGTACCTTCTCATAACCCTTTTGCGTGACCTTGAACGTAATGGCCGATCGCATCTCCTTCCTCTTACTACCCTTGGCCGCATCAGAAGGCTGCGCTTCGGCAGCCGACGAGGAGGAGGCGGAAGCAGACTCGGACGCAGAAGCCGCAGACGCAGACCCAGAAGCGCTGCTGCTTTCGGCCTCCTTGAGCGCCTCCTGATCCTTCTTCCCGCCACCAAAGAACCCCTTGATGCCGTCGACGATGCCGCCCTTGGCCTCCTCCACCTCCGCTTCGCAGGTAACCCAGGCAGAAACGATCTCGGGAGTGCCGGTGATGGGGCTCAATCGAACCTGGACGTAGTTGTTGAAGCTCTCCCTATCGCACTTGCTCTCATCGATCAACTTGGTGACCACTCGCGTCAGGTTTCCGCTCTCAAACTCCAGAACGGGGTTCTTGACGACCTCCCCATTCGCTCCGGGGACAGCTTGGTAGACGGAGAAGGTGAAGTCGCCCATCATCTGGAAGGCGAGATCCTTGGTGGCCCCAATCTTGGTCGCGGGCGTGAAGATCTTCTGGTCCAAATCCTTGAGATTGAACATGTACTGGATGCCGTGGTTGTAACCTTGGGTGTCGTAATCGCGGATCTCCTTGACGCGGAACGAGGGCGCCAAACTGGCAGCCTTGAACGCAGCACCGAACACAGCGGCTTCATCGGCATTGACGTTCGCCTTGATCTTGGCTTTGCCGACGAGGTTCTCCAGGCGACTCTGGACAAAGGGGGTGCGAGAGGCGCCGCCGTGAACAATGAGGGAGTCGATGTCTTCCAGCTTAAGGCCTGCCGCTTCCACAGCGCGGGTGATGGGCCCTTCGACACGGGCCGCGTAGTCGGCGGCGAGCTCTTCAAAGTGCTGACGAGTGATCTTGTACCGGAAATCGACGTCCTCGTAGAGGCCCTCGAAGAAGGCCGAAGTCTGCGTGTTGGCGCTGAGGACCTGGCGAACCTTCTCGGCCTCCTTGAACAGCTTTGCCGCGGTGCGTCCATGGCTTTTGACCTTGTCCGCCGTGATGGAGGCGCTCTTCGCGGCCGGCAGCTTGACAAACTCGGCTACCATATCTTCCACCAGAAGGGAGTTCAGGGAATCGCCCCCGAGGGTGCGATCCCAGCCCGAACCCAACACGTGCACCTCCTGGACCGTCTTGTTGTACCTGCCCACATCCTTGACCTGCTTGCCTTGGAACTTGAGCACCGTGGCCGTGGCGGATCCAGCACCCATGTCGAAGACGAGATGTACCTCTGGCTTTCCTCCCTTGTTCACGACGGGGAACTCCCTCGTCATGGCGTAGTTGATGCCGACAGCCAGGCCATCCGTAACCATGGCCTGAACCTTGAGGCCGGCCAAGCGCGCCGCAGTCTCCAGCGCGCGTCTCTCGTCGACGGTGTAAAAAGCCGGAACGGTAAAGACGACATCCTCAATCGCGGACGCCTTCCCAGCCAAAGCCTTCGCATTCTCCTTCACATTCCTCAATTCCATGGCGAGCAACTCTTCCACGGAGAAGTTCTTCTCGCCCTCGGCGAAGATGCCGCTCTCAATGCTCACCGCCTTCCGTCCCTCTGTCTCGACGACGCCCACGGCCGGATACCGCTGCCTGTACACCTGGACCTCCTCACCAGAAACATCATGCACACCCAGCAGAGTCTTCAAGTTGGGATACACGTCGGCCGGAAAGCGTGCCTGCAATGCGACGGCATCGCCGCCATAGAAGCGCTCGGGGAAGGCGCCCTTGTCCAGCGTCTTACCGCCCTTCAGAGGCTTGAATGCGACGGCCGAAACCTCTTTCCGCTTCGAGTCCTTGGTCAGGACGATTTCTAGGGGGATGCCGGGTTTCACGAGGGCGGCTTTGATGTATTCTGTTCCGAGGTCGAGTCCCAGGACGGCGGAGGAGGCGGCGGAGGCGGTGGTGGTGAAGAGGAGGAGGAGCGAGAGGAGGAGGGGGAGCGGGGAGAGGGGTCTCCGTCGGCCTGGGGGCGCCATGTTGTGTGTGTTGCTAGAGTTCGTAGGTGGGGAGTTGTCTGTCGTGCACGCTCTCTTTGGAGGAGAGGTGCGGCGAGGGCTCGGAGGTGGGCAATGCGGGGGTTGCTCGTCGCACGCCGTGCGCGGCTCAATTAGCAATTCAGAGTAGTGGAAATGAAAACGATTGTAGAGAAAAGGGCGCAGGTCTAAACAAAGTCAAAGGAGGCATGAGACGTTGTGGTTTTAAGTATCTGATATAAATGCAGGAAGCTCGGGACCCCTGCCGCTTTTCTGCGACAAGAGCTGCCACCTGGCTCTTAGCCTTGTACCACAGTAGAGGCCACCTTGACCCCATCTCGATTAAATATTAAATATCAGGCACAGGCGCCTTTACTAGCCTTACTACTAGACTACATGGATGCAATGGCCGTTGCAACCTGTCCGCATTGCCGACCATTAACCGTCGAGTGAAGCCGATAGATACATCCACCTGTCCTGAATACTGCTGGCTATCTCCATCTCGAGCGTTGTAACAAGCGACTGGCCAATCAGGAGCATTCATTTCTATCTACATAGTTACATAGTAACAGTAGAGACCCGTTGGCTACAGGCACACAAGGGGGCGAATGTCTCCATCTTAGATATGTTTCTTTAAACATCGTCCTGGAGGACTGCCTGTGTGATGTTTCCGAACTAGTGTTCCCTCTGCATATCTATATGTATTGTTGCTTCCCCCGCTGGTATCAAGCAGAACCATACATGGACAGTGAATCTGTCTAGATGCCACGGTTAAATTCCACCAACCCATCCTTCCCCCCTCGCTCATGAAACTCGGCCTCCAAGCTCTTGGCACTGACTGCCTGCCTCTGCGGGAACGCCGCCAATGCCAACGGCAGCGCAAAGATGGACGTTGTGAGGATGAGCCCCAGGTTGACGGGTAGCACCATCCGCGGCCGCTGCTTGAGCCACTCCGTCTTCTGCAGCCGCACGAGGATCAGGGGCGGCAGAACCATGATGGGCGTGGCATTGAGGACGCGGCTGAGTGCTGTCTCGCCCACGGCGAGCGTCGCTGCTTTCTTGCTCTTGCCCAGGGGTTGGACTTGGAGCTCTCCGGATTCGACCTTCTTCTTCTCCGCCTCCGACAGGACGGGGTACACGTCGATGCCGTGTCGGATCTCCTCGCCGCGCATGAGGAAGACGTTCAGCGCACCGGCGCTGGCTACGGCCGCAAAGGGGACAAGTCTACCCGCAATCATCTTCGCATTCGGAGAGAGGCTCTTCAGGCGCGGGACCAGCGCATTCAAGCCCAGCGCGACACCGCAAGATGCGCTCACGGCAAGGCAGTATGACTTTATGATGGTCGATGTCGAAAGCGGCGTAGACTTGTTCGCGTTGGAGAAGTTGATGGCGACGTTGAGCGACTGGTTGGTGACTTGCCAGCCTAGAGTCCCTACCGTCTGGATACCAGCACATCAGCTTCTCTTCCCCTGATATATTCCAATATCGGATGCGCAAACGTACCCCAAGCCCCGGCGTGAGCATACCCGCCGTCACGACCAGATTCGACAGCACAAAGCACGACATGCGGAACGGCAGGAAGACGGGCTGTCCCGTATCTTTGCCTCCCAGTCAGCATTCATCCCTTGGGAATTGTATATAGATTTGCTGTGCAGCATGCGCCGCGCACGCACCTGGGTGGATCGTCGAGTCAATGATCTTCTTCGCCCTCCACAGCTCGGGCGTCATGTCCGGTATCTTGCCCGTCTTGTACGCTGTGACGAGTTGCTTCGCATTCTCGAGGCCGTCCGACGACGTGAGAAGTGTCCTGCAGCGAGAAACAGTTAGCATGTGTCCCCTTGTCGATTCCAATCCGACAAAAGTGTACGTCGCAGCAGGACTTCGCAAAAGACCGTCGTCACTCACCACCCCCGAAACCGTGCAATGGTTCTCCGGGCATGGCGCCCAGCGCTGTGGTCTCACCTGGGATCTGATATATCGGCAGCATGCCTCACGCGCCCCCAATACGTGCTGAGATCGTACTGCGACACGGGCAGGTCGCGCGTTCCGGGGAGCGACGAGGTCATGGTCAGAGGATTGACCGAGGGAAACACACGCCCGTTGCGCCCGCGAGAGGGGAGGGAGGAGAGGGTGACAAAGGAGTGACAGCTCTCCTTGCTGTGGGTTTTGAGGACCTGCAGCGTCGCGTGGATAAAGTGCTTCCGGCCCGTATCGGCGCCTCTTTTTGGTGGGGAAGAGATAGATAAGTGAGGTAGGCGGCTGGCTAGGCGGTGAGAGCCCTCGGGTTCAGATCGGCGACGACCTCATGCCTCACCGCCGGGGCAGAAGTCGACTACACAGTCTCTTCATCACGATCAAAGGCGGAAACATGTTTGTCAATCACTTTGTTATCTTCTGGGGTTCATTTTCTATGGAGAGAAAAGCTACCTACAAGTCCATCCCTTAGCAATTTAGCCTCCTTATCAAGAGCATATTCAACACAATAAGTAACACGACAGATCCTCGCTGACGATAGAGGGTATCATGAAACAACAGATATGCAGAAACACTAAAGCAAGGCCGTTTTTCCCTCTTTGTTTTCTTCATTGTCAACTTCCTTTGTTCTTTTTTCCCGTCTTTTCAAGATGTACTTCAGAGACCATGTCGCACAGACGCCGATGCAGGAGCGGACGGGATCAAGTCTAAACCATCGTCTCGACAACGGTTGCGCCCGTGGCCGGTGCTGGCTCAGTAATGGAAGGCCAGCGGGCCTCCTTCTCTGAAGCCTCCGTAGCGACAGTGGACGAGGACTCTGTCGCCGCCTTCTTCGCGCGCCGGGCAACAATCAGCTCCGCGACCCGCTCATCGCGAGCACGCTGCGCCTTGATCTTCTGCGCAAAACGGCTCTTCTGCCTCACAACGTGTCCCCATCGGTAGAAGACGACGACGGGGATGCAGAGGAAGAAGGAGGCGGCGAAGAGGACGAGGAATGTGTTGCGGATGCCCAGGGCCTTGAACATGGGTTTCGTATAGAGAACACACAAGCCTGCGAGAAAGTCGCGGGCGAAGCCGTTGCCGCCCGTCGCCGACGCCGAGTAGGATCCATACGCCTCGACCATGTAGTCGATGGTCGCAAAGTAGATGGCCCAGTTGGCCATGCCGATGAGGAACGTGCAGAAGACCATGCCGCCCCACGACGAGGTTCCGGCAAAGGCGCTACCGAGAAGACCAAGAGGCAGTGCCCAGACGACGAAGCAGAGAAGCGAGAGGCGAGTCTCCGGTGCGAGCTCGTTTCCCTTGCTCCTGAGGCGCCTGTGTCGCGCAAACATGGGGAAGTACCCGGCGTACGTGATCCAGTAGGCGCCCGCGAGAGAGAGCAAAACGAGACGGATGTCCGTGGGCGTAAAGCTCCACTGCGCGAAGACCAGTCCGTAGCTCTCGAAGAACATGAAGACCAGCGCGTCGGCGAAGCCAGAGAGGAGCGACAGGCAGAGGACGATGGGTTCCGTGAAGAGCATCTTTTCGAAGCGTCAGTACGGCATCATCTCACATTGAGCTTAGGGTATACTTACAGTGAAAGGCCGGGCGAAAGTCTTGACCATGTGCTTCGGCTCGAGCCTCTCCCAGAAGCTCGTAATCTCGGTGCGACCGTAGATTTCCTCTCCCGTAGCCTGCCTGCGACGAATGGCCTCACGATCCAAGAGGCAGGTCGCGCGAGTTTCCCTGGAGACGGAGAGCTGGAGGAGCTGGGCGAAGGTGCCAAAGGCCAGTTGGACATAGAAAATCATGCGCCAGTTGGTGTATTGCTGAAGAGGACCACCGCAGATGCCCCCGACCACGGCACCCAGGCAGGACCACAGAGATGCCCAGGCGACAGGAGGCTGTTGGTCTTTGGGATGGAACATGTCTGCAACCATGCCGAGAGTAACGGAGCCACCGGCGGAAGAGAGACCACCCAGTACGCGGCCGGCGATCATTTGAGGAAAGGTGTTAGCCGTGGCACACATGACGATGGAGAGGTTGACGCAGAGCAGTGAGATCTGCATCACCCAGTGCCGGCCGAGCTCCTCACTCCACGGAGCCCACAGCTCACAGCCGAAGGCGTACGGGACCAAGAAGGCGAACATGCCTATAGCCGGTCACTATGACTGTCTACCAGTGTTGAGCGACGGGTCCCTACCCATGTGAGCGTCCGAGACGCCAAAGTGTTCGTTGATTCCATCTATCGCATTCGAGTAAATGGCAGCGTTGAAGTTCATGCCTAGGAGAGAGAAGAGCAGCATTAGCGACCAGTCATGGGGTTGCATACAAACACAGGCAAAAAAGGCGGCAGAAGGTGAGCCGAACGAAGCATAGGGAAGACCAACTAGTTTGACAGACGGCGACGACAGTCAAGACGGTCGACTTCTTCCACGATGGCCACGAGTGCGCGGTCAATCCGTCGACGATACCCTCTGGCTCGCAGGGGATGCGCTTGCCCTTCTCCGTCGTCAGGGATGCAAGCAGACTCTCGTCATCGGCGTCGTCCTCGATGGCCACCTCTTGGGTCTGAGGCGGAGAGGATGTTGTCTTTCCCTCGGCATCCGCCTTGGCTTTGAAGGGATGGGAGAGAGTGAAAGGCATGCTGGAAGAGGTTTGCGAAGAGTCTTGGTGTGGTACCAGAACGAAGATGAGTGGATGTGTGATATGTCCGTAAGTCGCAGTGTAGGAGAGAAGGGTGGGGATAGAGAGGACATCCTGTTTCGTTATATATGGCCGTTGTGAGATTCGGGGCTTGCGTACGCCGATCCAAGGCTTTATACGGTATTAGATGGCACATGTCTGGGAACGTGAAGCTAATCTGAGTCACTGACGTCTATCACTGACGTCTAGTCTAATCAGTAATGGCCGTCGTGGCCGATGGGAGCGTTGAAGGCAGATCACGTCCTCGCGGCTTTATGAGCGGTTCTGGCTTGTGTAAAGAGATAAGTATGCTTTATGTTTCTGATACGTATAGGGGATGCACTTGTGCAAGCCTATATGACCGGTATATAGAGGCCGTATTGGACCTCTTTGAACTAATCTTTTATTATTCACTGCGACTTTGCATGTACGGAACATCAGCACCGGTATGGTCACTCTCGGCGTCTTCTCGGTCTACCCCATTTTACAATACTATACAGTACCTTCCAGGCTCGAAAAACCGATTTAGTGCCGCATTTGTGTGGTGTGGAAAAGACGTCAATAGTGGAGTCAGGATTAGAGGCATCATCAGTCACCCTCTTGAGAGCCAAGCTTCAACTAACGCGCGACGGACTGAACAGATCACCGTCACTAGACGTAGATCGCGGGGAGATCCTCTACCTCGGTACCGACCCCAGGCGCTTTCCTGCTTGGGTGTCTCTGAGGGTATGCTGTGGGAGCGTAGTAGTTTCCATGAACGCGTAATTCTCTTTGGCGATGTTATAGGCATCAGAAGGGAATTATTACTATTATTAAGCTTTTTATGTTTCCATCTCCATGATAAACTAGGCCAAACTAACAGTCATCGCTAAATACCATGTACAAGTACACTGCCAGGCCGCATTGTCATCACTCGATCCTCTTCCAGCGCCGAACCGAGGTCCTGCGATTGCATGAGCCTCGCAGGACAGCAAACAGCCCTGGCTAGCTGGAAAGCTCGGTGTAAGAAGTTGAGAGTCTACCTCTTCTTCTTCCCCGGCTTGCTTAGCTCGGCTGAGGACAGGATCGCGTCAAATGTTTTTGTTGGGTCATTGCTGGACGCAGGCCTTACGGCAAGCGTGGTGCTCGGCCCGATTGTAGCGGGCAGTGGTAGGGCCTCTAGCCCCAGGTTCATGACGCTTTCGCGCCGGCGGTCGGGGCTCTGCGAGCGAGAGTGGGATCCAATATTCTCAATCAAGACACCCGGTGGCGGGGGCAGAGGCTCAGAATCGATCGTTTCGTGCACTGCGGCTTGGAGCATCGCGTCATTCTTGGACCATCTCTCTGCCATCTTCCAGCAATGCGAACGACGGAAGACGCCCTCAACGCCATGCTCCACGACGTCTGTTGGCAGGCTGACCACTTGAGAGCCGCCGGCCACCCCAAACCAGGTCCTCGCCCGGTTGGAGTCTTCGCGGCCCCACGGAACTCCCGATCGAGGCGGCTCGCATAGAAAGTATTCCACTCCCTCTGTGAAGCGAACACCGGGTGCGTCCACGACCAACATGGGGAGTGACTGAATCACAGCATACAAGAATAGCCAGTGACCTGACCGCATTTCCCAGAGTTCCTCCGTGGTACAGCCAGAGGCCTGCTTGTGCTCAAAGCGGCGGAATGCTTCCAAGAAATCGGTATGCTGTTCGGCATCGGCATTATGCGACTGCCGGATCATTCTCGAAATGTCGTCTGCTTTCAGCTTCTTAGACCGCGCTTTGGCGTCTTTCTTCGGATCACCAGACGGATAGTCTCCCGTGCCGCCTCGGAGTGTCGGGTAGAGGGGTAAGTCGAAGGGGATCGGCGGCTGCACTGGCGGAGTACTACGGTCATACTCGCTCAATACTTTGCGGAGAGCACGGTGAACGACCGCTTCGAAATCCGTGCTTTCGTCATTCGTCATGAAGCCGTCTGCGGTTCGGGTCGTCAGGTTGGTGCGATCAACAAGCAGGTCGTACAAGTCGGAGAAGTCGTTGTAGAGATCCAGGAGAACAAGCCGATTCAGTCCGCTCGTTGTCAGGTTATTCTTCTTCGACTTCGCTTTCGGAAGCCATGAGCCATATTTTGACTTGTAGTAATCAAGCGCAAACGACCGGCACGCCATGAAAGCAGCTCTCCAGTTCTTGAACCGAACCACCTTCTTTTCGTCTGCGGTGTCACTATTCATGATGCCGGAGAAGATGGCGGGAAAGTCAAAGTCGGCCAGCTTTGTGTTTGTGTTCTTCAACCGCAGATCCAGATCCATGGATGCCCGCGCCAACCTCGTCGCCGTCTTACGACTTATCAAGTCGAATTTGGAGTGCCTCAGCTGTTTGATGTTCTCAAACTTTCCTGCCGCATGGACAAAGCCTTCGGTATACAGAGCCAAGGATCGCATGCGCTCTCCGAGGACGATGGCTTCAATCGTCTTCTCACGGCTGGCCCTCACGTCGGCCAGATGCAACTCGTCTACGTAGCAGTCGAAGCTGGATGCAGCAACCTCGCCGAAGGTGGATCCGTCAAAGTTGGAGAATTGGTATTGTTCCAAGATGTCGGCGATCCTCATGAAAATGGTGAAGATGTCCGGATGCCGCTCGGTTGCCACTAACGACTGTCCCATCAGAAAGGCGACGAAGTTCCGATAGGTAACGAGAGTGTCGATGTCCTGAACGCTAAGTCCGGGCTCTCGCGCCGCGGCCGTCACTGGCGGACTGTCTGTACTGAGTCGTATTGGCAGGTACAAATGTTTCTCCGAATGATCATCCTCGGTAGCATCGCTCAACGCCCTCGAGCCCTTGGATCCGTCCGAACTGCCTTCTGTCACGCTCCGATCCGGTGACCCAGGTCGAGAGGGTGTGTTGGTAGTTGACCAGTTTCTTCGGGATCCCTGCTGCGGGGCAAGTGAGGCATCGCTGTACAATCGGCCATGGACCAGGCGAGTCATATACTGAGATGAAGCATAGAGGGAGGAATCCACTCGAAAGGAGGGGCCTTTGCCTGCCATTCTTGGAAACAGATACAACAGTGTATCACCTTCTTCGTCCCACAGCTCCGGAACCTACTATAGGGTTAGGGGCATGACTTCCAAACGGTGTAGAAGGAGATGTACCTTTTCTCCATTCAGAAGCAGAGTCAAATCATAAGGAAGCTTTCCTTGATGCCCGACGATCCAAGCGAGGGGCCCTCTTTCTTGCAGTCGCTCATCGCTGGACCGTGGGCCAGCGAAGAATGCACTGCGTCGCTTGAGCTTCTTCAGCTTCGAATAGTCGAGCAGCTGAGGATCACGGCTCCCTATACCAGCGCTAGAGTGTGGACGAGTGGGTGGATCACTACAGGAGCGAGGAGCGGGTATCGGTGGGGGAGGGTCGGGGGACGCGAGGACAGGAGGCGCAGAGTCGAGGGGTTGTATTGTCGTGCTGAGGTTTGCGGGGGCGGCGGTGCCAGGAGGGGGGTAAACGGGCGAGAGATGGGTTGCAGAGGATATGCGATTCCTCACTTTTCTGAAGCGGCCGGCAGGCTCAGACGAAGCCATGGGACTGGACTCGGAGTTGTCTGATGCAATGGAGGTTAGCGAGAGCAGCGAAGAGAGCCTGCTGCTCGAACGCTTCTTGTCGGCCATTTCGCTCGAATGGCAATGGAAGGCGGGGAGCGAGGGTGTACGGTGTGGAGATAATTGGTTGATATGGGCGCTGAGAGAAGCCTCACAAACACAGAAACAGAGGTAGAGAGGGTGAGTGGGAGGTTTGGAGGGAGGGGCAGTGCGGGCAAACTAGGCCAGCAAACCGGCAGTCGCCATGAGGGGCGGCGGACAGAGAGCCGTATGCAGAGAGAGTGGGAGAGGCGGAGAAGGGTAAGATGTCGAGGAGGGCGAGACCGGGATGAGGGAGGGAGGGAGGGCGGAGGGTGAGGCGGAGGTTATGTACTGCGGTACGTGGTAGGGCGGGAGTGAATTGGTTGGTAGATAAAAGTTGGCTCCGGTAGACGAGGTATGCTCACAGCTCGAGCTCAATTGGTCTGGGCGTTCGTTGGCCCGGGTCCGGGTGGCTTCGCCTTGCCGTCTCCGGTTAGCGCTCGCGGGCACAGCTGGCACCTGGGCACGGTGGAGGATGGAGGAAGAAGGTGCAGCCGCTTTTCTTTGGCTCCAAGGGGCTTGTTGTCTTCTTGGTGGGATCGGATTTGCCATTTTGCTCAGCTGGGGCAAGGCCTGCCCGAGTGTTCCAAGGTTGTACCAAAGGTTCCGAAGGCCTGCGTTGTATTCTGCACTCGCGGGGGTTGGTTGTGCATCCATATAATACAGTGGAGTCCCCCATCCCACAGCAAGACACGAAGAGCGTCAAGTACCGTGTCAAACGTCGGCGAAGCGCAGGAGTCGAGATTACAGTCTACTGGCCACGAATCCTACTAGAAGCCATCGTGTCTCAGCTGAATCCACATGTCTGCCGGTCAAGGTTCCGGAACCAATTTAGAAATCCATACCCCCCATAGTAGATACTCGATACAGCAGTAGAATGCCACAGTACGACACGACAGTTGACAGCGAACGAGGCCCTTGGACCTGCAGAGATGAATAAGGATTCCGACAAGGCACAATTACAAGTATTGCTCAGTGTACCGTGGTACGCTGTGTGGTGCAATCGCCACTGGTTTTCTTCTGTCATGGCGTTGTCAAAAGTAGCTCATGGCTCGCCCGAGCATCCTGCGTTACGTCACCACCCCAAGTCCGGTTTGGCGCCATCTTATCGATAATCCTCGCTCTTAGTACGCTACAAACTCCCCCGCTTGTTTGCACCACCGTCAAACCTCCCGACCCATGTCTCCGGACTGTGTACTACTTCTGGTACAGGATACATACTGTATACGCGGGACCTACATTTATCACGATAATCGTCTTTACGAAACGGGTAGTCCACCAGATCTAGAGTAGACTACAGCTTTTGCAGAAGCAGTCATCGTGCCAACTTGGCACCATTTCTCTCGAGAGTGTTGGCAGCAAATAACAGCCGCTGCGCCACGACGCCACAATTCACCAGCCACCGCCCACGTCCAATTGTCCTTTCTCACTCCGTCCACGGTAAGGTTCTCCTGCATCACCGCCTTATGGCTGAAAGTCTGGCATCTTGGGCACATAGTCAGCACTGTCGCCATTCTGCCGCCCCTCGCCTCAGCTGCTGCAGTGCAAAGGGGCAACATGACTGCCTTCTCCGACGTGGCCGGATCGCTGACCAGCAGCAAGCCGATAATCAACCTCCTCCGCGGGTCAGCTTTGCCCTCCTCCCCTCTGCCTTCGGATGAGTTGCGCAGTCCAGTCTTTGCTCGACGCTGTTGACTTCACATACAAATCATATGTTGAGCCGTGTGCCATTGTGTCGTTGCTGACTGCAACATTTCCCAGGTGGCCAAACCCCTCCCTCCTACCCACTCAGCTCATCGACAAGGCAGCCCACACTGTCCTCAATACCAAGACTATCGGGATACCGGGCCTTCTCTATGGACCGGACCCAGGCGATCCTCGGGTACCCCATCACCCTGATGAAGCCTCATAGTCGTCGTCAACCGCTGACCAGGACAGCTGCGGGAGAATACTGCAAAATGGCTGACCAGTTTCTATCGCCCGACGAATCCAAGGTCTGGGGAAAGATACCCCGCTGCTAAAGAGAGAATCTGCATCACTGGTGGTGCTTCCCAGAATCTTGCCTGCCTCCTACAGGTGTTCACTGATCCAGTTTATACTCGAAACATATGGATCGTGTCGCCCAGTTATATGCTGGCCTTTCGCATCTTCGATGACAGCGGCTTTGCGAAGAAACTGCGGGCTGTACCGGAAGATGACGAAGGCATCGATATCGACTTTCTCAAGAGGGAGATCAGCAAGAGTGAGGAGAGCGCGCAGGACGAAGGGAACGACGCACCTGTAAGTGCAGTGGAATCCACTCCCCTAAAGCATTCTCTTCATCTCTCCAGCTCCTGCACATGCATTGATAGGCCGTTAGCAATTCAAAAAAGATCGGCCATGGGGCAAGATCTACAAACACGTCATCTACGCCGTACCCACCTTCTCCAACCCGTCTTCCAAGACCATGAGCCTGCGAAGACGAGAAGACTTGGTTAGGGTCGCTAGAGAGTACGATGCGCTCATCATCACAGATGACGTGTACGACTTCCTTCAATGGTCCTCGAATCCGAACCCATGCCAGCCATCTCTCGAACATGCCATTCTGCCCCGCGTTGTCGACGTCGACAGGTATCTTGATGGGGGCGCTGAGAGAGATGGAGCCGATGGCTTCGGAAACGCGGCTTCCAATGGCAGTTTCTCCAAGATCTGTGGGCCTGGGTTGAGGACTGGGTGGGTTGAAGGGACGGAGAAGCTTGCGCATGGAATATCGCAAACGTGAGATGAAGATTTCTATTGATGCACTCCAGAGCGCGAGGCTCAGTACCCCGTCCCACAAGCCGGCTTCTCCGGAACATGCACAGACACTGATGGAAACAGAGGCTCGAGTAGGTCGGGCGGTGCGCCCTCGCAGCTTTCGGCCACCATTGTGGCCGAGACACTGGAGACGGGCGAACTGCAGCGTCACGTCTACGAGACGCTCCAACCCAGCTACGGGCAGCGGTACCACACCATGATAGCCGCCATCCATGAGCACCTGGTTCCACTAGGGGTACGGCTCCCACAAGCGGATCGCGACATGGTGGGCGGTTATTTCATCTGGCTGACGCTTCCTGGGTCTGTCAGAGGGCAAGTGGTAGCGCAACGTGCACGCGAGGAGGAGAATGTGATTGTGGCACCGGGTAACAGTAGGTCATGTCGTCGTCGGGTTTTCCGATGTTGCACGGTTGCTCACTGGTTTGCGCAGTTTTCGAGGTGCGATTTCCTTGTGCCAAACTGAAGGAATTGGGCGAACCAACGTGTATAGGTGCCTGGTGACAACCAACGCGCTCATTTCGAGAATGCCTTGAGGGTGTGTTTTGCTTGTGAGTGAAATTCCTCCCATTCTACAGAGACGTGTCGTAGGCGGGCGAGGCGATGTCTCTGCCTGGTCCGAGGAGGTAGCTAACAGCAGGGCGAATCTAGGGGAGGAAGAGCGGATGCTGGCAGAGGGTATCGAGCGGCTCGCCAGCGTCATTCGCTCTCTCTTGGAGGAGGAGCAGCAGCAGCAGCGGGGAGACGAATCGGCGCAACGTCGCACAGGGCACGAGGACCAGAACCAGGAAGACTTCTGGTAGGAGGTATCTATGCAGATGGTCGTTCACAAACGGGGGTCTCACACAATCGAGTGGTGCGCCGCTCAGGTTGCCATGTGGGGAGCATTCCGCGGAGGTTGGCAGGAGTGGTGGACATGCAACGGTTCCCTCAATGTGTTAAAGGCAAAACGGCTAGCGCCTCCTGCAATCACAAAAGCTTATACCTAGCAGCGGGCAGAGGACTGACTGGTAGGTACCCAGGTATGTATGTACTCTCAGTAGCATGCTGGTCGGATATGGAACAAGATGCTCACAGCAGCCGTCATCTGGCGCCTATTGAAGAGTGTAACGTACAGTATCCCCCGTTAGCAGCGCATCTGTTCGGTGCTCCTCGATACAAGTATGTGAGCCCAGCATCTTCTTCTTACTTTAATAATAGGGGACGAGCTCCTCCTTGTCAAGACGATTCGCTGGCCGCTGTCTATCCAGATTGAATTAGCCAGGCCAGTCAGCGGTCGCAGGACGAGGGGCCAGCCTCGTGGATGAAACTTGAAACGCGGTGCCTGTTTCATAGTCGTGGCCACTGGGTACGACTAGGGTGGTTCGGGTGTGGCGCTCGTGAAACGCCCCCGCTTAACTGGCCAATCACCCCGCTCCGTCCGGGAGAAACACCAAAAGTTCCTGAACTTCACCTGGCCACCATGGTGACGAGACGTCAGTCTCCACCGCATCCTCTCGTCCTCTCGTGCCTCTTCTGCCCACCGCGCCCGGCGCCTGCTGCAAGCATCACTAGCAAAGTGGTCCACCGTCGTTGTTGGTTGTTTCACGCATCGCAGAGCCGCACCCACAAGGCTCCCTGCTCGACAAGAGTGAACATGGCGACTGCATTCCAAGCATTCCAAGCGTCTCTCCTCGCAGTAGGAGTGGGGAACTCATGGGCAAGGCGACAAACAACCTTAAGCCATCTACCTATGGCCTTCTCTCGGAGAAAAGTGTCTACCCTAGTCCCTACTCCCTAGTCCCCACTCTTCGTCTGGTAAACCTGAAGGCGGTTACTATGCCGCGACCAGGGCAGAGCCAACGACCTTCCCTGCCGAGTCCAAACGTGAAACAGTCACATCCAGAAGAACCGTCTCCCTGTGAGTGGCCTTCATTTCAATGCGAGTGCAGACCACATATATATTAAACAATGTTTGGCTGCCCCCTCCTATTGTGCCTTCCCTCCTCCCCAGCAGCCCGCGCCGTTGCTCCTCTATTGTGCGCACATTGTGTCGACGACACAATTCCCTTCTCTTCTATTGTCACTCTTTTGTTGCCTATTTGTGGCCTTCATTGCAACCACTTCGCCATTCACACAATTCAGAGACTGCGTCTCCCTTAAATTCCGCCCGCCTCCTCCCCCGCCGTTGCCTACACCAACTCGTTAACCCCTTACTTCCCAATAATTCTCCATCCACGCCACCCGCATTCTTCACCCGCGCACTAAACAAATCATCTCCATCAAAACCGAGAAGAAACCGCGTCTCTGCAGGCCACTGACGCCCCTCCCTTGCTCCATCTCGGCCCTGTTCTTTCCTCCACTTCCCACAACAAAACAACAACAAAAATCAATCTTCTCTTCAACCCCCGCTTCTCCATCATCATTATGGTAGCCTTCCGTGCAGCTGCGCTGCTCCTCTCCCTCCAAGCTCTCCTTTCTTCCGCTGCCCCCGTGCCGCTAGATCAAGCCCCCGCGCCCGCTCCTTCCCCGGCTACGGGATACTGGCTGGCCGACATCAAACACCAGGGCGTCGCCGCTTTCAACAACGACAAGGGCTTCAAGGTCTTCCGCAACGTCAAGGACTACGGTGCCAAAGGGGATGGCTCTACCGATGACACCGACGCCATCAACGCCGCCGTCGCCGACGGCAACCGCTGCGGCCAGGGCTGTGATTCCTCAACCACCACTCCCGTCATTCTCTACTTCCCCGCCGGCACCTATATCGTCAGCAAGCCCATCATCCAGTACTACTACACCCAGTTCATCGGAGACCCTCGCCAGCTGCCCGTCCTGAAAGCTTCGCCCAGCTTCCAGGGCATGGGCCTGATTGATGCGGATCCCTACATCGAGGGCGGCAATGGTGCCAACTGGTATACGAACCAGAACAACTTCTACCGCCAGATCCGTAACTTCGTCATCGACATCTCCGCCGCCAGTGTCGCCTCGGGCATCCATTGGCAGGTGTCTCAGGCGACCAGCCTGCAAAACATCGTCTTCGAGATGGCCAAGGGAGACGCTGGCTCACAGCAGAAGGGCATCTTCATGGACAATGGTTCCGGCGGCTTCATGGCCGACCTCGTCTTCAACGGCGGTGCCATCGGCGCCTTCTTCGGCAGCCAGCAGTTCACCACCCGCAACTTGACCTTCAACGATTGCGGCACTGCCATCTACATGAACTGGAACTGGCTCTGGACCCTCAAGTCCGTGTCCATCAACAACTGCAAGCTCGGTCTGGACATGGCCAATAACCCTTCCAACCAGACCGTCGGTTCCGTCATCTTGATGGACAGCAAGCTGGTCGGCACCCCCGTTGGCGTCAACACCTCCTTCTCGGCCAATAGTGTCCCCGAGACCGGAGGCTCGCTCATCCTTGACAACGTCGACTTCACTGGCTCCCAGGTCGCTGTGCAGGACGCAACCGGCGCTCCCATCCTCGCAGGTGGCAAGCTCGTCACTGCTTGGGCCCAGGGTCATGCGCTCGCCGCGGGTGCTGAACCGAGCCGCGTTCAGGGCGACATTACGAATGCGCCTCAAAAGCCTGCCAGCCTCCTCGGTCAGAACGGCTTCTTCGAACGCACCAAGCCGCAGTACGAGAATGTACCCGTGACGCAGTTCGTCAGCCTCAAGGACAAGGGTGCAAAGGGTGACGGACGGACCGATGACACCGACGCCATTCAGGCTGCCATCGACGGACTCCAGGACGGACAGATTCTCTTCGTCGACCACGGCGGTTACTTGATCACCAAGACTGTCACCATCCCGGCTGAGAAGAATGTCAAGATTGTCGGCGAAATCTGGCCCATGTTCCTTGCCACGGGCGAGTTCTTCGCGAACCAGGACGACCCTAAGCCTGCGTTCAAGGTCGGCAAGAACAGCGGCGACAAGGGCACCTTCGAAATGAGCGACTGTATCATCACGACCAAGGGCCCTGCTCCTGGCGGCATCCTCATGGAGTGGAACATCAACTCGGAACAAGCTGGCGGCGCAGGCCTGTGGGATGTTCACTTCCGTGTGGGGGGTTTCGCCGGCACGGATCTCCAGTCGTCCAACTGCAAGAAGAACCCGACCGTTCAGCACGATCCCAACCCAAAGTGCATTGGTTCCTTCATGCAACTGCACATCACCAAGTCGGCCAATGCGTACATTGAGAACGTGTGGCTGTGGACTGCTGACCACGAGTTGGACCAGGCCGACCACGCCCAGATTGACATCTACAATGGCCGCGGTATGATCATCGAGTCGCAAGGTCCCGTCTGGCTCTGGGGTACGGCCTCCGAACACTCCGTCCTCAGCCAATACCACCTCCAGAGCGCCAAGGACATCTACCTGGGTGCCATCCAGACCGAGACTCCCTACTTCCAGCCGAACCCGCCCGCCACGGTCCCCTTCAAGGTGAACGCCAAGTACTTTGACCCGGACTTCAGCAAACAAGACTCCAAGTCCGCCTGGGCCGTTCGCATCATCGACAGCCAGAGCATCTGGCTCTACGGCACCGGCACCTACTCCTTCTTCGACAACTACGCCCAGGAGTGTGTGTCCAACCAGAACTGCCAAGAACACATCAACCAGGTCGACGGCTCTCGAAACGTCAACTGGTTCGGCATGTCGACCAAGGCGTCTGTCAACATGGTGACTTCGAATGGTGTGGGCCTTGCAAAGGATGCGGACAATCGCTCCAATTTCTGCGCGACCCTGGCGATCTTCGCTCAGCCTTAGAAGGTGACTGAGCATCATAAGCATCCACCATCTCCACCTTTTCCCACGCCGCATACGCATTCCTCGGGACCTTGAGGGTTTCGGAACCATTTTGGGTTTCTCTTCGCTTCTTCCCTGGTCTTCATTTCCCGTCCTTACACCAGGGGACGGGAATGGAACGGGCCTTTGTTATGGCATTATACTTTGACTTCCTTTCCTCTTTCCCACTCTTGTACCTGCAATGAATACTGACAGTCGGCTTGGCTGTCTTTTCCTTCTCACCCGTCTCTTCTTGTGCATAGTAGGGCTGCATATTGGTTCTTTTGGTTATTGTGATTGGTGATGCAATGGAATCAAGATATGAGTGAGGCAGGGAACCTCCGGGATCGGATTGCAATCGTATAGGTATTGACCAAGTTATCATTCTCCGGCAGATGAATGAATTCTCGATCAAATGCACTTTCTTCTTTGTCTTTATGCGTGTGCGTTTTCCCAGGGAATATGATGTAACCATTCCATAAGTGGATTGAAAAATAACCCCTCGCCGCAACTTGCCCCGTTGACGCTCGGCCCTCGCGAAAAACTTCCCGGCTACGCGACGGCGTCCCAGTCCATCTTTTTACAATATTTAGATTGTGCAACTGACTCCCCCTCCCCCGTCAACCTTCACCCGCTTCCAGCGCTCATTCCTGCCTGCGCGCCTTCTCGTAATGGGGGACGGCGACCACGTTCGCGAGGACAACGGCACTTGCGAAGAGCGGCCCCAGAAACGTGCGAGGCTAGAAGAGGCCAATCCGAAGTCCGCGCCGACGGTCTCGAAAAATGAACAACCCAAATTTGAAATCTCGGCTGCGCAGGCGCCCATTGCGCCCATTGCGCCCGCCGCACCCGTGGACAGCGATCTAGACAGGGAGATTCGTGCGGGCATCACCGAGTATGTGTCTCCCGACAACTTGGGCTTCGAGGGCGTGTTGAAGAGGCGGTATACGGATTTCCTGGTGAATGAGATTGGGCTGGATGGGCGAGTGTTGCATCTGGTGAGCTTGGGGGTGGGGAAGAGGGGGAATGGAAGGGATAAGTCTAGTGTGCAGAATGGGGATGCTGCGGTTGCACATCATGGATACATTATCAAGGAGGATGACGGAGAGGCAGAGAAGAAGGCGGATGTGGTGGTGCAGGAGGAGGTTTCAGATACAGCCAAGCACGAACCGTCTGCTGAGGAGACAAGGACAGCAGAGAGCAAGGAGGAAGCCGACGGCCCCCAAGTCTCGGACGACGACCTAAAAGCCCTGCAAGAGATATTTGGTGAAAAAGCGACTACGAAAATCCTTTCTCTGGCCAAATCCATCCGCAAACACCCCACGTGGAAGGCCAAAGACTTCACCGCCGTGATCGCTCCGCCTATCGCCGACAAGGAGAAACGCACACAAGCGCACCAGATGCTACGCAGGATATTCCCCACTATGCTCGAAAGCGGCATGGAGCCTGACCAGTCGATACGGATCAAGGCATGCCCGCCGGCGCAGAGGGGGAATAAGAAGCAACGAGGCAATGATAGGGAGCGGAACCCTGACCGTCATAGAGGAGGGTTGGCATGGGAAGAGCTAGGTGGAGAGTACCTGCACTTTACTCTCTACAAAGAGAACAAGGACACGATGGAGGTGATCGGGTTCCTTGGAAGCGTGACGGGTGGGGGACCCAAGAGCTATGGCTTTGCTGGGACCAAGGACAGACGGGCGTGCACAGTCCAGCGGGTGTCTGTCAAGCGCCAGACGGCGGAGAGAATGGCTGGCATAAGCAAGAAGCTCTTCAATGCCGCCATTGGCGACTTTGAGTACAAGAACCACGGTCTTGGCCTTGGAGACCTGCTGGGCAACGAGTTCGTCATCACGCTTCGGGATTGCCATTTCGAGCGAGAAGACGAATTGGAACTCAGGGATAGGCTCCAGCTGGCGAACGAGACCGTGTCACGAGCCGTCAAAGACCTCTGCGAGAGAGGCTTCATCAATTACTTTGGACTGCAACGCTTTGGTTCCTTCTCCGCCAGTACCGATGCCATTGGCGTCAAGCTTCTCCAGGGCGACCTGAAGGGAGCGATTGACGACATCCTAGCCTACAGTGAGGTGGCCCTAGCCGCGGCCGAGAGCACTGAACCAGACCCCCGGCTCCTCGTTTCACAAGACGACAAAGCCCGTGCGAAGGCGCTGCATCTGTGGAAGACGACCCAGAACGGCAGCGAGGTGCTGAAGATTCTGCCCAAGAAGTTCGCCGCCGAGCGCAACATCATTCAACATCTCAGCTCGAGAAATAGCAAGTCAGGGAGGTACGACCGGAAGACCGACTGGCAGGGGGCGTTGATGACGGTCCCGCGGAACCTCAGATTGATGTACGTCCATGCCTACCAGAGCCTGGTGTGGAACGTGGTAGCAGGCAGGCGATGGACCACGTACGGGAACAAGGTCGTCGAAGGCGACCTTGTGCTTGTCAACGAGCACAGAGACAAGGTCGAAGGCGCGGCAAAGGTAGAACAAGACACCGTCGATCAGGACGGCGAGATCATCATCAACCCCGCCGGTGCAGACAGCGCTCTCGTCGACGAGGACGCCTTCGAGCGCGCTCGGCCCTTATCCAAGGAGGAAGCCGAAAGCGGCAAATACACCATTTTCGACGTCGTGCTGCCGCAGCCGGGCTTCGATGTCGAGTACCCGCGCAACGCGATTGGGGAGTTCTACAAGGAGTTCATGGGGAGCGTGCGAGGCGGTGGGCTGGACCCGCACGATATGCGCCGGAGGTGGAGGGATATCAGTTTGAGTGGAGGGTATCGCAAGTTTTTGGCGAGGCCGCTCCAGGCCATTGAGTTTGAGGTCAGGGAGTTTGTCAAGGATGATGAGCAGCTCGTGGAGACGGATCTGCAGAGGCTGCAGAGGCAGGGGGCTGGCGCGAAGGAGATGGAGATGGAGAAAGCTGAGGGTGGTGGTGATGGGGAGACGGCGGCGAAGGAAGAAGATGGGGGAGGGGAAGACCAGGTGGACAGGAAGGTGGCTGTCGTGTTGAAGATGCAGCTAGCATCCAGCCAATATGCTACAATGGCTTTGAGAGAGCTAATGAAGGCGGGTGGCGTGAAGGCCTACAAGCCAGAGTTTATGGGTGGTAGATAGGTTAGGAGTGTCCCCAATAGGGGGACGAATGCACGCAAACACCACCACCACCCCTCCTTCTTCTCGATAATGATGATACTAAGGGGGATCCGTTTCCGTCAAATCCTTTCGTGTGCCCACAATCATCCTCTTTTTCAGTACGAATATGCCACCAATGCTTGTCTCCTGGATTACGTGTTACGGCTACGCCCAATAGAAGAATCGCTCCTCTCATGTGTGGTTTGAGCCTCAGGTGAGGTCTGGTCGACCACATCTGGGGTAGGTCTCCAGCTAATGGACTAGCAGCACTCCAATTCACCACAAACTCCAGTCCCATGCAAGTGACGTCACTCCTGTCACGGTACCATGAGTCCTAACAGTACTTGTGTACCTAGGTATGGTAAGCTTCGTTTCCACGTGCATGTTCTTCCTTCCCAAGTTAATAGAAGACAGAAATCTTTCTAGCTGACTGACGGAGCCGTGCTAGGGAAAGGGGGTTGAAGTCCCTTGAAGTCCCTCTGATATGTGAACCACATCACACCACCAGTGCCAAGCTGGTCTTGTTCCCGATACTGTGTATACAAGATGTGGTTGACGTCTGCCGTGTATGCCAATAGCCACCGCATTGGATGAGCGTACGAGGCTGCTTTCTTCAGACGCCTTGGTACCAGAGATGGACTCACCCGACCTCCATGGCATGGCACTGCCACCTCCAATTCCCGTCCGTGACGACTGTCCTATCTAGCCTGCACAAAGACTATGAAAGTGACCATACTGCCGATTGCAATCCTTCCGCAAAGCCAATCAACAACTGCATCACACTTCACCAGTCTCTATCTCTACGTATCCTTCGCCACCAAGATGGAATTGCACTAGCCTAAACAGGCAATAAGCTTCTCACACACTCATATACTCCTCCCATGGATCCAACATCCGCTGTGGGCTTCAATCCTATGCCCCTCGATCATCCCTCACGCTCCTATCTCATCTCTCACCATCTCAAGGATTTCTGCACCAGATCCAGTTTACTGCACCCCGAAAGGACTTTCACTGCACGCTTGCGCGAGGCCGAGCAGCGCGCAGAGCTGGCCTCCAGGGCCTTTGAGGAAGTCCATCCAGGCATGCCCAACACAAGCGAAGCACCGGCCGAGCTGTTCGAGCCGAGACAAACCGCCACGAGTGCGGATTTCACGCCGAATCCGGAAAAGTCGTTACCCTTGAGCAGGGAGAGACAGGAGCTGCTAGATGATGTAGGGATCTCCCATCTGTCAATGATGCGCGGCGAATACTTCTGTTGCTAATACAAAAACCTATAGATACTCGCATTGTATTGCTGTCAGCCTACCGTCGCGAGATTGAAGCGGTACACTCCCGACGCCATCTATGATGACGAGTTCTCGTATGCGAATGACCGGTACAAGATCGCCGGGCAGTGGTTCGCCATGCCCAAGATCTTCGAGAAAGCCGTAAACGAGGGCTACGAAGTCGTCCGTAGCGATCATCAGATGATACAGTTCAAGAATAAGCAGGTGAGTTTGGTCCGTTTTTCCAATAGCCGCAACCCCCCTAAGCCCCGTTGTAGAAGAAAGGAAAGAGCGAAAAGGGCTGACTTGACATTACAGTCGTGGACATTCCGCCTCATCCCCAAAACCATCACCGTCACGCACCTCATCACCCTCTCCCTGGACCCTTCGACTCGTGACACAGACTTCATGCAGATCAAGTACCACAAGGACCAAGCCAACGACAGGGACTACTCGCACGAGGGCGTGCGGTTCGGCTTCAAGAAATGGCAGGCCGAGATGACGGCAAGGTTTCTGCCGAATGCGCCCGAGTTGGCGGCCTCTGAGGCGGATAGGAGAAGTGGGGGGGAGGAGGAGGTGAGGCGGTGGGGGACGGGGACGGAGGAGGGGGATGCGCCGAAGGGGGAGTACAGGAGGTAAAGCAGGGGTGTCAATGTGGTGGTATTTCTTTGACCTATTTAATTGACCGGGACGGAACTTTCATGCTTGACGCCGCAGATTATGGCTCACTGCGGTACGGACAAAGGATATATCGGTATTATGAGATTGGGTCTCGGAACCTCTATCATGGACGTGTCGGGCACATTCCAACTCTGGACTCCAAACTTCTCAGTGTAAACTTTATGTTGTGAGTCTTCCCGCAGACACTTCAAGGTCGGCGATGACGTTGGTGCTCTTCCTGCGTTCCTATCAATAGGTTGCTTAATTCTCAAGAAGCTGCAGAGCTAGGCCATGCTGCTAACAGAACGGACAGATTCTCCATCTGGGAACCAATGCAGGTTTTGTTGTCACAAAGTCACTGCTTCCGGACCCTTTATCCGCATAGGGAATCGGCCACGGTATTGAGCCATGGGATCAAAACATGGCATGGCGCCTTTCTATGCTCTATCTTGTGTAATCTATTTTAGGTACGCAAGCCCTTTATGCATTGCGCTGCCCAACCAAGGAACGAGCCACAGAAGTACGACCACTAGGCCCTACCCCTCTACGTGTCTAAAACTGCCTACATTATTGCGTCAAATGAAGAGACTAACCCTCTGTTGGAGTGTTGGTCAGGTTAAGCATCCACGAGTGGGCCCGCTTATCCAATTTTACCTGCAATAAAAACACTCATTTTACTATTTATTATACATACCCACAGACACCCCCGGCGCAGCAACCAAGACAAACTCATGTCACAGATGTGAGTGTAGCTTAACTGATTCTTGATTAGTCACACTTGTAGAATGCCCTACATGTACTCGGATGCTTTCGTATCACAGCACATCAGCGACCTAGTCGAGAATCTGTGCCATCATGCTCGCTTTCCATCTCAACACAATACTCCACTGTACACGTACCCTACAAAACGTAACGGAAGTACGGATTCTCTTTATCCGTCAAGTCCTGGAAAGCAAGCCTATCACGCTCCTCCTCATCCATAGGCAGCGCCGCCCGCCTCTTGTTTTCTCGCCAGAGCACATAGTACAGGGCTACAGAAGCAGCGATGGTTATGCAATAGCTGGGTTTTGGATTAGCAAAGGGCAACTCCGGGACAGGACAGGCATAGGAACGACTCACCAAATGATCAAACCAGTCCACAACTCGGGATAATGATCCTTCTTCGTCTCGCTGTTAATCAGCTGTGGACCAACAATGTTGCCGACACAGTAAGCGACGAAGATGGCAGCAGCCATGGTGCTCTTCTTCGTCGCGCCCGCCACGTTACCCATTCCAATCACAATCACCAGACTCACAACAGCGCCAAAGGTGCCGATGATGCTGTAGCCGGCAACGGGGGTAGGGGCATGATAGGACCATTCCGACTTCCAAATCATAGCGCAGCCGGCGATGACGGGAAGACAGTTGACGATCAGTAGTATAATGCGGATATTTGCGATCTTGGAGGAGAGATAGCCGCAAAGGAGGATGTCGATCAGGCAAAGACCGCCTAGGGGAAACTGCCACAGGATGGACTCGAGGGGGGACCAACCGAACGTGCTGACTATCAGCGGGCCAAAGCCGGATACTGCGCCGTTGACGGTATAGGCGGACGCCATCATGATGAAGACGAGCCAGAGCTTGATGTCCAGGATCGACTCCTTGATCTGTTCGAACTTGATTTGCTGGCATCGCACGCCAGTCTGGCCCTTGCGGAGGCGCTCCACTGCAACAATGCGTTCGTGGGGGCGGAGGAACCACGCCGAAACGGGCGAGTTGGGGATGGCGAAGCACCAGAGGCCGAAGAGAAAGGTCAAGCAGCCGGCCAAGATGTAGATGTATTGCCACCTTTTGAGCGCCCCGCCGGTAATCTGCGCAAAGCCATAGTTCAAGGCTCCTCCGATAATGGTGAACAGCCCTGTCGAGGAGAACCACCAGGATTGTCGCAGTGCCTGCTCTTGTTGGGTATAGTAACCAGACACTATCACCATGAAACCCGTGGGGATGATGGATTCGACGAATCCGAGGAAGAAGCGTTGAGCATAGAGGCCTTGCCAGCTGGTGACAGCCGCCGTGAGCATGCAGATCAGAGACCAGAAGATGACAATGGCGCCTAGGATTCGTCCGAGATTGAACCGTTGGAGAGCGAAGGTCATGGGGTAGAGCCCAGCTAACATGCCAAAGTAGAATAGGGATGTCGCCCAGCTGAGCCTGGAGGTGTTGGTCGTGGGAGGGTTTGTCGAGTTGTTGACCACAGTGAGCTGAAGGTCCTTGGTCATGCCAAAGAGAACGGCACTTCCAAGGATGGCCTTGTCGTAGTATACAAGTCCGTAGCCTACAATATCTCGTATGAGCGACCTCCCTCGCAGCGGAATAAGGGTGGGAGTTGAGCTCACCAACAATCATGGCCGGGATGAGGAACCAGTCGATTTTCCTCAACACCCTGGCCTCGACGACGGGGTCGATATCCTGAGCACGCTCTCCTACTAGTCCAATTGCTACGTCTTTGTCGAGTGATAGCGAGCTCGCCCTAGTTCCGGAGTCTCCATGTCGAGCAGGTGATGACGCTCCGGCCGTGGCGACCTTCTCCTCCGGGGCACATTCAGACATGGTGCAGCAAAATTGTGGACTTCAACAAGAGAACATGATAGATTGGGAACGCGAAGCAGGAAAAGATTTTTCAGAGCATCCCACGGAATCCCAAGCCTCGCGTAAAGCGGGGATATGATTGCTTTTCCTAGGAGACAGACTTTTGGACCTCCCCCATGGGCCATACTTGCTTAGAGGCTGGCCAGGTGATGTGTGAAGTAGACCATGTTCGGCTAGGCGAAGCCTGGACCTACCCCGTGGACCCCGCGGAGCTCCAGAGCTCTCTCAATGTTCGGCGGCGCCCATGGATGGATTTTACCTGGACGGCGAGCAAGGTGGTGGGCTACCGTGATGTATAGCTGGAGTATGGACACTGCCAATTGTGCTGGGCCTCTGATTAATAATGCAAGACCATGTTTCCCTCCGGATTATTGAGGGTGACTTATTTCCATCTGGTGTGACGGAGTTTTGAGGCTGTTCGAAGGTTCGCAGCTCCGACCATTGTCCTAGTCCGTATACGGTCAAAATCTGCGATGACTAAGCCGCCCAATTCAAGGACAAAATTTCGGGAACCAACATCAACAAGCCTTCGCGGAACTTTCCCATCTCCAAAGCTGCAGGCTGGTCCAGTACGGCATCTCCCTACCATCTGCCTCATCAGATGAGAGAGGTCCATGTTGAAAGTCCTACAAGTAAATTGGTGATTCACAGTTAGAACTCCAACCGAAGGCCGCGGTTCTGGAGCGGCACTTCCGTTCAGTAAGCCCGTACCTTTCTAGTATCGACGAGAAGGAGAGGGGGAAAAACTGGAAGAGAAAAAGTGGCAGCAGTCTAGAGCTGTCCAGACCGTCTCTTGCCTCGCTCGGTCTACCATCGCCATTGATAGATCTTGAGCTGGATACAGGGCGGACTCACTAGAGTCCTGCACTCGTACGAGACGAGACCAAAAACTCGACAATTTTTGAGTACGGTGCCGTCTACACCTTGCATGTCGGTTTTCGTAATTGATTGCTCGAGACATGCCCAACCTTTACGGTGTGCGAACAACTTTTGTGTCTCACCGGAGAGCTTCATCCGATACTGCTCAAGGGACCCAGATTGTGAAGGAGATAGGAAGTCAGCATGTGACGGGAGTAGTGATGACTACGGATATACAAAGCAGACCACCCAGGATACAACGCCTCAGCCCCATGCAAACCCACCCAGCCTTTGCCAACAGTTCCCAACCTTGGACCCTTGCAAACAACCAAACGACAACTTGCCATGCTCTGCTGAAACGCGCCGGTGATTATGTGGCCACCGAAAGAAAACGAACAGGAACTCTACCTACACGATATCCGCCGCACCCGACACCAAGGAAACATGAGAGATACTGAAAGATGGGTATAGTTGGATCATCGCAAAGCCGACATGATGAGACACGAGGAAGGAAATACACCGAGTGGTGTTCATGACCGAGAAGTCCTGCTCGGTGCCGACGGCGATGTCTCCGTCGCACTACGGACGCGGATCCGGGGGGTGTCTCCAGCGACAACAGCATCGTAACTGGGTATGGGAGGGTCCGGCTCGGGCGTGTGTCCTTGACGTCGATGGATCAATGGCGCTTGGTCGCCCCAGCCATAATCGCCGCCATCAGCGCTCGTCTGACGGCTGAGCTGGGGCGAGCTTTGAGGGCTGGAATATTCCGGGGGGAGGTCGCCAGGCTGCAGAAAGCCGAGACCATGGATGACGTCTGCTTGGTGTAACGCAGCCGCTGCCGTTGGCACTGCCTCAGCGCTGGTTCCCTCACCGTGATCGTCATCGTACGAATCGACGAGGCTCAGCTGCGCAAGGGAAATGTCGGTAGGACTACGCTGGGGCCCTGGGCTCGTGGGTTGGTTTCGTCCCAGGCGCATCTGCTGGCTGCTCGTCCTTGCGTGGCCGTAATGGCTAAAGTAAGTGCCCGCCATTCCTTCGCGCACGCCTTCTCGGCCACCTTCGAGCAGAATCGAGCCCTGTTCACTGCCATATGGCGGAGGAGGAGCCAGGCTGCCGGTCATGGGTGCGAGGCCCCACTTCTTCACGTTGGCTTCTATGAAGACAAAACCCATCTGGCCGAAGTTGACATGGACTTGGCAAGGTCCATTTGCGCCAACTGTTGGGAAGAAATTCTGCGTCTTCAGGCCATGGGCGACTTCGTCCAGTTTCTTGCCGTTGCGTGTGAAGAATATGGTCCCTGTACGCGGTCGGTAGCCGACCCCTATGACATCCCCTTGTACGTAGGCGGGACCGTAAGGGGTCGGGCTGAAGGGCTGATTGTGTCGGCGGGATCCATCAGACATGTAGGCGATCGAGTATTTGTGATAGCCTGGCGTCGGTCAGTACTGCCATCCAGGAGGGGCTGTGCGCGCGTACCTGGAAGCCGGAACAAGGGATACGGCTTAGTGGTGACACCAATGGCCACTTCGGTAGTCTCGGGTTTATCGTAGAGCTTAGCTTCCCAGTAATAGACCTCGTTCTGCTTGGGCATTGGCAGGTTACTCTGCACACTGCAGACTGAATCAAAGAACTCGATTTCGGTTCGCGCCTCGACGAAACAGTTGGCAATCTCCAACTCGGGTTCAAATTCCCACGCTGAGACGCCCTTCTCCTGTATCGCTAGGAATTGTGACAGCGAAATATCTGTTTGGACGGATTCGGGTGGATTGGCTTCGATAAAGGCTGCAAGGTGTCAGTGGCATGCTTCAAATCCGAGGACGAGTTTTGCAAACCATACCCTTGGCCCTCAGATATTCCGTCCTTTGAAGATCATCCATGTCCTCCAACGCCTCGGCCTCCTCCTTGGCAAACTGCTGTTCATCGTCATACTCGCCGGGTCGGGTCAATCTGTCGAGGAAGATGCGTCCCTGCTGTGTATATCTGCAGTAATAGACAATGGCGAAGAGGATGAGGCAGAAGGCGGCAGCTCCCAACACGGAGCAGATGCCGATGACGACGCCCTTTGCTGTGGAGCCGATGCGGGTATACTGCTCGATTCGGACGGGGTCATGGTACGAGGAGCGTGAGGTGGGGGAGACGGGCTGCTGGGGCTGTGCGGATGGGGCATGACTCTGAGGGAGGTAGAAGGTGTTGAGAGTCGAGGGCGGCGAAGGCGTCGGGTCGCCCTGCGACCACATGGCAGCGACGGCACGCAGAAGGCAGTAATGGAATACGGATGGCTGGACAGATAGAATAGACTGGACTCGCGCAGAGAGGTTGGCCAGGTTGCGGCCGGCAAAGAGGCGGTACCCCAGGATCTGAAGTGTGACGTACGATTTCGGTGCGGAACGGCGATAACGATACGGCGCGGGGGACGAAGGGGCGGGCGAGCGATGGGTGTCGGTGGGTATGCGGGAGGAGAGGGAGAGACTGTGTATATGTGCGTATGCGTGTGCGTGTGCGTGTGTGTGGGTGCGAGAGTGTGTGGTTGTGGTATTGGTATCGTGGAGGAAGAGGGTAGGCAGAGGGCGAGGGAAGGGTGGTGTGGAAGTATGGGGGCTGGTCTGGCGGGCAGCTAGGTGAGACAGAGGTCTGGTCGCAGCTTGAGCGAGGACGGAGCAGGGCGACGGACCGGGCCTTTGCCAAGGATCGCGTTCGCCACTTCCCTCCTTCCAAGGTTCGAGAAGACGTGTGCGACTCTTCCTTTTACTTGTATTGGCACTCAAAAAGATGGTTTTGTTCTGAAGATGCTCTCTGTGCTGGACACTCCTACCACCCTAAGGAGGCACATACTGTAACAGTATCTAAGTAGCGGGCTGTGTCTCCTGGCGGCTCCTTGCGCCAATGCTTTGCCTTGGCTTGCGTACATCTCGACCGACTTGAAACTATTGCAAGCTCAGCGTCTACCGAGTACACTGCACTATACCGAGTAGTATGGCCCGTTTCTTCTCATGGCTCTTCACAGTGCTTGCCATTTTCTGGAAGGATCCTGTTGACGCAATCGTTTCCGGCGTCGCTGGCACCGACTTAACAGGTATTACCTGCTCGCAGCCTCCTCCTCCTGGGTAGTCACGTGATATTTCCCTACACAGGCACAGTACTTGGTAACACAGTATGTTTCCAAGGTTCGCAGATGGGCTGCTTGTGAACAATGGCTTCGGCGGGAGAGAATGGGCGAGTCTATACGGGTACACAGTACTTCTTGGAAGCTCCTTGCGAGTCGAATATGGCCTGCTGCAAAAGCTAGATGCACTGAACTCTCATCACTCCCCAACTTGACATGCAATTCACCTTCTAGACCAACGGCAGCGGAGAGGCTGTTGCGGCTCCAGTGTCACGATGCTTCCCTTGGTTGACCTTTGTCGTACAACAGCACCGCTGTGCATCCATTGACGGTCCCTATCAGTTGGCTGCATCGGCATCTGAGGGCTCCTTGTAAAGCTCGTGCTTGCCGTGGGCATTGGAGCCTCCGGCATCTGATCTTCGTACTGTAGTAGCTAGAACAACGCGGTCTCGTCTCTTACCGGAGAATTGGGCAATGATAAGAAGACTTAGCTGGTGAAGACGCATAATAAGAGGTACGTCTTGCCGAGTATCCTGTTTCCTGTTGGCCAGTGTTTATTTAAGTTAGTGCTATGTAGTGTAGTCGTCTCTGGATGGTGGGCCCTCTCGCACAATAATTCTTCCTGCCGTCACCACCACCACCACCCACCACCTGCCACCCAGTCCACGGCCCTCACCACCACCAGCCAGTCCCTCCTCAGACGAGTATTCCCGCCGCTGCAGACGCCTCGTCGAATTACTCTGTATCCTAGACACCGTTGCCTGTTCTTTCCTCCACGCCCGTCATACTCGCTCCGTTGCTACTCCGTTTTTGCGCTCCCCGCCGCCATTGCTGGTGCCCCTCCTGCTGCTGCACCCATCCGCCTTGGGCGTCATTGGCAGTAGCAAACACTCCACACCCACACACGCGCGCCCACCGCATCCGCCCACTCCCCACGACACTTCGCTGACCTCGTTCCGGCTGCGAAGATGACTGTCTTTTCGTAAGACTGGCCGCTATATCATACCGCGAGACTCGCAATGTAACCAAGCCCCACGTCTTCACCCTGCCCGGCCCCCCTTCCTCTCGTCGTCGCAAAGCTAACCATGGTGACCGCACCCTCAGCGCACATCGTGTCCGGAGCCGCTCCTCACCCACCCAAACTCACGAATCCTACTCCCCCTACCCCTCCCGTCTCTCCCTCATAGCCGACCATGGCCTGGCAACCGCCCGAGGAGCCCTTGCGGCAACTCATCCAATGTCTTGCCGACTCCCTCAGTGGCCATGACCACAACGTGCGGAGAAATGCAGAAGTAGTCAGTACTTCCACTTGCTTGCCATGTCTCCCGTGTCCGCTGACAAGTATGGGAATATCAAGATGCTGAAGCAAGCCAAAGCTGCCCCAGAATTCGACATGTATTTGGCCTACATCTTCTCGACTTCCCAGCCACCCCAGGGCGCCAGCATAGACGCCCCAAGGTACTTTCAGGCTCGAGCCGCCGCCGCCGTCATGCTGAAGAACGACGTGAGAACACATTACAAACAAATGCACGACACCACCAAGGCATACGTCCGCTCCGTCATCTTCGACAGCCTGCGCGACCAGAATGCTCAGATGCGCGGCCATGCTGGTAATGTGATTACGGAGATGGTGCGACAAGGAGGCATAATGGGGTGGCCACAGGTCTTGTCCAACCTGATATCTCTAATCAGCAACTCAAGCGGCGACGTTACATCGCAAGCTCAAGAGGGTGGGATGAGTGCGCTTTTGAAGATATGTGAAGACAACAGAAAGGCTCTCGATAAGGTCTACCAGGGTGAGCGGCCGTTGAGCTTCTTATTCCCCAAACTGCTCGAGTTCACCGCGAGCCCCTCGCCCAAGGTGCGTGGTGACGCACTTGCAGCCATCAACATCTTCATCCCAGAGAAACCCTCGGCCGTCATGTCATACCTGGACCAGCTAATGCTCCAACTCTTTCAACTCGCCGGTGATCAGAGCGAAGAGGTTCGGAAGCATGTATGTCGCGCGTTTGTGCACATTGCAGATATCGCCCCCGAACAAATCATCCCACATATGGCTGGCTTGGTTGACTATATGGTCGCCCAACAAAAGAACCCGAACAACGAGGACCTGGCTCTGGATGCGGCGGAATTCTGGCTCTGTGTCAGCGAACACGAAAAGCTGCGAGATTCGCTAGGCCCGCATCTGGGAAAGATTGTTCCCGTTTTGCTCGAGAGCATGGTCTACAGCGAAGACGACATTTTGCGCCTCGAAGGGGAAAAGGAAGACGCCGAGGAAGAAGACCGCGAGCAGGACATCAAGCCAACCTTTGCCACATCCAAATCCGCCAGGGCCACAAACGCCAACGGGAATGACACCACGCCGAATCCGAATGGTGCCGGCGGCGGATCGTCTGCCTTTGGTTTTGAGGATGATGACCTGAGTGAGGGCGAGATCTACGAATCAGACGAAGAGTATGGAGACCCAGAAGAGCAATGGAATCTTCGCAAGTGCTCAGCCGCTGCCCTTGACGTTCTGGCATCCGTTTTCCACGAGCAGGTCTTTAACAACACCCTCCCGTACCTCACTACCAACCTCAGTCACGCCGAATGGCCGAATAGAGAAGCCGCGGTCCTCGCATTAGGTGCCATTGCAGAAGGCTGCATGGACGTCGTCAAGCCACATCTCCCCATGCTTACCCCGTACCTCATATCGCTGTTGGATGATTCGGAGCCGGTGGTTCGCATCATCACATGCTGGTCGCTCGGTCGCTATTCCGCCTGGGCATCTCATTTGGACGCTGCCGGCAAGGAGCAGTTTTTCGTACCAATGATGGACGGCATCCTGAAGAGAATGCTGGACCCTAACAAGCGAGTGCAGGAGGCGGCCGCTTCCGCATTCGCAAACTTGGAAGAGAAGGCAAACACCCAGCTGAAACAGTACTGCCCCGTCATTGTCCAGCAATTCGTCCAGTGTTTCGCCAGGTACAAGGATCGGAACATGTTCATCCTTTACGACTGCGTGCAAACGCTCGCCGAGCATGTGGGGCCCGCCCTTGCACAAGAGGAGCTGGTCAATATGCTCATGCCGGCCCTCATCCAACGGTGGGGCAAGGTCTCCGATCAATCGAGAGAGATGTTCCCTCTGTTGGAGTGCCTCTCGTATGTTGCTACGGCACTTGGTCCCATGTTCTCCAGCTACGCACCGGACATCTTCAAGCGATGCATCAACATCATCCACCGCAACCTCGAAGAATCGATGCAGGCGGCACAGAATGAAGCGTTCGAGGTGCCAGACAAGGACTTCTTGGTGACGAGTCTCGACTTGCTTAGTGCAATCATCCAGGCATTGGAGCCTCGTTCAAGTGCTCAACTGGTGGCGGGCGAGCCAAACTTCTTCCAGATGCTTGCTGTCTGTATGCAGGACTCAAGCAACGACGTGAGACAGTCAGCATACGCGCTCCTCGGGGACTGCGCTATATACGTTTTCGCACAGCTGCAACCACACCTGTCTCCGATCCTAGACATCCTGATAAATCAGCTGGAGCTCTCCCAGGTCAGGAAGGATGGGCTGGAGACCGGCTATTCAGTCATTAACAATGCCTGTTGGTCGGTTGGGGAGATTGCGATGAGGCAAAATGAGGGTATGCAGCCGTACGTCGACAGACTCCTCCAAAAGATTGCCATCATCCTGTTCGATGAGGGTGTCCCGCAATCGTTGAATGAGAACGCAGCAATTGCGTTGGGAAGGCTGGGACTAGGATGCGCTTCCCACCTCGCGGTGCATCTAGCGCAGATTGCGCCGCCCTTTCTGCGGGCTATCAGACATGTGTCGTGGACAGACGAGAAGGGGCATGCTCTCACCGGATTCATGCAGATTATACTCGCAAATCCCCAGGCGATGGAACAGAGCCTCCTCGACTTCTTCTGCGAAATGGCTCGAGCTGATGTCAGTGCGGTCAAGGGACCGGGCGAACAGAAGGTGCTTCGAGAGACGTTCCAACGGGTGAGTGCAGCATGACGTTGGAGAGACTTGGGCGAGGCTAAGAGAAATCTAGGTGATTCAGCAGTACAAGGGCATGATACCGGACTTTGACGGGTTCCTAGGCAATCTACCACCGACGGACCAAGCACAATTCCGTGAACTGTACCTCGTATGAGTAAGCTATCGGGAACTGTTAGATCCGCGACGTATGGCTGCCGTCGTTTAAGGGGTGGTCGCGGAAGCTCAGGCGACGGACGGCAACGACAGTGAAATCCAGTGAAGGTGCAGCTCTGTCCATATACCGTGAGCGAAGCGGGCTTCTAATATGCGAAAGAGGTTTGGAGAAATGTATAGACGGCTCATGGGAAGTGCACGCCAACAACGTCCATCAATGTCCCGATTCCTGTTTGGATTCATACACGATTTTGCCTTGCACCGCATCAACATTCGTCGGCGGTCGGTTTGCTCAAGCATGGCATATATATAGTACTAAATAGGTAGCAGTGCCGAAACGGAGCGAGTCTTTTGTGGAAAATGAAGCTGTCTTGTCGCTCTGCTCTTGCATGCACGTATTTTCGCGGTGATGGATGGAGGTGGAACTCTGAAGACGAGGGCAGCTGGCACGTAATGAGCCGCAATGGTTCAAGCCGGCAAATGGCAGATGTCAACGTCGGTGGAGCAGTCTTTTGGGAACACGACAGACGTGGGGCTTGGAATCGAGATGCAATGGACATTTGGTTGGACGTCAAGGAGGAGGTTGGGTGAGGGAAAACAGTTGCCCGGGGCCTCTGGGGTTTCCCGCAGATGCGATAACTCTTGGTGACAGCGACGGGAATTGACTTTGAGCTAGCTACAGTGGTTGTCTGCGGTTCACCAAGTCGTGGCGCTGGGTGTATGCAATCTGGCGAGAGGATGGTGGATGAGAGGGGTGGAGACTGGAACTCATGGGTCGTTTTGAGCCGCATCCGTTTCGGTAAAGCAGCGCTTTGGCCTGGTGGTGCTCTGGGCACTTCTGCATGTGCATAGGTAGAGAGTCGATTCTATGACCCTTGACCAGCTGAAGGAGGTTCAACTTTCCAAGGAACGGCAAAGGGACCACTGGCAGGATGCAGGTCCTCAATCAAAATGCCGGGGTTCTTGTGTTCAGTACCTATTTATTACAAGTATTGGCGTTCGAGCCAGGTCCATAGGACAGGTTGTTTCGGTACCCTGGCGTTCATAGGACACAGTACTGTTAGTTTGCTTGTTGGCGTCTCCCGAGTCCCGAGTCCCGCTCCGGCGAGAGAAGAAAAGGGTGGAGCGTAGCCACCTATTTTGGGCTCTGCGGGTGGTGGGTTATGAGGGGTGATTGGCGCGCGACCAGTCGGTCGTGGGAAGGCAAGCAAGAAGGCAACTTGTGGCTTGCAGCGAAATGGACGGCTTTTTGATTGCGAGGTGCGCGGGTGGACGGCCAAGTTTCACCGTTGAGTCCACATTATTATTAGTGTTATTACTTACTGTTGTAACACAGTACTGAGTATGGGCGTGCGCATTGCTGCACACCTCAACGTGTCCAGCTGGTGCAATCATGATGATGATGGACCCGTCGTCTCCATCTCCAAGTCTGTCCTTTTGATCCTGTGAACAAACAGTCCCGTGTAGAGGGGTGGACGGTGGACCGAGGGGCCCAATCGACCCCAGAAGCATTTTGGCGGAGCAGAGGGGGTGGGGTAACCCTGCTCCCAGCATGGCACTGGCCTTGAGCCAAAGAAGAGTTTATTTCCAAGAATAGCACAAGCGATCCGTCGATGCGTCGAAGGCTGGTCATAAGTAAACTGCCACCACAAGCCGTTGCAGAAGCTGCAAAAAGGAATACTGAATACCAGACAGAGGAGGCTCTTTCCCTTCTCGTTCTCCGTCGTTTGCACTTGTTCGTTCCATACCATGTAGCAACACAGTGTACCGAGAGTACCACGGTTCTTCCGCGACCTGGGCAGTCTCCACGGGCCTCAGTCGCCAGCTCCCAACACCCCAACCACTGAACGGCCAAGTTGTGTACTTTTGCATCGGCCTCCGACACGCTCCCCAGTGACGCCTCTGGGCTTCGTACCTCGCGTCTCTTGCTCTTTTCCGTCGTCGTTGCCACTCACTGGACGATCATCTTCAGCCCTACATGACAGGACCGAGACTCGGTTTCAGTGTCTCACCTTGGAGCGCTTCGCACCCATGAGATTCGGGTTCATCCCTCAGGTTCAGGTTCCAGCAGCGGCTCTGGGGGACTTTGCGCCCGCGGCCTTGGAATTCTCGCTAATTATCCGTCGACGACCCAATTTTATCCTCGAGGCTGGCCACGGTGTCTGCGGCACTTCATGGTGCTTGGAGCCCGCAGCCGCTGGATGCATGCTCGGCTTCTCATGACGACTGTTAGCTACAGTATACTCCGTACTGTGTGATTGTTGTGAGTTGTCACATTTGATAGTGTTCAGCGGTAGTGGTATGGCCATGGCTGGTATGTCTTGTACGGTACGTCCGTCCTGTGTATCCATACCCTTAGCGGTAGTCTTGTTGGTCTGTGTCCCGTCTTACGGTTTACCCGGAACCTCGCCAAGTTGCCAGGGGCCCGGAGAAGCTGGTCCATGGGCCGTCATGGAGCAGCTATTTTTGGCCATCGGCTGCAGGAAAACCGTGTCCGTGACCCCGGGCATGCATGTGGTCGAGTTGACCGTGCGTTCTCCCCTCCACATCCCTTCCCCCTCTTCTCTTCTTTTTGGTCATTATCACCTGTACTATTATGTACTCCTGTGTATCGACTACTGTGCTCTCCTCCTCCCACCCGCACAAAAGAATGGTTGATTCTTCACGCCAGAGTACGGAATAGGGCCTTGCGCTTGCTTGCGACGAGCCCTGCGATCCGGGTTGCTGCATCCTCAACTCGCATGGGCTCCCATTATTTACTGCAGTACTCCGAACTTGCACATTCAGTACTGTGGTATAAGTATGGTAATAACTTGCGGCAGCGGCTCATGCACGCCGCAAGCCCAAACGTCTCAACAACGCCATGGCTCCCTCCTCGTCCTCGTCCTTACTCCTCCTTCTCCGCCTTTCCCCCGTTGCCTCGTCGCTCAGCCGAGGACGGCCCCAGGACGGCCAGCTGCGCAGGGGGTCTGGCACCCTGTCTTTCCTTCTTGTCTTTCTGCTGCTGAAGCCTGATGATGATGAGATGAAGATGCCCATGGTGAAGCCTCGCCTAGCCCCCGACCGGCTGGGGGACGCCCACCACCTCCGCAGCCCGACCACTCCCGCTTCTCACCGGCATCGCTCAGACGCTCTGCCCCTTTGCCTGCCTGTGCGTCCGGGTTTGGTTTCTCTCCTTGCAAGTTGATGGCAGATGCTCGTCGACGATCCGCTGGGACCCCCAGCTGGTCGCATTTTCTCCTTGTCTCTCCTGCAACCCAAGGAACAAACACACACCTTTTGCATGTCTTGTCCACGCGAGATGATGCGGGCTGGATGGAGCCAGGCGCTCTGCCGCCTGCTGCCTTTTTGCTGGCCGCCCATCTGCTGATGATTTATTACACAGTAGGATACCACAGTGGTAGATGGCCGCCGCCACTCCACTCGGTCCCTGCCACACCAAGTCCGTACAGAGGAGTAATAGCCATCTCCTTACTACACAGTACACAGTAGTAGACGACTGGCGCCCACACCAGACAGACGCAACCACACGGACCCCTCCCTCCACTCTCATTCTTCGGTGGACTAGCAGCTCGGTACTATTTGTAGCCCGGAGCGCGAGCCCTTTCAGCGTCCACGGTCCAGCCGCGGCGCGCCCCCATGTCGTTCCCTGCCACTCAACCCTCTCTTCCTGACGTCTATCCCCCAGCTCTGACCTGCCTCTGCGCTTTGTTCCCGCCAGGGTACATACCGGTATGGAGTCCACGCTCCCTAGCGGAGCACGGTCAATCTCGAGATTCTAGCCTTGTCCGGATCCTGCATGGCCTTTCTGCAGGGGTGAAGCTCCAAACACCTCTTTCAACACCCGCCCTCCTGTCACCTCGCTTCGTTGTTGACTGACTGCCCGTTCGGGGGAGTCCATATTGTTGTCATTGCGTCGGTGTCCCTTCAGCCCTATTCAGTCCTATGCAATCTCCTCGACGCCGCTTCCAGGCTCATCTACTTATCATCATCAAACGTCCTGTCCAGCCTCCTCCACCACCCTCCGTTGCTTGCTTTTAGTCATCCCTCACTCCCACCATACCCACCATACCACGCATCAAGTCCACCCTGGTCGGATCCGTTGCTCATCAGTCTCGTCAACCATCACCCTCTGCTCCTGGTTGCCCACTTCCCCAACCCTCTCCACCCGCTCCCTCCCAAGGCGCGCCAAAGCAATGGCAGGACCCGGTGGTGGCCCCTCTCGTCGGAGCCATACCAAGTCCCGCAAAGGATGCAAGACTTGCAAAAAGAGACACATCCGCTGCGACGAGACGTTCCCACAATGGTGAGCCTGTCTACGCCGTCTCCATCACCTGCCAGGCACTGACGGTTGAGATAGCCGTAACTGTACCAAACATCAGGTCCGCTGCGACTACATGGATAGCCCCGCTGCCTTGATACCAGAGTCTCCAAAATCCCCCCAGCAACCCAACCTCCTGTGGACCGCTGAGATCAACACCACCATCGAGCTCTGGCGCCAGACGGGAGAGTTCCCCTTTCCCGAGCTTCGAATCTACCCGCTGCCTCAGTGGTCGGCATACTCCAAAACGGAGCTCCGCCTGATTCATCACCTCTCGTCGATATCCAACGAGATGTTTCGCAACCGAACCTCGCACCTCACCATTTGGACAGACATGATACCCAAGTGAGCCAGCCCATCGTCTGCTTCTTGTTGTGACTTTTCCAGTTTTGCTGACAAGGTCAAACCTTTTGTAGGTTTCTAGGTATTGCTGCTATGCATCCATTCGTTATGCACTCCATCCTTGCCTTCTCCGCCTCGCACTTGGCGTGGATATCTCAGTCAAGTGAGACGCGCAATCTCGCCTTCCATCACCACGGCATCGGCCTAAAGGGCCTGCATGAAGGCATCGCCAACTTCACACGGTCCAATTCTGACGCGGTCCTTGCCTCCTCGTTGCTACTCTCGTGGCAAGCAACCGACTGGTAATTTGTGCCCACCCGACCCACCAGTCCGCATAGCTAACGGCTCTTTTTTCCAGGCGAGGATGGGCCTCTCTCGTCACTGGCACAAGGACGGTAAGTCCAAAAGTGCTCCGATGCAGCCCGCATGTGCGCTGACAAAGTTCAGGTCATCCAGGCGATGCAGCCATGGCGACACGAGTCCGTGTTCGCCGACTACATTGCTGAACACAGCCCAATGCCGAGCAAGACGTTGGTGAACTTGGTTGCATCACCCATCACCGAACAGAGGCGGAGAGAGCACGTACGAATCCTCTCCGACGTCCATGCTTCCCTGCAGCGACTCCAGCCGTACCTCAACCGCCACGACCAGGAGTCAAAGTGGGTGGACCAGCTTCGAGGGTACCTGGACCGCCTGGGAGCGACGGGCTCGGCACAGACGGCCGAAGACCAATTCAACCAACTCTACACTCTCCGCAAGTGGTTGTTCTGGGTTCCCATCTCATTACTCGCTGCCAAGCGAGGAGAAGTCACCGTACTGGTTGTGCTCGGTCACTTCTACGCCACTGCGTTGGCGTTGGAGCCCTTGTTTCGCGACATCGGCTCCGTCTTCTGTGCGAATCTCTCGCTCCCGCCCCTGGAGGAGATTATCCACATTGTCCAGGCGTATCAGGACCCGCGATACGACGAGCGGACGCAGTCCCTGGCCTATCTGATCCAGTTTGCCGTCGACATGGCGTCTTCGTACAAGACGCGACGCGAGTGGGCTAGACAGCAGGCCGCCGACGCTTCGCCGATGCAGCAATCGCCGTATGGGCTGGAGTCGCTCAACGTGGAGCTGGAGAACCAGATTGCGCAGTATAGCTACGGACAGAGCCTCAGCCCTGCCTTTGCCCCCTCGCCTCTTACGTTCGTTCCCAACGGCCTGGCTTCGGGACCGACGTCGCCTTACCTGGAAGTGCCTCGCGGGTCCATCGACGGCTATACGTCGTCGACAAGCTACACGTCTCCGTTGGCGTCACCCGCCACAATCCCGCCGCCCTACTCGATGCCCGAGGATCACGCGTACGGTTTTGGTGTGCCGATGGGGTACCATGCCAGCGGGTTCGTGGCCACTCCCATCTGGACGTGACGAACAGAGGCTGAAGCAGCGTCCAGGGACGACAACAACAACAACGACGACAACAACAACAACAACAACAACAAGGCCAAACTCCAGCCTCATCCGAGCGCCACAACAACAGCACCTGCTACCGTCACCCATCCGCCCGATTACTCTCCACACGCGTCCCACACCTAGAAGAGGGCCTGGAGTTGGGACGATGGACAACACTTCGCACTCGCGAACCCAAACCTACCCTCAGAAGACGGATGCACACATTCGTCCTACGTACGCGCCGCATCGCAAGACGGGGCCCATTTTGTGTTTTTCCACAGTCCAACGTTGGCCTCGAAGGCTATACTATACGTAAGCCGCACGCAGTAGGGACGGGTCCCTTAGTGCTGCTCTTGCTGATTGAGCGTCATCTACGGCTGCCCGGTTCGCGCCGTGCCTCTTGGTTGCATTCTCATGTCGCCCGTGGCTTGGATGGGAGTCGGTGAAGGCTGAAAGCGAGTCCAGCCATTTGCTGAAGAGGCTCGTCACGGAAGCGCCAATGCCTCGGAGTATGGCTGGCGATGTGGTGATGATTTACGATTGGTTTCCATTTGGCATGTACTTTTCAAACGATACCAGATTCAATTTCTACCCTGGAGCAGAAGTCTCCTTGCTTTCACCAGGAACAACCCCTTCTCTGTGCACTGTGAAGCGTGCATCCAAGTGCAGTAGTCTTCAATCTGACACTGTTGGCAAGCTAGAATGCGGGTCGAACATGATGGGTGGATATTTTTGGGTGGCCATGCTTGGCTTGGTCTTGGTACTGGGCCGAATCGCATTGGGGAAGCGATTGCGAGCGGGGTGGTGGTGCAAACCCTGGTCACTGGGCGGGATAGATAGGCACACACTTCGTACACAGTACACAGTAGATGGTACTATACTTGCACTTACAATCTCGGGTTCCTACCCATCCACACCTACTCTACGGACTTCTGTGTATCTACAAGTACTATGTACTGTCTAAAGTGCATGGCTCTGCCCATTCTCATCATTGGCTTACTACAGAGCATGCTCCCAGAGGCATGATTGTTGCACAGAGGGCGTGTCAAGCAGGGTTGTCGAAGCGGCTCCCAGGCAGGATTCCCAGCGCTCCGCAACACCGGTTCAACCCAGCTTTCCGGCAGGCGATGCGTAGCCCTGCTACTGGAGACAGACCGGTACAGCTGAGTGCTGACAGCGGCGGCTCCTTTCATCCCGAGCCTTGTTCTCCGTTCTCTTCCTTTTTTTCTCCTCGACAGCAGCCAAGAGATTCCATACCGTACCTCCCCATCGGCCGTTAGTCTACTAGGCTAAATCTAAGATCAATCGTCGACGAGTTCAACGCTTTCGTTCGACAAATCGGATCCTCAAGCTACGGGGGCCCGTGGGCGACTATCGGATTCCCTGGCCGTTGAGCGCTTGATGCTTCCGTGGCTGTGAACGGCTAGCCCACTAAGTACTGTGTAGGCGCCTCGATCCGCACATGCATCCCTCCTGTAAACAAGTAACTTCCTGGACAGTGCCTATTAAGCGGGGGTGAAACATTTTGCCGGTATTGGTTGGACATGGAGGGTATCGACTATCGAGCGCTCGAATTTGTGTACTGGTTACAGCAGATGCCCCTAGTCGCTATTCGGTCTGTTGTGCACAGTAGATATTGCCGCCGCTGCAAAAAGCCTGCAACAACTTCTGCAAAGTCGCTTACCCTTGACCGGGTGCCGGGAACGCTTCCTGCGTCTTCATTATTGGAATTTGGCAGCGGCGAGGTGGGAGCCGGGTCAGAGCCGGGTTGAGAAATGAAGATGCCAGTCTGGCCCATCCATGTGTCCCCGTTCTTCTAGACAAGGAACTGGAAGGAAACTGATGGGGAGTTCCACGAGTTTCTCTTTTGGGAGACTCGGCTACTGTGTCGTCGCAAACGCTCATCAATCGAGCATGCAGATTAAATCATGGACAAGTACAGTGCTGTTATTACCGAGCCGTACCTATGTATTGGTGGAAACAGGCCGGGCTAGGAACAAGTACATCAAAGTAGTCCTTCGGTCATTCCAGAACTCTTCGCCATCAGGCACGTGTACCGGTAAGCGATCCGTCGCCGCCCCATCCACTTCAATGATGCATTTCCGAAATTTCGGAACCGTTCCGAAGTTGCCAAGCGTTTCCGACCTCGTCGGCAGAAGAATCCAAGCTGCGTCACTGCAAACACAATCCGTAACCACCGCGCAGCCCCTCTCCAATCTACCCGACTAGCCATGTCAGGGGGTTGGAATACAATAGAAAGCGATGCTGTGAGCGTGACCATCGCCTTCCCCTGTCCTCTCGCTGACCACAATAGGGTGTCTTCACCTACCTCATCGAGAAGCTCGGCGTCAAGGACGTCCAGTTCGACGAGCTCATAACTCTGGAACCGGACGAGCTTCGGCGCCTCGGAGATATCTATGGTGTTATCTTCCTCTTCAAATACCCCACGGGCGAGCGTCCGTCCGAGACGCCTAGGGATGGGACCTTTGATTATGAGGCGGCAAACGACATCTTCTTCGCCGCCCAGACGATACAAAACGCATGTGGGACGCAGGCTCTGCTTTCGGTGCTACTGAACAAGGACGGCGAGGTGGATATCGGGAACGAGTTGCGAGACTTCAAGGCATTCTCTGCCGAGTTCCCACCAGATGTACGGAACAGGATCGGGTCCACGCATGTTCTTTGCTAATGCCATCTCGCAGCTACGCGGGGAGACGTTGTCGAACTCGGACCTCATCCGAGAGGTGCACAATTCGTTTGCCAGATCCTCGCCATTTATAGACGAGACTCAGCGGGCGGCGACAGAAGACGATGACGTCTATCACTTCATCGCGTACGCATAATCTCCGGATTCGGACTTCCACAACGCTCATCACATGGCAGCTATACTTCTATAAACGGCAAGCTCTACGAGCTCGACGGCCTCCAGCCTGCTCCCATATCGCATGGCGATTGCACGGTGCCCGATTTCCCTGATAAGGTCATTCCGGTCCTGCAACGCCGCATCGCCCGATACCCTCCCAGCGAGATCCGGTTCAATCTCCTCGCTTGCGTCCGCGACCTCCGGATACGCGCCAGAGAGATAGGTGATCAGGAAGCACTGGAGGCCGAAGAGCGTAAACGGACCGAGTGGCTGTGGGAGAATGCCCTACGGAGACACAACTTTGTCGGTTTTGTGGGTGAGCTGTTGAAAGTTGTAGTCAAGGACAAGCTGGCGCAGGGAGAGGACGCATACAACAAGTGGGTGGAGGAGTCGAATGCGAAGACGAGAAAGAGAGCAGAAGCCCGGAGGCATCAGGCCGGCGCGGATGATGGCTGAAACCCCATGTAAATGGTGAATACCGGATTTCCAATTTTTTTTCGAGCGAAGTGTCGGCGCAAGCTCCTCTCCTACTGCGAATATCCGTTCTGGATATTGGTGATGGACCGGCCGTGTAACAGGACGGACAAGCTTGCAGGAAAAGAACCAGTGCGATAAAGCTAGCTTGCGCTTGCTGTCATCTGCACCCCAATTGTCCACCTCTTCGAGAAGTAATATGCGTTTTTCTTGGCAACCACATAAAGAGTATATTGCGCTATTTACGTAGATTCAAGCCCCGACCCGAAAGACTAGCGAACTCGTCGCGCAAACATCCCGAACCCCAACACCTCGCTATGGAATGCCAGTGCTGGCTATAAGAAAAGAAATAAAATCAAACGGAATCGTGCCGCTGAGAAGGACATGCAAGGCTAACAGGATGCAGGCGTTGATACATGCATGGAGTCTGCGCTTCCCGTGCGTTCGTTTAGTAGATGCCTGAACGCTTCACTGTCCATACTGGATGGTGAGCTCGGGTGGAATTCCCGTCTCACTCCAGCTTCACCATGCCTCATAGCAGGACGCTTGTGGGTCTCTCATGCTAGACAGGAGTCCGCATCGGTGGAGATTCTCGAGGCTATCAATGGGGATCCATTGTGCCAGGTACAGTAGGGTGCAGCGGGACCCTGGAGCTGGAAAGCCTTGTGTGGAGTGGAAGGTGATACCGTGCCATCCGTGTTTGCGTCCGGTGTCGCGCTTGTTATCTCAAAGGAACGGGTACCTTTTAGCGCAGTAGGTGCGACGACGCTGTTGGCGGCCCCTACTATGACTGTTGCTTGAAAAGCCGAACTTGTACGAGGGGGTCGTTCATCCTCTGGAGCATGAAGTTCGATGCCCTCGTCCTCCCTGACCGTCTCAACTACACTCGATGCTTTCGTTTCATGCAATGGATCCACCACACGTTGCGATCTGGTGTCCTCATCGAAGCCCCTTACTTGTACGCTCGTCATGTTGGTGTCTTGTGTTGGGCCAGCTGAACTTTCACTTTCCATGAGATATTCCACCTTTGTGACCGTGGCGGTGGTGGTGGCGGTAATAGTAGCAGTTGTAGTGGCCATGGAAAATTCCGGAGCAATGGCCGTAGATGTCATGGTATATACAGAAGCCAGAGTTGTTGTCTGCTCTTGGTCTAGAGAGTGAACCTGTACCGATGGCTGATATGTAACTGGAGCAGACCCACCGTGCAGGACGAGATAGACAAGCAGCATAAGTAGCACGAAAAGAGCCACGTTTTTCTCATCCTTGGCGAGGATCAACAGATAATTCTTTAGTAGTACTCCGAGTGGGATCTTGACACCTCGCGGATGACGCGGTACCTCAGCATTGTGAATCCGGACAATTGTATTGTCGAGGAGAGAAGGCTGGCACGGTGTTGAGGGCCGAGGCTGGATGGGTGGCACCCACACGGCGATGGATTGTTGAAGTCCCTTCAGTCCCTTTTCCAATGATCCAAATCGTTCTGCCACTGCGCTTGAGTTTGCCTCTAACCTGTCTCCAAGTTCGAGACGCATCACTTCTTTGATCTCTTCCATTTTACGGGCCAACATCTCCTCCACTAGTTGCTTCATATCGTGCTCTTTCTCCGCCTGCCCCCTCAGTTCGGCTTCTCCCGCTGCTCGGATGACTTGCTGGTCCTCATTTTTGAGCGCTTTTGCGTCGGTCCGCAATCCAAGCTCCTCCAGGCGGGCCGTTTCCTGATCTACCAAGCGTTGGACCTCCGCTTCGTAGAGCAATCTTTGCTGCAGTTTCTCCTGCTCCTCTTCCACTCTCTTCTGTACAGCGCTTCTCACGTCCTCGGGGATCCATGGCGATATTTCCACATCGCACCTCTCCATCTCTTTCCAGGCAGCGGACCATGCTCCAGCTCGCATCAAACCGTTCGCCGCATAGACCTTGAGATCCCACCTCTTCTTGCCTAACCCAACCCCTTGCCCTGGCCTTTTCACTTGCCGATGACAGTCGGCGCATACGTCCATACAATCGCTTCCGGCATCCGAGTATCGAGGGTCATCCTCATCTTCGGCCGTCATGGTCCCGCCACTCATGCTGCTTCCTCTACCAGGTTCATAGTCGGCGTCACTGGCATTTTCATCGCCGCTACTGATGTCACTTCGATCACTTCCCGAACCGAGAAAGTGGCCGCACTTCAGCAGTCGAGGTGTCCTGAGCTCCAAAGATTCCAGAATTCTTTCTTCTAGTAAATCGTATTCTTCGTTGGGGTGAGCTATCAGGAGCCCACGTTGCATCAGCACCACATCTTGCAGTTTCCCCTCAAGTAGCTTGTAATTCTCCACTAGCCACCGAGGCATCACTTTGCTCATCAAGTCTGGCGGGTATGGTACCTGCATCGGAAGGATCGTCACGTGTAGTAGCACCAATGGGAGATGCTGTTGCGGTGTCGCTGTAGCCGTTGGCCCGGGAGCCGGAGGGTCATGGGACGCTCTATGGATTGATCCTCGATAAGACCCTGACTTCCGTGAGCCGGAGGTTGACATGGGTGTCTCGGATCTCCCTTTCCTGCTTGGTGTTGTAAATTGATATGCACCCTTAACTCTGGCGTGGGGACCTTCAAAACCGGGAAGCGGCGGCGGGGAGGACATCTGCATTGCGCGCACCGAAGCAGGGTTCCGGAAAAGAGGCCGCTGTTTGATACGGGTAGTTGCTCCATCGTAGCCATACTGGACGGGCACTGTTGGTTGCGATCGGATTGAGAGTTCGGAGGGGAGGGAGGAAATGAAGCTTGTCGATGTCATGCCGGATGTCGTTCGTATGCGCTCGGAAGCAGGCGGCCGCGCGCTGTAGAAAGAGGCGTCGTATGAATCGAGCACATGCCTGTCGTCTTCCTCGATGCTGGGGATTAATTCATCAGGAGGACCTATGTCGTGCCCGGAAATCTCTTGCACGGCATCTTCTTCAGATTGTTGGACTAAAAACCTCACCTCCTCGTCGCTCCCGTACGTCGCGAACGGTGTGGCACATGGTGTGGTTGACTGCTGGATTGCAGCCATGTGGCTTTCTTTCCAGTCCCGTGGCCGGATGCCAGGCGAATTTACAGAGGGTGCTAATGAGTACGACTGTTAAACATCTAATGGAGTCTGTTTTCTCGAGAAGACGTCAGTAAGTACACTCGAAGCTCGCACTGGGGTCGCGATGCGTTGTCATGTTCTCGCTTGGTTACCACCGTTGCCGGGGGCAACCAACCTGCCTTTCTGTACAAGCCCCAGCGGGTCGATGACATAATTAAATTCTTCGTGCGAAAATAGCATCCTGCGAGGCAGGAGTTTTAAAGCTATAACAATAGTACTTTTTTAAATATTTCGCGCTGCTTTGTATAAAAACTTATCTTATATTATTACTACTTGTGAGGACGGTCCCTGGGTCTCTACGAGCGGCTGGATCTCCGAGGCCTGCACTGCAACTGCGTGAGACAAGGGAGAATGGCTGGGTAGGTTGGGATCTATTTCAAGCTATCCAAAGGT